AAGGCCGAAGCCCGCAGCGTGCTCCGCTCGAAACTCAGGCCAGGCCTGGGGCCTGCGCTGGGCGTGAAACCCAAATGGGGCAGGCTGCGGCGCGCTGCGTGTGCGTCTTCTCTGCTCTTCCCTCTTCTTTTTCTTGGGCTTTCTGAACCGCAGGGAGCCCGCCGCCAGCAGCCACCGCGGCGCGCCCTCGAATCCCGAGGAGCGAGAACGAAGCGGGGAGAAAAACAAGAGAGGGAAGGGGAGGGGCCCGGTCCGTGCATGATATGACGGCGCCGCGGCTTTGGCGGCGCGTGGTTCTTCAGTGCTGACCCGGTCACCGCGGTCCCGCCTGTGTTGCCTTTGTCTTCCCTTCTGTTTCCCCCCCGTCTTCCCCTCTCCCCGGAGGTTCGAGGGCGCGCTGCGGTGGCTGGTGGCGGGCTGCACTGCGTGCGCAGTGTGTCCGCCTCGGTCTGCTTCGTGCTTGGTTCGCTCCTGAGGTTAGAGGGCGCCGCGCGGTGGCTGGCGGTGGGTTATGAGAGGAGTGCAGCGCGCTGCCCGTCTTTGTCTTTCAGAAAGCTCCTGCGGGGCTCTGGACTGCTTCAAGACCAGGAGCCCTCTCGGAGTCGGGAAACGCTCGCGACTAGAATCCACACGCGGCCGGGTCGGATTTCGTTCATCAGGGGGGAGGGCCTATCTCCCCAACGAAAGAAAGCCTTTTGGGGTCTTCTCGGTGAGGGGTCGAAACTTTCCGCATTTGATGAACCTGAGAAGCGTCGGTCTGCCATTTTGGAGGCACATCAAGACGGCCCCAAACGGCCGCAAGAACATAGAGAAAACCATAATGGACGCCGGACTGCTTCGGGACAGCGAGCCCCCCCGGGGCCGCCCCAATGCCTTTGCGGCAGCCCGGTCGACGCTCACGGGTGAACCTTCTCCAAGCTTCTCGGAAAGCCTTGGAGGCTGGCAAAGAGGCCGCTGGAGCCGCCTCGCAAAGCCCGCGGCAGGCTCGCAAGAGGCCCCCGACGAAGCCTTGCGCGGGGCTATATTCTTAAACGTCGGGCGGGGGTTGCCCCTAATGAAAAAGCCTCGCCGGCCCTATTTGTTGGCCGCCGCAGGCTTTCGCGCCGGTGCCGCCTGGCCCCTTGCTTTGTTTGTCCAGTAAATTTTTGAAGTCGCAAACTTTGTAAAAAAGTCAGAAGTTTCTAACCAATTTTTGGAAAAACGACCACGAAAAAGCCAACCAGTTTCCGGCTGTGCGTCTTAGGCTTAGGGGCTACGGCTGGGGCTAGCTGCTCCGCCTCTCGTTTGTGGCGGCGCTCTTTCGCAAAGAAAAACCTTGGAAAATACACGCCGAATTTTCCAGGTTCCGCACTTTGCCACAAGAGGCAAAAGACCAAGCCAAAAAGCCGAAGGGGTGGGCCTTGGGCTGCATAGTGGGCCCGCGGGTGTCTATTCTTGGAAAGTGCGGCGCATTTTGTGGGCTTTTTCTTTTTGGAAAATACGCGCCAACTTTTCCGAAATCCCCACCCAGATGCAAGTGGCAAGGGAAGCTACCAGAGCGGAGCGTAGGTGGGGTTGGGGCAAGCCCTGAGACCCCAGGTGCCACCCGCAAGCCATAAGCCCTCGGGCGTTGTCGCTAAACACTAGGACCACCCGAACAGGCAACCGACCCCAAAAGCCTAAAGCCTAAGACTACACGGACAGGGAACCGACATAAAGAGCTTAAACCCTAAAACCACAAGAGCCTGAAAGCCCTAAGCGAGACCACCCAAACAGAGGCCCGATCTCAAAGCCCTAAACCTTAAGGCCACCGAAACGGCGAACCCATTTGGAAGCCTTTAGGGGCGAGGCCGCCCCCTCTAGGGTCCTCCTGGAAGCTAATGCAGGGAAGGCGCTGGCACTTTGTAAGTTTGAAACTACCCGGGTTGACAGAAGCTCATGGATTTTGAAGCCCTAAAAGTTTCAGACCCGTGAGAAGAGCCGGCACCTCTGGGGCCATCCGTTCCCTTCCCCTTCTGCAGGTCTGACATCATCAGGGAGCCAAAGCCGCACGCCTTTGACGGCCAGCGACACTGCGAGCGCACGGCCACCAACTGCCTGCAGGGTCCCGGCCTTCTCGCTACAGGTGTCGGATAGAAGCGAGAAACTCGAAAACCCGCTGGAAACTAATGGGGGGAACGGCTTCCCACTTTTCCCCATTGATTAGCTTCCCGGAGAACCCTATAGGGAGCAACCTAAGCCAAACCCCCTAAACCCTAGGACCAAGTGAACAGGGAACCGATTTAAAAACCCCTAAACCGTGGGGCCTTCTGGGCAGAGACCCTACCCAAAGGCCGCAAACCCCGAGCCGCGCGAGCAGAAAACCTCCCAAGGGCCATCGACCCAAAGCCGAACGAACAGAAAGCCCACCCAATAGCCGCAAGCTGCAAACCGCGCGAACAGAAAACCCATCCAAAAGCCAAAAACCCTAAGCCGCGTGAGCAGAAAACTTGCCCAAAAAGCACAAGCCCCAAGCCGCGCGAACAGAGAGCGCGCGCGGGCTGCGCTCGTGAGTAAAAGGGCCGCCGTCCAAAGAGCTCGGGCATGGTGAGCGGTAGTCATTTAGTAATCTGACGGACCTCCCCAAACGCCCAACATTTGGCAGGTAATTCCCGTGCGCTTTTTGTTTAGGGTGGGACCGATGCCCCCGGGGGAGACCACTGGGAGGGGCGTGCGGTGCAACGCGGGGGGGCGTTGCTTGGCGGTCCCGCCTTCCTCCGCCGCCGCGTGTGGTCTTCTGGGGTGGGTAGCGTCTCCCAGAAGACCCCGCTCGGCTCCCGTTTTTCGTGTCGTGTTTCTGCTGTGTTCCTTGGATTGTTTTTCGCCCTGGCTCTCCCAGAAGAGCTCTGCCCCATTGGTTCGCACGGGAGTGCGGCTCTGGCGCTTCTTTCAAGCAAAGGCATCGAGGCGGCTGCCAATTTGGCAGCAGTTGCGGGGCATGCGCCTGGGCTCTTCTTTGCCGTCGCTCGTCGGCAAATAGAAGGGGGCGCCCCCGTTGGGGAAAAGGCAGAGAACTTTCTTCACTAGATCGCGCGAAAGTGGGACTCTGTCGCCGCTTCTCTGACGCGCAAGCTGTGAGGAAGCCGCCACTTTGGCGCTGGTTGTAGAGTTTGCGCTTGGCTTTTTCTAAGGCACGCCACAGCCGTCAGCAGTTCTCCCCCGGATTGCCCCAAAAGCCTCTGGCGGTGCTTCCGAGTCGCCTGCCGCTCTGCGCTGCGCGTCTGTTGTCAACCTATCGAAGCGACAGCCAAAAACGGGACAGGGAAGAAGCGGACCGCCAAACACGAGACAGCCAAGAACGGGACGGCCAAACACAAGACAGCCAAAAACAGGGCGGCCAAACACAAGACAGCCAAAAACGGGGCACCCCAAAACAGGACAGCGAAAGACGGGACCGCACAAGGGGACGCCACCAAGACGCGCCAGACTTCGCAGCCCCGGACTTTGGCCTGGTGCTCCAAGCGGTGAAGCCGGTCCACGATAGGGCGACGACTGGCAAACCGCCTGCGCGCCGCTTTTGCCCCGACGAGCGCCGACCGCGATGGGCCAATGACGCACGCGGGCTGCCGTTGCCTGCCTCCTCCCTAAATAGCCCGGACCTTTAAAGACTTTCCCCGAAAAGCCGGCCACGAGCCTGCACCCAAGGGCCCTTAAGGGCCCGGCCTCAGGCCTCATGCGCCAAGCCCCGCGGCCGGTCCGCGATGGGCCGATGACGTACGCGGGCCGCCGTGGCCTACCCTCTCCCCGCAAAGCCCTCACAGCCTAGGACCTTACCGGCAAACCCCCAGAAGAGCAGGCGGGGGCCCATCTTGCACAGAAGGCCGGGCAGTGACTGGCAAACCGCCTGCGCCCCGCTTCTGCCCCGATGGGCGCCGACCGTCAACGAGCTTGGGGACCGGGGGAGCGCCGCTCTTGTAGCAAACGACCCCGGGCCCGCAGGGGGGGCGCTGCTTCGGGCCTGATGCTTCAGGCCCCGCGTGCGTTCCGCGGTGCGTCGATAGTTGGCGGACAGCTTCCGCCTAGCTTTAGCCCAAAAGACGGCCGAAGCCTGGCGGGCTTTGGGGTCTGTTTCAAAGAGAGCCGGGGAGACAAAGGCGCCGGGCTTGGAGCACAGGCCGCCTGTCCCCTTTGCGCCGGTCTGCGCCGCGCTGCGGCCCGAACGCCACCCCCGTGCGCAAACAGGCAGCTTTTTCCTCCGTCGGCCGCCGAAGCGGGTCTTGTAGCCCCTGCGGGGGGACCTCTGTGGTGCCTTACGCGCCCGCCCCCGCGACCCTGCGGCCCGACTCTTGGAGGATCGGCGCCGCGCGCTTGGCGGCACTCGCCGGGGTGAGGTGCAAGAGCCCTGCTGCCCGCCGAGGGCTAGCCCTTTGCGGGTTCCTTGGTCCCGCACGCCGTCGAACTGAAAGCGCAGGCGCGCGCTTCTGTTCGGCGTAGGACGGCCCGGGGGAAGCCCGCGAAAGCGGGCAGGGAAAAGGCCCGCGCTTACAACTGGCGGCGCCAGTCCGCCCGCAAAGGGCTACGCATGTACGCACACCGCATCCGCGCTACTGCGGTGGCGCAAGATTGGTTTTCCGAATTGTGCCCACGCTTTGGCGAACACTCATCTACCGCCTCCGCCTTTTAGAGTGTTCAAGAGGGAGCGCACCTTAGCCCCACCCAAGGCGCGCGTTTGTAGTCGGGCCCGCCGAAGTTCTTGCGCCGGGCTGCGAGGTGTTCGCCCCTTTCTCTTGGGCCCTTGCTCCATCGCACGGGCGTGGGGGCTCTTGTATATGATGTTGAACATGATTGCCCCCGCAGGAACTTCGCCGCAGTAGTTGTTAGCATACAGAAGGATCACGTTTAATCAGTCTAAGCAACTCCGAAGCGCGAGTTGCCAAGGCTTTGATGCTGATCACGTCAGAAGTGCTAGTTGCCAAACCTTTCATGCTAAAATCGAAATCATGATGGAGACGTTTTATTTGCCTCGCTTTTTGTCCTGGCTGCTCACCTACTCGCAAGTGCTAGTTGGTTGTCTCGGCTTCGTAGTGTTGGCTCGGGTTGCAGACACGTCGACTTTGTTTATCCTTCGCGCCGTGTATCTCGAAATCCGCACAAAGCTTTTCAGGGTCACCGTCAAGCTCAACCAGGATAACGAGGGCCGCGGCAGCACTTCTGTTTCCAACGCGTCGTCCACTTCCAAAAACGCCAACATTAAACCCTACAGCAATTCATCTCAAGAAGCAAGCATCTTTGACCCCTTTTTTACCGGGAAAGCAGGGCAAAGATTCTTCTCAAGGTGAATATAAGTAGGGTCTAACGACAAGGCGAAGCCGTCTCAAGCTGCGAGAAAAAGGCACCCTGGTACAAACAAAACTGGCATTTCTTCTTCTCAGCGTCGTGGTGCCAGTCAGACTACTAATGACGCGAAAGACGTGGACGCCGAGACAAGCAGCTCTACAGGTGACGTCGCGACCACTACGGCCACTACCGAAACAGATACGACAGTAGACCACGCCTATGGTTTGCATCAGTGGTCGAGCTCCAGCGCTGGTGATGAAGAGGCTACTATTATGCACGGTGAATAAGAAGTATTAATTCTTCCGTAGGTACAGCAACTCTCAATACCTACTAGGTAGGCTCGATTGCGTCCTGCATCATCACTACCAGCTTTCAGTAAAATACTAAGCCTTACTTTGTATCCTTTTCACCATAGTAGTAGCCCCTTCATCACCATATTGAAGCTCCAGCGCTGGTGATGAAGGAGCTACTATTTGGGTGAAGAGGATGGCAGCCTTTTTCCGTAGGTATCGCTTTCAATGGAAATAGACCTTTTGTATCTTCCTTGCTACTTGGCAGGTTTTTTATATTGATTCTTGAGGTACTAGAACGTGCGTCAGCGTCTTCTAATCGAGCACCATATAAGTTAATCACAGCCGCCGCATTGGAAAAAAAGCAACGAAGAAGTTTTTTACGCACTACTTTGAGACTCCTGCGTCGCATTTGGACGCATATAGAGTATGCTGACGGCACGGTGGCTTGTATCTATCAATGGCTACTGGATCAATGGCGCAGCCTTGTAAGTCGTAGAGGAGGACCCAACTCTCCAGAAATATTAAAGTCAAAACAACAAGGGAGCAGAGTGAAACACGCACCACCCACAATATCTGAAGAAGACAATAGCACTGGTGGCACTTCTGAATTGGACCGGACCGAGACGGAGGCGGAGACGGCTGCCACTCGACGAAGGGGGGAAGCATTGGCGGTTGATGACGTGGTGGAAGAACATCGACTCTTTTGTCTCCGCACTGCTGCGGACTTGCATCGGCAAGCAAGAGGCAAAGTGGCGCAGATGATTTTAGGAACAAATATAACGGTTTCAAGTGATTTCCAAGTGCAGTGGGCCGTAGTGGAGAAGAGTATAATGTAATTGCAAGGTCCACCAGGATCCTCTATGTCAGTATGATTATGACAGGGGCCAAAAATCAAAATAACAACAATCGCATGAAAGGCCTACAAAGGGAGTGCGATCCTCTGTTCTACGCCACAACAGCAACAACAAGAAAGGCCTTTTTCTGGAACTTTTTAGATTTAGACTGACGGCAATTCTCGGCGCCCCTCTAAGGATTGCAGAACATAACGAGTCGCAGCAACTCACGTCAGAACATGTGATCCAGCAGCTGGAAACCTGTCTTGCCCAAGTTATGTGAAACAGCAATGACATGCAAGTAGCCTCACATTGAATTTTTGCGAACGATTTGCTGAAGAGCAACTATTGTTGATGCCACTTTCTCATCCATTCAACATTAACTTTGTCCCAGTTGGATGTGGATCATTCAATTAAGAGTCTAGTACTTCATATTTCCCATCCGCGAAAAGGGCTTGCAATCGCGTGCAGGACATGCGTTTCCAACTGGGGTTTGTATCAATGAGGTAGCCGCGCACGACTCTCGGACACCCTGCTTGTCTAGAAAGCAATACTTGCAACTAAGCGACGTAATCTCTCTGGATTTTGGAGTGCACGTGGACGGGTATTTAGTGGATTCTGCTTTCTCGTGGACATGGGTTATGAGACCTTTTCCTAATATTCATGAGTGCCTAACAGTGGGTTAAATGATTTCCGAAAAGTGGACAAGTAGTTGCTGTTCCATCCAGCTATTTTTCCGGTAAGTGTTAGAGAATCCTATTTGGTAGTATGGTATTCTCTTTCTTTATCCCTCTTTTGATACAAGCGCTTTGCGAAACCGTTAAGGCAGTGACCTCTTAAGTGTTTCGCGAAACCGCTAAGACCGTGGCCCCTTAAGCGCTTCGCGAAACCGCTAAGGCGATGGCCCCTTAAGTGTTTCGCGAAACCGTTAAGACCGTGGCCCCTTAAGAGTTTTTCGCGAAACCGCTAAGACCGTGGCCCCTTAAGTGTTTCGCGAAACCGTTAAGGCGGTGGCCCTCTAAGTGCTTTGCCAAACTTTTAAGGCGGTGGCCCTGAAGTGCTTTGCGAAACCGCTAAGGCGGTGGCCCCTTGAGTGTTTCGCGAAACCGCTAAGACTGTGGCCGCTTAAGTGTTTCGCGAAACCGTTAGCGCGGTGGCCCCCTAAGTGTTTCGCGAAACCGCTAAGGCCATGGCCCCTTGAGTGTTTCGCGAAACCGCTAAGACTGTGGCCGCTTAAGTGTTTCGCGAAACCGTTAGCGCGGTGGCCCCCTAAGTGCTTTGCGAAACCGATAAGCCCGTGGCCCCTTAAGTGTTTCGCGAAACCGATAAGCCTGTGGCCCCTTAGATGTTTCGCGGAACCGTTAGGGCGATGGGCCCCTTAAGTGTTTCGCGAAACCGAAAAGCCTGTGGCCCCTTAGATGTTTCGTGAAACCGCTAAGACCGTGGCCCCTTAAGTGTTTCGCGAAACCGATATGGCCGTGGCCCCTTAAGTGTTTCGCGGAACCGTTAGGGCGATGGGCCCCTTAAGTGTTTCGCGAAACCGATAAGCCTGTGGCCCCTTAGATGTTTCGTGAAACCGATAAGACCGCGGTCTCTTAAGTGTTTCGCGAAACCGATATGGCCGTGGCCCCTTAAGTGTTTCGCGGAACCGTTAGGGCGATGGGCCCCTTAAGTGTTTCGCGGAACCGTTAGGGCGATGGGCCCCTTAAGTGTTTCGCGGAACCGTTAGGGCGATGGGCCCCTTAAGTGGTGGCTGCGCCACTCGAAGTCACCATCAGACTCCCCTTACAGAAAGCCTGCTCGTTTCTGTATTGCTGTTTTCTCTGATTGTTTTGGTTGACTTTAGTTAGAATCGTATCTAACACTCTCTTTCTACCTTGTTTCTTGTTACTTGGTGTTACACCTCCCCACCTCTATTTCTAACACTCATCAACCCACGCATGAACCTCTACTAGATACTGTGAGAGAAGCAACTTATACTGGTATATGCGAGGCTGGTCCCGACGCGTGGCTTCAGGACGTAAGCTTCGCGATTCAGGAAGTCATGGAAAGTTTATGATGGTAGTGGAAAATAGTAGTCAATAATCAATAACAGTTCGCTTGTGGTGAAAAGTTTTCAATATTGTGTCATGGAAATAAGCTTCTGTTGTTGGTACTAGTGAAAAATTCGTAGTTTGTTATTGGCTAGGAGAGTGAACGTAGCTGCCTGTCATGAAGTGGTCGTTTATTTCCAAATTTTCGTCCTCTAATCTTCGGGGAAGTAGCATGGGCAACAGGTGAGACGTTTCCGGTGTCATGCGTGATGAACCTGAATGGACACCAAGTCGGACACGGCAGAATTCATGCAGGAAAAATGTTGTCGTCATTACGATGACTAGTTTCATCTCTGGTTACACAGCGGTTGCCTTCGATGTTTCTCATACAAGTTTTATTTTCTGTTGAAGAGCAAGATATTGAAAATATTGCTCGTTTTTTCGTTGATGCGGTGGCTCCTTCTAACTTGATGTTGAATTCTCCAGTCCAAATCCGAACTTCTAATTTCAGTAGTCAATGGCGCTTCTTCTCGGATGCGAGAGGGTGAACAATGGGCAATAGAAACGTTTGGGTCTTATCGCGGATACGGGTTTGTGACGGCGTTACCCACAGACTTTCCGCGTCATCCATGCACGCATTATATTTAAGGTGCACACGTCATATTTAGGGTAAGTAGTCAGTGATTGTGATCTGTTGTTTTTATCATGCTCACACCATCTTATTTCAGATCAGATGAAGGTGTCGTAGTGATCTGTTCTCGTTGACATTGAACATCTTCTAGTAAATAAAGATGGTTTAGTCACTTATCATCTAATCAGAGCTGAATCCGCAACTTGTTGATTTCTCAGCTTCTGGCGACCTTACCTCTCCTGCACTTCAGCGCGCTCTCCGCAGTCTGCCAGAGAACACCAGAAAGCTTTATTACAGTTTGAAGGAGAACTTTAGCAGTCTAGCGTTTTGTCCGCGATGGATTTTAGAGACTGAAGACATGGCAGGCAGCATGAGCCTGGAAAGTGTACATGGAAACGCGAGGAAACTCAGAGAATCAGCTGATCCAAAAACTGAATATCACAAAATGATGCAGGGACTGCTTCAACCGAACGGGAAAGTGGTGGACGCGAAGCAAGTCGTGATAAACAAAAACTTACGCGAACAAACGTTGGTGGGTCAAGTAAAATGAGAAGTAATATATTTTTGACATATATTTTTTGGGTAGGGGCAAGACAACCAAAGTTGTTAAATATATAGGGCCCTTCTTTCGGGAGTGAAGCCTGGCATTAAAAGTCCCGTCGACAGTTTCGGAATACTGATCTGGGCATCATCTTATTCTTATGCCAAAGTAGAGCCTCGCAACTCCAGTTTTCTCTTCCGTAGGTGAGTATCGCTAGTAAGGCGTGCCACAGTCCCTTGTTCTGAAGGTATCTCTAACAGGAACGCATGCCTCCTACGCGCCGAAAACAAAAAGGAAAAGTATTTGTCGCGAACCTGCTGGATGGCTGCAGACGAAGCTGGAAGAGTTGTGTAATGCTGGGTTGATTAAGGCTTTTTTCTTACCACAGACCCTTATCTATCTTCATTAGAAGAACTCCCTAGAGTCCCACTCTGCAGACGATCCTTACAACTTTTCGTAGACTTGCACCCTATAAATTCGTGAATGTCCTCTGTTTTCTAAGCCAATCAACCCCTATCCGCCATTGGTCGAAAAGCATGGGGCTTACGTGGCTCAGTACGAGCACACGCTTTTGATACACGATAGTTCGAGCAGACATTGCAAAGGCGTAGAGGTGCTGACAGAGGGAATGGACTACTGACATCAGCAGGAATGGATTACTGACGGAAGGCGTAGAGGTGCTGACAGAGGGAAGGGATTACTGATCTTTGCTGAGTGACGGGGGAATGGACTACTGACTTTTTGCTTACTGACTTTTTTTTGACTTTTTCAGCTGGTGGGATTGGATTTTTCAGCAGGTAACAATAAACGCTGACTATTTTTTCAGCTGGTGGGATTGGATTTTTCAGCTGGTAACAATAAACGCTGACTATTTTTTCAGCTGGTGGGATTGGATTTTTCAGCTGGTAACAATCAACTTATTTGACTTTTTCAGCTGGTGGGATTGGATTTTTCAGCTGGTAACAATCACACTTCTGAGAACGCAATTATGTGCTTATGCCAGTGCTTCCAGCGTCCTTCGGCTTACTGCTTCCTCGTGCGGGTACTGTAACCTTTAAACTTACCAACGTCTACGTTTTGGTGTGGATGATGATAAGGATGGTGTGGATTGGATTTTTCAGCTGGTAACAATCACACTTCTGAGAACGACCGGAGGAGTAGATGATGAATGCCTTATTTGTATTTGCGATGGAGCAAGACCAGTTGCGGTTTTCATACTGGTCGCGTGGTCGGTCATAAGAAGATGATCCTTTCTGTGATGGCGGTATGCAGTTTGTGACAACAACCTACTCGTCACACCATAATTCTGTGATTGTGAGTGAAATGAACTCTTTACGAAAAATTTAACAAGATGAAATACTGGAGTCCCTCAACGCTTTTTCTGCACAGTGACCTGGATCCGATGGTGCTCGTCTTCATCTGTCTGTTTTATGTTCGAAAAAGTAATTTTCTTTTGTTGAAGGAACTGCGGCGACCAAGATGGAATGGTCTGTTTCAGACATCTCGGTGAAAAACATGTCTCTTGTCCTCACTTTCATTTTTTCTACCCAACAAGAAGCGATCAAAGCGTCTAATTTTTTTTTCGTTTTGTTTACGTTTGAGGCTGCTGCGTACTGGCATCTTATTGTGCGCTAACGTCAACAACACGCATTTTCGTTCGGATGAATTCTTTTCACGCATAAAATTCCTTCTGCTGTCGTTGCTTCATATAATGCCTCTCAAACACACGATCACAACTCATTCTCGACGCAACCAGTGACTCCAGTGTTCACTCTAAATATACATGTTCACTTTTTTACAACGGTGTAGTCCAATCCGAATCGACTAACATCATCATCATCATCATCATCATCGTCATAAAACTGAACAAGATCAAGATAGAAGAACCAAAAGCAAGACCACAAAGAAAGAGGAAGGGACGTCTTCGGACACAATGTCAGCAGAAGGCGGTACCCTGACGCGTCAGAATACGTCCATGATGCAAAAAGAAGCGACAATGCGGTCAACAGAGGCGACATTAAGTGGAGGTGGCAATACAACGACCTCTTTTGGAGACAGCTACAATAAAACGCTGTTGCAATCGTTACGGATTTGCGCTGTTTTTGCTGAAGTGGGTCCTTTTGGTGATTCTGAGTGTGCAGCGCATTGTAATGTGTACCGCAGGTAGTAGTGACGCTGTGGCTTTTATTCATTTATAATACTCTCTCCCTTTTAGCAGGTCAAAGCCACAATAGTCAGTATTAGAGAATCTTTTTCTTCATACCCACCCTCCGCAAAAACGTATCTTCGGGACACGACTGGTGCAGAGAGTATTCTAGTGAGTGGCGGCGCACCCCGTTACCAGCCATGGGTCGGAGACTATACCTTGGACCGATTCCGCCATTTGCTGGAAAACGGAAACCGGTTCGCGCTTAGTGGTCCGCAACTCGAATATGAGGACACTTTTGACTTTATGGAACGCAATTCAACTTTTGAAGTAGAACTCACACAACTTTCAGATAACATTTCATTTCTTCATAACCTGGGATCGAGGCGGAAAAAAGAGCGTTCCCTACCACTGCAAGACCTCCTACATCCCGGGAACGAAGACGAGCATGGCTGGATGTACTACTGAATTTATGACCCGTAATAAACATGATAGATGCAGCTGGACGAGGTTGCTTTTCTTATAGTATTGTCATAGTGCGTAGTTTCGGTCATAATTACATTCCAGATCCCACTCTCCTGACCGAAAATGCGCATGTGGGAACGCCACCGTACAAAGCGGCTCTCCGGTTACCCGCTATCTCCAGTCCGGTGAAAACTATAACGAAAAGTGTAAGTTGTGTCGATCTTTCGGGTACGTTCTATGGCAAGTTCACGACCCGACCGACACTGGTTGCAACCAGTGGAGGAGACTATGGGAGTTATGGTTTCGGATTCATTGATGATTTTTTTTTGTTAAATCAATGATGCAGCATGATTGAGTTGGATGAAATGATCATTGGTTACTACAGCTCATCGAGCGATTAAAGGATAGGACATGTTTCCCAAGCTACTGGTGAAGTTACCGGGATGAATGAAGCCCACAACCTTAGATGACTGCTCGTTCTAAACCCTCGCTTCCGGCAGTGGCTCTCCCTCTGCTAGAAATATGCGGAAGGTGATGTCTGCGCGCAGTGTCGTTCCCGGAGGCGAGGCGGCTATACAGAAAATTTCAGGACTGACTGTCCGCGAAGTGGATGCAACGCAGCGATTGTTAAGACAACCATCAACACGGCATCCTTAATGTCCTCCTTGGCTCTTTTCCAACGGGGAAAAGTCGCCCGCCAAAGATGCAATGTCAGGGGTGGTGCGAAGAGAGTGATTCTCTAAGATTGTGGCGAGAGTCGATGACAGGAGACATGTATTTTGCCCCACCAGGGAAGAAGGACAAGGACAAAAAGCGGTTCGATCCAAGTGTGGATGAAATTCCAGGTAGTCATCAGTTTCAAGAAAGCAAGGTGTTGATGAGACTTCAGGTATATCAAGTTTAAGGTCCTCTGCGTAAACACGGTGTGGATGAGATTCTCGGAAGTTGTTGTTGTTCTTGTGTGCGTAGAATTGTATAATTCACGATTGTTAGCGCTACTAGAGGTAGAGAAGACACAGAAAATGTAACTTGACTCCAGCATCACCATCTACTTTTCCTCAAAGGTATGGGTTCCGCTTTTCGTGATGGTGGTTCTATCAATTGGTGCAATCCAGAGGCGGATGGGATGTCCCTTTTCGCACTCAAGTGCGCGATGAATGAGAAGAAGATGCTGGACTACCTGTGGCTGCAGCACGGACCAGATATCTTCACGCACGACTACAAGAACCGCAATCTCTTCCACCAGTGTGCGAGACAAGCGGCTTGCGAAAGTCTAACTTTTCTTATGGTTCTTGCATAGCAGTAGTAGTCTAACTTTTTTTATGGTTCTTGCATAGCAGTAGTCTACCTTTTTCTTAATCAGGGAACCCAATCATCCTCGGAGTCGAGCCAGGTGCCGGGAGAGTTCGATGTGCAGGATCCACAACCTAAGACCTAACCGTATTGGCATAGCAGTATGAGTACTAGTCTTCTTGCATAGGGATGACACTACTACACATAGACCTACGAATTTAGATCGCCAAAGTCCTGGCCTTGTAGACGCTTGGTTAATATTCAGAGCCGGATAAAGATTGTTGCAGCTTGGGCAACATGCTTTTCTTCCAAGAAATACATCGTGTAAGAGTCACTCTTCATACCTCTGTTGCGCAAGCTTGATGCGAAAGTGGCCTTGGTGCTGGCCACTGAAAGGGACGAGGACGGCAACACACCTCTGCACCTTGCTGCTGATCAGGGAAGCGTTGTGATTGCAGAATTGCTGCTGAAGTTATGGTAGCAGTCTTCATTCTCAGCTAGTGATAGAGGAAAGTTGAAGTTCATCATCCGTTTTCACAAGAGCATGGTCCCCATTCGGCAACGAAGGCTTTTGAAGCGGGGATTCGTAGAAGTTCTAATCAAAGCCTGTGGCCACAAAGAGCTTCTGCCCCTACGAAACGCACGAGGGGAAGCACCTAAAGCGACAGCTGAGAGGTAAGTACAGTGTAACAGTTTACCGTGTGTTGAATAACTAAAACTATGATTTACCGAACAAATAGTGAAGCTTGTCTCTACTTCCCAATCATGATCATGAAACAAAAGATGAGTTATGTACTTTCACTTTTAGAAGTGCTTCCTGCTTCCACCCAATGATCACAACTACAAGGTGCCTAGCGCATCACATGGTACAACTGCTAAGTCCGAGTACCTACGTGAATGACCCGAATTCGTTGATTAATCGAATGCGAGCTCGATTGAACAAGAATAAAGGCACCGGAGAAGAGGAGGGCGATGGCGAAGATTATGATTTCGGATGGAAAAGAGCTTCTGATACACCAGGTTCTTCTGATACACCAAGTAAAGAACGATGAATGTTTTTTTGTCATTCTTGTGACGCACTAGCTAGATCGATTCCACTCCCAACCGTGCGTCCCACGGTTGTCACACTACCTCCTCGTGACAGGGACACGCCTATGGCTCCTGCTGCCGCACTTCCGCTTGCTCCACCTCCTTGAAGCAGTTCCTCATAGAGTTTTTCTCATCTTGCCCCCTCATCAGCTAGCTTGCATCTCGGCCCCCTCATCTTGCCCCCTGGTGATGCCTTGTATTTCATGAGAATACAAGGGAAAAGGGTACGAAATGTTGACGAGAAAGACGGACCCGAAATGTTGACCTTAAATCAAGAGTTCGAAATGTTGACAGGGTCAGCAGCTGTGCTCCGCCTCGATGAATGGTGGCGTCCATCTTGCTCCACCTCCTTGAAGCAGTTCCTCATCATCCATTTTCTGATCTGTGTGAAGCCGTTCTTCTGTCTTTAGTACTATCGGATGTTGTTTTCATTGCAGCAAGTTGTTGCAAGAATTTTGATGTAGACCTTGGAGTTTTAAAAATTGCACTATACCCCATGAGTGGGTACATCTATCTATCTATCTATCTATCTATCTATCTATCGGAAACCAGTATTTCCCTATGTATCTCTAACAACAAGAGGAAGAAGAAGAGGAGGCTCCGGAGGAGGGTGGCGACGACGACGAGGACGGCGAAGAAGGTGGGAAATCGGTGGGAGGGAAGTTTAAGAACCTCATTTCGATGGACCGTATCTGCAATCGCGATCGTGCAGCAGCAGTTAAGGCAGCGAAAAAGAAAGGCAAGAAAGGAGGAAAAAAGAAGAAAAAGAAGTAGGTGGAATTATAAGTAACCATTTACGGTGGTATAGAATATGAAGCCAATGATCGTCTAGCTTTGGTTCAGCGCTTCAAGATCATTCTTACAAAGCTGTACTATGTCGCAATTACAATGTCAAATATAAGTTACATTCGAGGATTCACAAAAACACAAAAATTGTTATTTAAGAAGCATTCTTGGTTAAGTTTCTACGCAGAAGAATACTGATCGCACTGCACAAGATTCTTAGAGGCCCTTTTGTATCCATGCACAGCTATATCAACACACAGGAATGAATTTCTCTAGTTTAATGTACTTCATGTTCTTTCATATTTTCACCTACGTACTACGTATGATGCCACTTCGAATCTGCATTCATTCTAGTCTTTTTGCTACATGTAATGTCGCAGCAATATTTTGAGATCCCCATACCAGTAAAGTCCAAATCGAAAGGTATCTTGATTGTGATTTGTTCACTAGGTACAGAAAATCTTTTAGGAGTACATGTAGATTATCTTTGGAATTTGTACATGGCATAGAAGAATGAGTTACAATGTTGTTGGGTAACTATTTTAATCACAAAGGTTTTGCGCATCAAGCTTCAAGGGTCTTCATTAAGTCAGTAGCTGTACTGCTAGAAGCGCGATGACGATGAAATTGTGAACGTAGAGACGTACAACCGCAGAAGAATGATGTTCACCTGTCTGAGAGCACGAGCGATATCTGTATGAGTCCCGAAGCCTTCTTATATGACTGAGTAGAACATGAGTCAATCTGTGAGTTGATGAATGACGGAGTGAGTTTCTCTGTTGTGAGTGGAACGAGACACAACAGCGGAATAGCACTGCATCTTCTGTCACACACAATTTGATCTGGTTCTGTCAGGAGAGACATACTGTGATGTGTGCGCATCTGTCAGGAGAGGTGATCTGTTGTGTGAGTACGAGAGTCTCTGTTTCATGACGACTGGATTAAGCTTAGCTGCTCTACTTCTCATTTTAGATATTATCTTTTCTCGAAACACAGCGCACAATAATTAAAGATTTTCTCCTTTTTGATGTTTGTCGCACCACCCCTACGCGCTTTCCCCCTTCATGTTTATGTCTTGTACTTCTAGATGCCCATATAATTAGTGATCAGAGTTAGATCTAGAAGTATCCTTCCTGTTTTGCTAGTTGTTTTACTCAGATACCAGCAACCTTTTCCCAGCAACCTTGTTCCCAGTTTCGAATCAGAATGTCGCTTGCAGAGGTTCATAGCGGTTCCGGGCAGGACGCTCCCAACAAGAAGGAGCACGTCTCCCTGCGCTGGATTGGTGACTTTACGGTGCCACGATATCGTGCTACTATTGGGCACAAGTTTCCCGTAATTGATGACAACTACGGTGAGGACTTCTCCTGGGATCGAGGAGGCGTTTCGGCCTTCCCCTACGACCGGGTTGGGTCACGCTCGAACCCGCTGATTCCACCGCCGGCTACCAACACGCTGAAGTGGCCCTCAGCGCAAGGTGGCGCTTCCTATGCCGGCAAAACGAGTCGCACAGCAGTGCGATTGCCCATGCTACCTGTGCCCACGGCTAAAGTGAAAAAAGCCGTGAGCGTAGTGCAGAAGGAGACGCCATTTTTGGGCAGCTTTGTCGAGAAGGAAGTTCTGGTTGCTCCGGAGCGACCACCGGCAAATAAAGGCCGCTCGTCCAGTCCGACGGGTCGTGGAAGCAGTTCCGTGTCTCTCAACGGAGGAGCCGATGCGAAGCCCGCTGCACCACTGACAGACAAGCAGATGGCTGCCACGCGGCTGCTATGGCGCCAGGCAGCTACGGGAGACGCTTATTTCAAGAATGGGGACAGCGACGTGCCGGGAATCAAGGAAGCTATGGCGTCTGGCGCCGTCTTGGATTGGAAGAACCCGAAGACAAACGGCTGCACGCTCTTTTCTTTGGCGTGTCAACAGAACGACAAAGACTTGAGCAAGTACCTGCACTCGCTGAACGCTGATGTGAAGACAGTGGATTACTCGAAACGGAATGTGTTCCATCACTGCGCGAGACAAAAGTATAACACTTTAACCTCCTACTTGTACATGCACTTGCCTTGTAGTAGTTTTGATAAGAAATATTAATACCGCAGACTCGTCATTTGCAACATTGCGGTAGAGGGAAAACCAAAAACACCGACGAGGATGGGAAAAGTATAAACGTTGGTAAAGTCAATCGTAGGAAAACTTAAACCCTTTGTTCACAAACAATTCTTAACCCTAAACCTTCCTCACACGACAGTGCCATCGATTCGTTGGTTTTCCTCCTTCGTACGTTGGACCCAAAGGACATTAATATGCTGATCCTCGGAAAAGACGAGGAAGGCGATACTCCTCTGCACAAAGCGGCTGAGAAAGGTTCCGTCGTCATCTGCCAGCTGCTTTTGAAGACAAAGGGAACGGATTTGATTACGGTCACGAATAAAGCCGAAAAAATCGCATTCGATGTGGTACTATTTATTTTTGATGGTGATGATGCTTTGTTCTAGGAAAGTCCAAGTAGATGGCGACTTTAACAATTGCTTAGCGGGGTAGGTCACAGATGATAGTGATGTTTCTGATGACAAAAACGATCAGCAATTGAGATATTCGATGGGTAAGAAAAAGATGAGTATTTTGTGACGCGGTACCGAAGAACTGGTCTAGAGTTCTTATTTCGCCGTTTCTTCTTCATCCATCTACCTCACTCACCACAACCATCCCTCTCCGCCATTACTCCATCCCTTTCCAGGCTCGCGAATACAAGATGCATCATTTGTACAAGCTGTTAGATCCTTTGGAGTACGTTAAAGATCAAACCAGTCTGATCGCACGCATACGTGCCAAGATGGGCGATACTAGCTTGTCAGCGGATGCGGTATTGCTTTTTTACAATTACATTTTATTTCGAGTACAGTACGGGGTTAGAAATGCTTTACATTCAATTCAGTCATTTCGAGGAAGAGGTAGAGGAACAGCGTCGTTTCATGAAGGTGATCAGATCTACGTAACTGTACAACCTTGGAAGATGCCGCTTCATGAAGATGCTAACGTTTGGATGTTGATGAGTTGTGCATCAGTGATCACTTGTTCCGATGAGGTTGCGATGTTGAGATTGAGTCTATTTTTTATTTGATGCCTGTCGATGTTTTTATCTACCTCTAGAATGAAATAAAGAAGGATTTCAGTGTTATGCCCCCACCTGCTCTTCCACCTATCACCATTTTTCCATACTGTGCCTACTCAGGGCGACGATGGCGGTGACGATGAGGAAGAGGAGGATGAGGAAGGTGGCGGCGACAGTGGCGGAGCAGGCGGACTTTCGAACCTGGGTGGATTGGATCGCAAGTGCAACCAAGACCGAGCTGCTGTTGTCAAAGCTGCTGGCGCAAAGGGTAAAAAGAAGGGCGGAAAGAAGAGCAAGAAGAAGAAGTAGATATGCGGGATAAAAGACAGGTTCCGTAGCTGAGTGAGCTGAGGCAGGACAGGGACACACATGGAATAAAGGCGGTCCTGATAGTACAGCATGGAAAAGCTATTTCCACGGTATGCTTGGTAGAAGAACTTCTTCGCTGGTCGTACACGTTCTTGCTCTTCTTGTTGCCACGCTTGCAATGTGAAACTGCGAACTACGTGGAAATTGCACAGACACGTGGAGAAAGTACAACGATTTTTACTAGGAATCAGAATTTAGAGATATTGCCGAATTGAATATTATTCTTTGTTCTACATAAGTAATCAATTATTTGTCATAGTCAAAAGATGTAAAAACTGATATTTGGATAACAACAAGCGTCTTATACATATTTTTTAACGATACGCCGTAATGATATGATATTGTCAACTTCGAAACATCAACAAGAATCCAGAAAAACTAGTTGTTGAGAGCGCAAGATACTCATGATTTTAATTTACTTTTTCCAAGAAGAAGCTTGGTGATTTCTCAACATAGCTGAAACGTAGGGCTCAGCAGCTGATGTCGACTCACACATAACGATCATAGTAGCGTATAATTAAGGATAAGAGCAACCACCAATGAATGACGGATTCTGAAAAACAGTTCCAAGTCACTCAAAAATCCTGTTAAGGACTAAGATACATGTACAACTCAGTGCTGCAACATTTGGGTGTGCTCTTATTGGAGGAAAAAACGACGCACCACTTCACCCAAGGTATAGCTCTCTGTCAGACGAGCAGGGACTCTATGTCAGATGATCCTAAATCAAGATCAAGGTTTTTGTTCACCTATCAACATGATGCAATTCGGTACTTCTGATTTGTTCCCGTGTTCCTTTCACCGCGCATCAGAGTCGCTATACTCGCTTGTCTCAAGTGCTGAGTATTGGCGCTATATGTCGCGAACAACGAAATAGATCGGCCACGTACGCATGGAGAATTTTTTTTCATTGCATGGTCAGTCGCCGCCACTACAACACCAGATGAAGAGATACTAGAACACGAACAGATCTAATGAATGAATAGAGGACAATGAAAGTAGAAAACGATAGCACGAACAGTTGTAGAGTCCATATTGTCCACGCTTCAAAACGATTCACGATCTCCTCGCGAACGTTTCCTTCGGAATCGCCCTTGACAGGAATTTCACACTACTGCAATGGCGTTGCGAGCTAGTAGCTTGCCGCGCTGGCTCCTTTCAGACACGGAGTTGTGGTAGTTGTTACAGGGCTATAGAAAATTATGGGTGATTCTAATGCAGACATGACCTTCGCGGAGTCCGCGTCTTCGTGGTCTATGCTCTGTTTCGCTGTTACTCGACACTGCATTGTATACCCAGCATGGGGTTTCACTCATTGATTTGATCTGGATATCTATCACTTGAAATTGATCTGTTCTCAGTATCCGGAGCAATCTTCATCTCATCAACATCTTCTAGAAGAAATGTGACTTTGAAAAAGTCTACATATCCGAAGCTGGACGAGAACAGAGCGTTACGACAGACAGACGAGAACAGGCGCTGGAGCTTTGAGAGTACTCCATCTAGAGTACTGACCTAGTAAGGGTGAAGATGTTTCTCCTTTAAGTCATGGACAGAATATACGATCAGCAGCTGCTTCCGTGGCTGCTGGGTGGGCGATAGGATCACACAGTGTATACCAGGAGAAACGAGACTGGATGTTCGCCTCACGGCTCTCACTACGTGCTTTGAGGATAATAGGTCTATCCTGTGCAACAAAGTATTTGAGTTCTAGTGGTAGTGGAAGAACGGCAGAGCGGATGTCTAGACATTTGTACTCTTGATGCACCTACCAATTGAATGGCCTTGGTAATAACTTCAATTTCCTTCATCCGAAGGATAGCTCTACAAAATTGGTCAGTTCAGGATAGAGTTGCAGGAGCTGGTGAAGACATGTGTTTGAACTTATCCTTGTCAGAGGAGAGCAAAATGACCTTGCTTTGTCGAGAGAAGGAGCCTTCCTACTTGAAAAGTCGTAGAGAGGATACTCGAATCGTGTATCTGTCGGTCGTCTCGTCTTCGGTTGTCTCATAGGCGTGCCTACACTTTCAGAGGTACACTACTGCTACTACTAGTGCACGAGAGCAGCCTACTCTACAACAAACGAGAGTATCAAAGTCATGTTTAAAACTCGGATTCCTTCCCAAAACGAGTCTTGCCTCTTTTTACCCGTAAATAAAGCTTAAAACAGATTTTTCGATGAGCACTGTTGACACTGAAGATTTCCAAAAAACTATTGGAGGCATCGTGAAAGTCTTCATTCACTCAAGGAAAACATGACGAAAACCAAATCCAAACGATTTATCATACTTATGATTTTCACCAACCAAAAAATAGCTGTCAGGAAAACGACACGTTAGTAATGCGTGGATGAAGAATCAACAATGTCTCCTTGGGTGAAGGTGAATCCAAAATGCTTCCAGATAACCCGCGCTGTTGCGACCGCAACAGTGGCAGCCGCAAGCTGAGGACATCACGACTGGTGTCATCGTTTTGAGGACATTACCGTCTTCATCATCAGACAGCGCTTCCCTCAGCGACAGAGGAAGCGGAGCGAAGTGTTGCGCACCCGAACAACAACCCCATCTCCTGAACAACTGTCCCTCCCTTTTTCTGCGACAACAACTAGTTCCCGTTACTCCAGAGTTCCCCTTCCTCCGGTACCAGAAGCGTCGTGCCGACCCTTGGCGCCGAATCTTAGTTCCCCTTTCCCACGGAAGGCGACAACTAGTTTCCCTTTCTCCTGACGGCGACTACTAGTTCCCCTTTCCCTTGACGGCGACAACTAGTTTCCCTTTCTCCTGACGGCGACTACTAGTTCCCCTTTCCCTTGACGGCGACTACTAGTTTCCCTTTCCCTTGACGGCGACTACTCGTTTCCCCTTTCCCTTGACGGCGACTAGTTGACCCCGAACATGCACTTTTCGTGGTCGGCATTTATCATACTTCCCCCTTCCCCCGACGCCGAAAACTAGTTCTCCTGACGCCGAAAACTAGTTCTCCTGACGCCGAAAACTAGTTCTCCTGACGCCGAAAACTAGTTCTCCTGACGCCGAAAACTAGTTCTCCTGACGCCGAAAACTAGTTATCCGGACTACTCGTTTCCCTTTTCCCCGACAGCGACTAGTTGACCCCGAACACACACTTTTCGTGGTCGGCATTCGTGTACACTTCGGCGAGGATGACGTCCTTACCCATGGAAGGACAGCAGATAGCGGCGGCGACCATGACGTCTTTTTTCCCTACCGAAAGAGGGCAGCAAATTACGACGGCGACATCAAGTCAAACCTGGCTCTATCGTCTGAGCACTGTTACGTTACAACACACCAAGAACAAATTGCACTATTTGATAGAGCACTGCGACGGTAGAAGACAAAGACTAGACACCAACTTTTTGTTTATCTAGTACTAGAACACCAACAAGTTCAAGTCGTGATTTCTTCTGAATCTAAGTTCCTCACAACCCAATTCTTCCGAGAGGTGATGAGCTGGGCCATTTTCCCGATTTGCGCAGTATGCTATACGAGCCTTCCGAATAATCGGTACAGCGCGGCATTGTACTACAGCATTTTTCTTTGCAGCATGGCTCTCTGCTACCGCACGAAATTTTGCTGCAGCATGACATTACGCGACGTGGCGCTGCGTGGCAGCATTTGTCTGGGCTACGTCGCACTGTTCTACGGCACGGCATTTTGCGACATGGCACTGCACGGCAGAATTGCTGCACTGTACAGCACGAAATTGTACGACAGCACACTCTACTACTGCGGTACGACGCGGTGCGACATCGCGCTTTGCTACAGTGTTTGTCTGTGCCATATCGCACTGTTCTACGGCACGAAGTTGTACTGGTGCAGCACGACACCGCACTCTAGCACGATATTGCACGACACGGCACTGCATTGCAGCGTTTGCTTGTGCAGTATTTGCCTGTGCAGCATGGTCCTGTACTACAGCCCTTGGCTGTGCAAGAACCTGGTGAAGAAGTTCGTGGTGTACAACAAGAACCTGGTGAAGAAGTTCATGGTGTACAACAAGAACCTGGTGAAGAAGTTCATGGTGTACAACAAGAACATGTTCGCTAAGAAGACTCCAAACTACGAGAACGTCTTTTTTGCTAAGAAAAGACTGGCTCCGATGTTTTTTTCGCTGATTAGTCTGATTTGTCCGGACGATGTCTTGGCGTTAGAACGACGCGTGGCAACGGCAAAGCAACCACTGGACTATACAACGGCCGCGACTGCCAATGCGACTATCTTCGACAGTTAAGAACCCAAGAGTCAGTATATGGGTGTCCTCTCAGAATAGATGCTTGTCTTTTTGAAAGCAAAGAAAAGTAGTCCTCGTTTAATTACATTCTCCTTTTCTACTCAATACAGTCAGAAGAGTCATGTATTAGCAGCAATAGAGAAATGTCATATACTCCTACTCTTGTTTTCCTACAGTCAGAGTCGGTTTTCACGCATCTAATACGCGGATTTTCTCCAGCAAACCGGAATTCTTCCCGACTTTTTGCAGACGACTTCGGGTGTGTCTGGAAATTATATGGAGCCGACGAGTTATTTGGAGCGTGCGACCGGCTCACAGCCACTCTCAGTGCCAATTGGTAGAATATTGGAACTCTTGAGTTATATTTTGTGTCTGATGTATTTTTTAATTGGTTGTCATTGTCTGTTGTATATTTGAAGCAGAATCTTCATCTTTTCTGATCACCACATGAAAGCACGTCCGTCGGATTGGTGTTTTGTACTTTAGTCTTCGTGGTCGATACAGTGACTCCTTCGAAGTTTTTTGTTTTTCAACACCGCGCGCTCCAGGCGGGCCGGCAGAGGGTGACAAAGTGACGGTGGAAGTTCTCGGCAAGGTGATCCGGGGTTCGCTCCGCACTCCGGTGCTCCCTCCTGTAGAACGATATGCCGGAAACCTAATGGGCCCTTAAGAGACAGGCTTGGGTAGATCCCTTCCGCAATAGCTCGGGAACATAACTGCATCGGCATCGAGGTGCGCCGCTTCTGTTTTGTGGCGTTGCTCGGTCGTAGCGTGTCCACCAAATATTGTGCGGGCTGAGCGGTCCTCGCCTGGGGCTTCAGGGGCGCTGAGCTGTCAGCGCCTCGGCGTTTGCAGTGTGTCCTCTGCATCATGGAGACGCACAGCCCACCGACAGACCCATCGCTCGGACGCAGCTATACTAATCTTGATCCACGCAGATGCGTGGGGCCTTCCTCGGATTCTCCCGCGCAGGCCCGAGCGGGCCCGATGTCTGGAGCCCCCCATCGCTGCGCAATAGCTACGCCGGCCATGCCCCGCCTGGGGCCCGGCGTTCTTTGTGTCCCTCCGCGTCAGCGGACCAAAGCCGCTGCCAGCCTCAGACCGGTCGCACAGTTCTGGTTTGGTGGCCTCGAACAGCTCGGGGCCCCTGGGTGAGGATCCTGGAGCCAGTTACTGCGCGGTACGGAACGGGGCAGGCGCGGTCGTGGTGTAGTTGATCGCCACCGGGGTTTGCGCTCTGAATTTAGAGGGAAGCACCCTGGCGCGCCCAGGGGGTGCGCCCGCGCCCACGGAGTGCACCTGCGGGGGCCTCTTGCGTGCTGCCACTGCCCCCGAGCTTGACTACCGTGGCCCCCTGTCTGCCCGCTTGCAGCGTACTTGGATTGAACTAGCGAGCAAGCCCGCTCGCTGCCGCTGTCCGCCGCCTGATGTCCCCCTCGCGTGCTTTTGCGGGCTTCTCCGCGGCAGTTGTGTGGCAGGGAAGGCTGATGGCGATTCGCCACCAGGCGAGCTGCAGGGAGTGGCCGTGCCGTAGTTGGGTGCGCCTGCGCCTGCAGTGCCCAGCCTGACAACTGGTGCACCACCCGCAGGGCCGCAGCAGCAGGCCCGGCGGCGTTGTAGCCCATCACCCTGTATTGCATGAGGCGCTCGCGGAGTCCAGTTGACGGCGGTGTCTGTGAGCGATATTTCCGTTCCGAGGCCTCTGCAGTTGCGTGCGTGACTCTGCCGCAGAGTGCGGCGAAGCTGACAGGGCCAAAAGTGCTTCACGGGCGTGCGCGTGCCCATGCGGGCTTGGCTGTGTGTCTTTTATTTTGTGTCTTCGTGGTGTATGCGTTTGTTGCTTGGCATGAGTCAGGGATCTAACCATGGAAGGCCTCTAATACGCCAAAGACGGTTGGCCGGAGTCTGGGCGCACCCTTTTCCTAAGGGGAGAAGCGGAAGGGGGCGGGAGGTACATCGAGGGAGTGGTCGTCACGAAAGTAACCCAAGATGAGAGATGGATAAGCGGTGAGTCGTGCTATCTGCACTATGAGTATAGCGATGCACCCCCTGACCAAGAACCTGCAGACCGGCCCCACGAAATATGGGTTATTCGGAAAGAGCCGAAAGAGGAAATAGAAAATGTCGGTGATTGGCTAAAGTACTTCGACGTTGTCCTCGACACAGCCAGGGGAGAAAATGAATGGGAGGACCACTACGCAAAGCCCGAGGCCAAGCAGATTCTTGCACGCGAGAAAACTAAGGGTACCTACATGTCTATTTGATGAGAGTGGCTGAAGAATCCTCACACCATGATCATCGCTTGCAAAGATACCTAGCTGATGTAGAAGGTTATAAAAGTACTGTATAAACCTAGAACAAGGTTATAGGCGTCGAAGCCTCTCGACGTCTTTTTCTTGATACCCACTTGATCCAGGATTGTCCAGTGGCGAATACGCTTTAAGTTCAGCCACTGGTTTGTCGTCCGTCGCTGGACTACTATCCACTAACGGCGGCGAGGCAGAGGGAATATCTTTTTCGGACCCTGATATATTGTTTGCGACCAATCCAGATGATGAACTGAAAACAGATGAAGGCAGCAGCAAGGCGGTTCAGGGATTTCTCATCACGAAGCGAGAAACTAAAAAAGGCGGCCAGGTGATACTGCACGGTAAGAAATGTTCTTTACTGCGAAAAGTGAGTGGCGAAGGAGGACCAACGTCAGCAAAAATAAGCATCGAAGGAGATGCACACCCGCTCACAGCAAGCGCGGCGGGAGAAAAATACCATTTTGTGGTGCGCAGCAACTCATGGAGAGACACGCGAACAGATAGCGGTACTTGTGGGGACTATTTTCTACTTGCATTTTTGGGTATGAAAAACTAAAACACGGTAATATTGCACAAAAACGAAACACATTTCAGCAACGGAATTTGTTTTCCAATATCTCGTAATCTCTGAATTTATCTTCCATGATTCTCTTTGTACTCTTCCTATAGGTCGCCTGAATTTCGCAATTTCGTGGGGCAGCATTGAGTATGGCGCATCCGGCTTCATTTCACAAATTCAAGGACAGGATGGCAATGACGCACCAGGCGACCTTGTTTTGGAGATGACAGACGAGCAACTTCAGAAACAGCGCGAGGCGCGTTCGAAATCTGATCCAAAGTCATCTCCTAGTACCCCGAAAGGCGTGTGGGGATACGTCGTCATGAATAGCGATGGCGACAGGCATATGTGCTGGGTCTCTTTCGGTGGCACAGCTGCCGAGGTTATCCCCGCTCAAAGTCACGAACTGTGGTCCCCGAAAGAGAAGTCAAAGGGATTTGACGTGCGCCTTCGTGCAGGATCCTGGAGGGACCGCAGATCCGGTAGTCCTATGCATAAAATCGATCATTTTATCAACGATGACTCCAACAGAAACATGATAGACTTCACTAGTCGACGCTCAATGACCTAGTCAACGATTGCGAGCAAGATTTTCACATTGCTGACAGACTTTTTCCGAATAAAACTGGCATGTAGTACAAGAACAACTTCTCATGTCTCCACGATCTTCTCGCCTCTGAATCCTCAGATGAAGCACGCGGGGTCGCCCTCGGTTCTGAATTGGGTCGGATCACTGATCTCACGATTTTGAAACCTGGCTCCGAGGGCGTTGCGGAGCCAGGTGCGATACTCTATTCGAAGACCACCGCACAAGAGTCGGGTTGGGGATTCATTGTCACAGGCGATATGAATGAAGCGGGATCTGTGCCAGGCCGCGAGTGTTGGCTTAAGATCGACTTAAGGCAGGATGAAATCCATCTCCAGGGAAGGTATCTTTCGGGAAATGTGTTCCGAGCAACATGGGGCTCCAAGATGCCTGCTAGGATGGATCTCGAGACAGTCTAAGGAACACGAAGGTGAAGCTTGTCACTATTCATCCGTTGCAAGCAGGAGAAGTGAGTCTCGAGATGCTCACAAAGGACCGATCAAAATTTTACCCATCGCGCATTGAACCAACTGATTGGTGGGACGTTGGTATTATTCAGTACGATGAAACTTTGATTCGGATTTTATCAGTGCATGAGTCAAAGTCATAAACTCGATACCTAGAAGTTTGAAATACGTCTTTGCCGATGAAGGTGAATCTTTTGCTCCTCCTGTGATTTCGAGACTTTTTTTCGTCCTCGAAGGAAGACGGGAACCCATATCAACTTCTTGCAGGGCGGGTCGACCTCACGCGTATCGTCGGAACGATTCGTCGGAACGATCTATCACTTGAGGAAATCGCCAATGGGGCTTCACGTGGCGACTTGGTCGTGCAATTGACAGCTTCTGAGAAAAATGGACTGCAGAGTCTCGTAGACGCCGCGTTCCCGAGCATTGCTTTGCGAGTGTGGGGACACATCATCGGCGAAGGTAATCATAAGGTGTGTCGGGTGGTCTTTAGGAGTGTGCCCAGTTCTGAGGCTACCGCAGATTCTGCCGTCGTCGCTGCGGTCCATCCGGTTAAGACCTTTAACCGCCTTGAAGACCACGTCGAACAGGGCAAATCTGGGCCCTTCTGGATGCGCTTGGGGTGGAACGATCTGAGTATAAATATGATCTGACTACACCATCTGCTGTGGAAGTCGATTTGTCAGTACGAAGAATCCCTTTTTGAAGTGACCGGACGAATGAAAGATCCTTTTTTGTTGAAGAGCACCTTTCTGACAACTTTGCACCACCTGTTTCGGTAGAAAAAGAAATGGAGGTAGCTTGTGCCTCGTCTCACCACAATTACGCTCTAAACATAGTGTTAAGAGAAAACTTTCATCTTCACCTTATTCGTCAGATGAAGATCCCCAAGAGGTGATGGCCGCAGCTGTCTCATGGCGAGTTGATCGTGATGTCGATTTCTGGGGGAGAGTGACAATCACAAATTTGGAAAACCATAGCACTCGGTTGTCAGGTGAAGAGCAGAGCGCGCTGCAGGCAGGTGACCTCCTTGTCTCAGCGGAGGAAGCCGCCGATGGTAGTCGCTGGGGGTTCCAGGTTACGGCTACGCGGAACACGGAAGATGGCGCTGCCTCCAGTGCGGTAGCTGGGGAGGAATGTTGGTTGTCCGCAGCAACTGGCGAAGACAAAGATCAATTTTCAACCATCCATCCTCTGCATGATTATGCACGCCAACTGGACCCGGAGCAGAAAGTGAAAGCGGAAGACCTGAATGCCAAGTATCCGTATCATGTGAAAAAAGGGGACTGGATGCATCGCCGAAAAGGTTTTTTTTATGCCCCTGGCTTCTGTTGGACTTAGAAAATTTACTATATTTTAATATCCTTTTTGTACTTTGGTGTTCTATCCTTATGGACTTTGGTGTTCCAGGAAGTAGAAACACTCTACTCTCTATCACATTGACTGATGCTCTACGAAGTAGAATCTCTCGAAATTAAATTCTTTTGAGATCCGATCGTTCTATGATTTAACCTTGGCAACAAGATCAGTAACTTTAACGTCTTGTCACATGATGTTCACGTTCTCTCACCTCAATCAGGTGCAGAAAGCTCGATAGAGACGGTCATCGACTTCTCCTATGAACTGGGTACGATTCCGAATCTGGACTTCCTCACTGCGGCACCGGTGACGGAGGATACTAAGGAAGGCACTATATTTTATGCGATGCCAGAGTCTCAGCACAAGCAACAAGAAGGCCGCACGCCGGCGAACGACTGGAGGCAGATTGCGGAAAATAAGAAGCAAGCTATCCAAGAGCAGGTGAATATCGAAAGCGAACTTCAAGCGAATTGGGAAGAACGGAGGATAATAATTTCCAATTTGGAGAACGTTAGTCCGAATTTCAATAAGGAGAACGCCCAAAGCAAACTCACAGACGTGAATACTCAGATTGCGACTCTTCGGGAGGCAAAGCAGGCTGCGGACGATGGGGTGAAGCAGATGGAAGAGCAGGAGAGGGAAATGCAGAAGAACGACAACAACAGGGAGCTGCCTGATGGTTTCTGGGGATTCATGGTCACAGACAGTGGAGGAGACGGACCGTTTTTGGTCCGGGAGTGCTGGCTTCACATTGACTTATGGCAGGAAGAAATCCATCTTCGAGAGAAGTAGTATCTTGGAAAGGTGTTCTGAGAAACATGGTCTCCAAGATGCCTCTACGTCGGGATGGGTATTCTCCCTTCGGGAGGTCTAACAGAAAGAGAAGCATACTCCGTCACCGTTTATCCACTGAAAGCGGAGGAAACGTCGACCGTCATGAGGCTCACTGCCGAGGCATTGGCATCAGTTTATCGCTGGAAGATTGCGCCCGACCACTGGAGGAATGTTGGTATATCGTGAAGTACTTTGTTGTAGCACCAGTTTTGAACTGGATGGAAAATGGCCATTTGAGTTCTAAAACCTCCCAATCTTTTTTTGCATGATGCAAGAGACTACTAGTTCATCCTTCTTCATGATGAATCTTGATCCTCGACTTTCCTTGTACTCAACATTTTGGGAATATCTTTCGATTTTCCTCGACCCCACTAAATTTTTCACAGCGCTGGTTGAAACGGACAAGATTCTTGGACTTATTCAGCGAGGGAACGGTGGCATCGATTTCCCAGTGGAGGGCAGTCAGCAAGCAAAAGGCAACCTCTGCTTGGAGACGAGCGAGTCTGCATGGCGTGCTCGTTCAGAAACGGGTTTTGCAGTTTGGGGACACATTGTTGGGAAGTCAAATGCGAGAACGGCGTGTAGGGTAATTTTCCGGCCGCAAACCACAAATTCGGATGATATTTTGGCTGTCGTCCACCCGGACTCGAACCCGGCGGCAATCGCGACAGGACCCGACTCGCAGAGCAATTTTAGGCCATTGCTGTGCCTCGACAAGAACAGCTGGAAAGAGCATGGGGGTACTCCTCCTCTACCGCTTTGACCCGTCTGCGAAAGAAGTTTGTTTACTTCCTTTGATGTTCTGAGCAGCTTCCTTTTACTGTCGCCAATACTATCTTACTAACAAAAATGAAAGACGAGTGTGAGGAGCGCAAAAATGTTTTTCTCGTTTTGTTCTCCAGATACCGCAAAGCTCATCGACTGGCGCGTTAATCGTGACTCGCTTCTGGGAAGAGTCATCGAAAAAAACTTGAGCGGAGAGAATTCGGGGAGCATCGACGATCTCAAAGGAGGTGACCTTCTCGTCTCGTCTCCGGTGGAGTCTCAACCTGAAGGAGAAGGAGAGCGCGGCCACTGGGGATTCCTTGTCACTGGGGATATGCGTAACGGCGCAGTGCTGGGGAAGGAATGCTGGATATCAGAGGTTGTCAAAGGTAGAGGACTTTACTCCATCTATCCAGTGAACGAGCATGCGCAACGTTATCGGGGTGCGGTCCGGTATGAGGACTTGCTGAAAGACTATCCACATAGAAAATTGAAGTCCGGCGAATGGCAGGATCGGCGAAAAGGTACATGTGTGGATCTAGGATTCACTCTTAGGAGGTTCTCTTCCGATGCTAGGAAAAGATCTCCGACAATTTTTGTTCGCATGCTATTTCCTGATCATTAGTTTCTCAATTTCAAGTAGTCTCTCTCACCGACAAGGGAATTGTTGTCACCCAGTCTCCTTTCAAAGGAAAACATTGGAAGGTAACTTCGAGCTTTTGGTGGACAAGCAACAAAAACCGCTCGGGTGGTTCACCGAAGGTCATTATGGCTTTCCGTGATTCATTTTCCTGAGGAGTTTTTCTCGTGAGTTTCTAACTCGGAAACCGAGGGAAACCCGAATTAACAGAGAAGATGAATTATGCAAAACTCCAATTCCTCACTCGGGCTGTGCTGAACAAGCAGCTTCAAAATGGAGACCTGCTGCTTGATAATGATAGCGAGGACGCTTCTCGCAATGCGTTTTCATGGGGATTTATTGCCACGGACGTCGGGAACGGTGAGCGCGAAGAGGTACGAGGAGAAGAGTGCGGGGTGAGCTGGTCCGTGGAGAGAGGTCGTTTCGAAATCCATCTTAAGGCCAAATGCACGTGCACGTCGTTCGTCACATATGACATTTAGTTCTATCGTATGGTACATAGTATGGAGTAGTGAGGATCAGGGCCACGTGTTTGCCCCATTGTCTTTTCGGCAGGCATCTTCGGCGTTATTCCATGTAAAGGCGTGGTGCTGTGATTCATATTCGAAGTCCCTTCCAGAGATCTCTCTTGGTGGTCATTGCACGCCTTACTTCTCTTGGAGAACAAGGCATTGAGGTTGTAACAAGTGAGATCCGCAGCTCTAACGATGCGCTCACAGGGGGCTCCGTCAGGCTCAGCACGATCTATCGGAATAGCGCCAGCATGTGGTTAAGAATCGCAAATGCACTTCCCTGAAGATCCTAAATTCCTCAAGTTTGCCATTTTGGCTCAAGATTCGACACATTCTTGACAGGATTTGAAGCGCCGTTAGTGGCCTACTTTGCATTCATTTGAAACGAGATTCGAAAACAAAAGCAAACTTCTACCCCCTGAAAACCCCCACGATTATCAATTCTTGAACGTGTGTTCTTTTTCTTTGGTAGAAATTTTCGGTCCGGGAAGCTGCAGTAATCTTCTTTCATTTTGGTGGAGAACCTGGGCAATTATCTTTCTCAATTTCATATCCCCGACCCCCTAGAACTAGGACTAGTTTAGAACTAAAAATGGTGCCGCAAAGCCAAGACAACGGAGGGGAGCAACCCTTCCAAAACGCTCAAGGAGGAGCGACAGAGCATTCCGAAGCTCAACGCGGTGGGCCGCAACCTATCCGCACTTCCTCCGCAACGTCTTCTGGGAGTATTTTTGACGTGACTGGGCGCCGATTTCGTCGCGGTGGAACTCGTTTTGAGCACTCGCAAGAGCTACCCACAGTTGAGGAGATCGAGCCTTCGGAATCGAGTGTCGGCGCAGCCAGTGCCGGCGCGGAATTGATTGGGAAAGAGCTTGGGGAACGTGCTGTGGCAGCAGGAGAAGCAGCCGGGCACGCCGTAAAAGCGGTTGGAAGCTTCTTTCAGGGATTCTATGCCACTTTGACCAAGGAGGAACCGCAGGAACAACCGTGGCGCCAGCAAGCTGCGGCAACTTCTTTTCAACAGACACCGGAGGCGGAAGAGCACTTCAGCGAACGTTACAACCGTCAGACCAGCCCGCTTTTCACGCCGGAGCGTGGTGGCCGCAATTTGATGGAAGGAAATGCCGTTCGTTTTGGTAAGGCTATGTATCCGGAGCAGCAACAAGAAGAGCAGTTCGAAGACCTGCAACCGCAGCACAGGGAGGCCCGACACGGACCGCCGACGAAAAACCTTTGGCCATCGTCGTTTGAACCGAATCTGTTTTCTATGCCGACCGGGGACGCCGGAAAGGGTCTTGCCGATTTCTTTACAGGCATGGGAAAACGAGCAGAAGCAGCGTTCTTTGAACAGGAACCGAAAGCGCCGAACTCGTTCTGCGATGAGGAGCAGGAAGAACATCGCCCCGCAAGTGGTCTTCTTCATCAGTTCCCAACAGCCCGCGAAACGTTACAAAGAGCCGCAGAACAAGAACAGCGCTTCTACCATCCGCCTGGAATGATGGACATGGAGCAGCAGCACCAGCACGAAGAGCAGTTCAAGAGCAGCAACAAAGCCGACGGATTTGAGCAAGACAAGCAGCGCACGCACCTGGAAGAGTACTTCAACAAGATGCAGCAGAAGCAGAAACAAGACAGCGAGTTACAACACGAAAAAAGCACCACGAAGAACCCGCCTTCGGGTGGCTTCCCTTTGCCTCCGAAGTGGACTTCTGAAATCGTTCGGGAACTCGAAGTGTCGGGCGCTTTGCCTGATATCGTCCGCACCATAGACAGCACCGGAAAAGCAGGCGAGGTTGTCTGGAGTGGTTTAACCTATTCGGACTTCAGCGGCCTGGCTCGGGAGCACATCAAGGAAAAGGTTCGGAAAGCCGTTTCGCGCGTTTATGGTTCTGGAAGTGTCCGTGTGGAGTTGCGTGCCGGTTCGTTGATTGCAGATTGGCTTCGAGGAGATCCGCGCGACTCGTCTGCAACAGTTGATGGAGATGGGCGGCAACGAGATGGCAACAACTTGCGTTCGCTGGTGCAGCTACTGGCCGCGGCAATGAAGGACGCAGGAAATGGCAGCGGTGGAGCTTTCGCAAAACCTCACCTGCCGCAACTTAAGTTCAAAGCGGTCAGACAGGCGGAAGCAGTATTGGAAATTGTGGAAAATCGTCAGCCGTTGAAACAGTACCAGGCGGAAAAGATGTTGCGGCACGCTTGGAACGGAATGCAGCTTGGGGACGTCGCCAACGGCATCAAAAAGCGCATTACAAGAACGCTTGCGAACTTCGACGCGGTACGAGATTCCGAGGGGCTTTACCACGCTGCCTTCAATGATTTCGTCGACCAACTTCGTTTAGAATTCGGAATCACAAACCAAGTTGCGATCTCCACGCTGGAAGGGCTTTTGAGCGCAGTCAAGTACACGATCGCAGGAAAGGAGCAGGGCGCAGCCCTTGTTGCCTTCGTAAGTTCCTATCGTGTTCATTTCGAATTGCTCATGGAGGAACGCAGAGAAACCGGCATCACGTTTTTCACCTTGTCAGATGTCGTTGGCAGCGACATGGAGCGCAAGAACATGGTGAACAACTTGAAGTACCGCAGCGGCTTGCCGATTTGGATCGTAACCAAAATTGACGACTACTTCGGGGACCGTGGAGACACGCTTGAGAGGCAGTCCTTGCTGGCAATTCTATCGCGGATTGCGATCACCGGCCAAGCAGAGCAAGCAAAACAGCAGCAGCAGCGCCCCGTCGGTATTCCGCCGGAACCAACGTTGCGAACACTAACAGGAAACCGAACCGACGAGAGCAAGTTGGGAGCGATGACCCCGCAGGCAGTGTTAGAAGAGCAGAACAGGCACACGACAACGCAGACGCAAACGGCGACCCGACAACCAGTAGCGACATCCGAAGGAGCTGTGTGCGGTGGGAACCATCGATACATCCACCACGCAAAGTTCAACAAACGCGTAAACGCCATCGAGCGGCGCGCCGGAACCCCGCTTGCAGTAGGCTTTTGCAGCTATTGCCAGAAGCACCACAAGACCACCGGAGACCCCGCCGACATCCTCTGCCCCGACAAGATTGCTGCCGAGGATTCACGTGAAGGGAATGGTCTGCGTTGTAACATGGCTTGCGCCCCGTACGAGCACAGAGAAGATTTGACCGAGATGCCGACGCGTCGTTTCGGTGCGATGAACAGCGAGCAGCAAGACCAAGAGCCGCAACAAGAGCAAGCGCAGGAGCAGAAAGCCGAAGAGCCGAAAGCAACAGAGCAGCAACCACAAGGCAGCAAGCGCCACGGCGAAGCAGATGCAGAAGGCTGGCAAAAGGTGTTAGCAGGTGCGAAAGGAAAGTGGAAGGCGAGCGGAAAGGGCTTTAAGGCGATGAATAGCCTGAAGGCGCCCGCGGCGGTCTTCTTGCATATCACCGAAGGCGAGTTGAAAAGGTACGCAAGTGGCGCGGCGATTGATAGCCGTCACGAGTGGCATCCGGTCTTCTTCGAACCTCGTGAACCGCTTGTCTTCACATTAAAAGTTTGCACAGCATACGCAGAACAGCAAGGAGCGTTCGCGGAAGTCGATGCGACGTTGGGTTCGTTGAAGTTCTCGCGCGCGCTGGCGTTTGAAGAGGTGTTCGAGATTCGTAACGCAGAAACCGGAGAAAGGGTTCAGAACGAAGACGCAGGGCCGCCGGTTGTGGGTTCTTTTAAACAGCTGAAGGAAACGAGAAAGCCGCTGACCCCGTTGGGCGTAGTGCACGTTAAGGGAGCTCCGGTCGAAGCCCTTTTCGATAGTTGTTGCTTGGTTGGAGCAGAGGAAGAGGGCCAGAATCTGATCGATGAAACCTTCTTTGAACAACTTCGAAAACGCAGCCCCGACGCAATTCGCAATCTTCGCGAAGTTGGTAGAGATGTAGTTCAGCTAGGAGCCGCAGCGCACCAGGTTCCGTACGTTCGTCGGCTTGTCGAAGTCCTCATCACTGTCGCCGAAAACAAGGAGAGGCAGCAGTCTATGTGGATTCCCTTTGCGGTAGTTCCGTGGCTGTGTGTTGGTGATAACATGGTGTTTGGCCTTCGTTATTTCGATGAAGTGTTCGGAGTTAAGTACGAGCCGAAGGCGCTGAACCTCACGAAACTCAGCATCTCAATCCCGAGAGGAATGGGAAACTACGAGGCCTTCGGAGTCATGAAGGAGGAGGAGAAAGCGAACGAGCAACAAGCAACGCAGGAGCAGCAAGAGCAGCAAGAGCAGGAGCAGGAGCAAGAAGAGCAGTTAGAACAGGAGGAACAGGCCGAAGAAGAAGAGACCGGCGACGAGACGTCTGAGAACGCTGCATCAGACTCGGAGGAGACGCCGGCGGGCGTCTGACTGAGCTCCACGAAAAAGAAGACAAAACCGAGCCAGAAGGGCCGGCAGCGAGCTTTGAAGAAGGTAAAAGCGGTGGAGGGAACTTCAAAGCAGGATAGGACACAGGGGACGAAGAAGCGAGAAACGAAACCGGCAGCGAAGAAAGCCGGCAAGAAAAGAGCCGAACAAGAAACGACAGAAACCGAACAGACGGAGCAGAACCCGGAGGAGGCCACCGGGGACGCAACTCAGGTTGTGCAAAAGATTCGAATACCTTCTGAAGACGTAGTGCGGCTGCTTGTGCATATCGACTTCATGAAACTCAGACCCGGGAAGACGTATTCTTTGACAGCGCGGCAAGGATGTGGGGTTGATCTGAGCCCGATGCCGATCCTGCTCCGCAAAGAAGTAGAGGGCGTTCCGATCGTTCTCGAAGTTTCGCACGATTCCAGATTCAGCAGGAGTCTCAGCGTCGAACAGCTAGTAGTGCGACAAATTTGCGATCGGCCTTTGTCCCAACAAGAAGTCGCGGGCGCGGTGCTTGGTGTTGAAAAGCTCTTCGGAGATAAGTCGGCGCCGCTGTTGGTCGAGCAGCAAGGAAGCAGAAGGCAGGTTCTCTATATGAATATGTGTGGCGCTGCTGGGGACGAAGATGAGCCAGAACAACCACAACGAGGGCGGAGCAAGTTCATGAACGCGAAGTACAAAAAAGAGGCACGAAAGAACCTTGACCCAGCCGAAGAAGAAACAGCAATCCGCGAGGAGATTGCCAGCAAGAAAGCGAAGTGGAAAGGAGGTTCCGACAAGATTCCGAGAGACAGCGAGGAGTGGCGCAAGCGAGTCCGAGAAGCACAAGAAGAAAAGCTGAAGGACGTCCCGGAGCCTCTTCGAACTAAGATTATCGATAAGATTACGAGAAACGCCGAGTACTTGCACGACGACGGGGCAGAATTTCCATTGTTGAAAGGGATCCGCGCTTCGCACAAGATCAAGAGTTCAGCACAGTGGAAGTTGCAACAGCCCTACAGCCTAAATTTTTTGGATTCGATGCGGGTCAGTTTTCTAATTGAAGAACACATCTTCGAAGACAAGATCAGGCACCACGACGCGAAAAACGAAGCGCCGCCGCCGATGACTTCGCCAGTTTTTTTAGCCGACAGAAAAGGACACGTCGTTCGCAGAATCGTGGTTGACTACCGAAAATACAACGAGCAGGTCGAGGATTATCACATGGTAATGCCACGTGCTGACAAGATCTTCAAGAACTTGCTGAGCGGGAAGCCGAAGTGGTTCGTCGTCTTGGATTTGGCGATGGGCTATAATCAGATGCTGTTGGATCCAGAGACCGCAAAATACCTTTCCTGGTCAACGTCTGAGGGGATCTTCATCCCGAAGCGCTTGCCGTTGGGACCGAAGTGGGCGCCGGCGTTTTTTCAGAGCCACACGCAGCGAGTTTTCGGAACTCTTCAGTGGTGCAATGTTTTCATCGATGATCTTTGCTTCTCCGCGTCTTCAGATGAAGAGCTGTTGCAGCGTTTAGACGCGTTGTTCGATAGGTGTCGGCAATCGGGTTTCTGTTTAAGTTTGCGCAAGTCCGTGTTTGCAGCACGCTCCGCCGAAGTATTGGGGTTTGATGTCTCTGCTCAAGGAAGAACCCCGACCCCGAAAAAGCGGGAGGCTTTACAGAGGTGGCCGCATCCGAAGACCGCAGAGAACTTGAAGTCTTTGGTCTGCTTCGCGAATTACCACAGGGAGTTCATACCTCGCCTGCCGCAAATTGTTGAACCGCTCCGCAAGTACATAGACAAGAAAACGCCCTTCAAGCATTTCGAAACCGACGAAGAAGCGCTGCAACACGTGGAGGAACTACGACACGCACTTGACGCGGAAGCCTACTTGGTTGACCTAGATGCGGAAGCGGCTCTGAACTGGCGTGAAACCGGCAGGCCTGTTGAGGTTTTTTGTGATGCTTCAGAGATTTCCGAAAGCTTTGTTGTTTGTCAGAGGAAGGAGGCGCACGGACGTCCCTTTCCGATCTGTTTCAAGGGTCACACCTTTAGCGAGCAGGAACGAAACTGGTCAACGATGGAGAAAGAGTTGCATGCGATGAAATTTTTCAGCGAGGAAGGCTTACCGGAATTCGATCGATTTGAAATTCTTCTTTACTTCGATCACAAGAACAACGGCACAGCGGAGATGGGGGCCCTTTTTGCCAACCAGAGGGTCGCAAAGAAGGTTCGTAGATGGATCGGGGAGCTTTATGACAACTTCGCCCGTGGAAACATTATTCGTTGTTTCCTTCCTGGTCAACACAACGTCTTAGCGGATGCAATCAGCCGCACTTGGTGGGGCGATGCTGATGATGAGGCAGCAGCCGTTGCTGGTCAAGAAGATGGCATCGACGGACGCGTAGGCGAGTTTATTCATTTCCTCTTCGAGAATCCGGAACAACGTGTAGGACAGCAAGAAACAGGGCCAGAGCAAGCGAAAGCTACGAAGCTTGCGAGGATGACTTCTGGGATGCGTGTGCCTGAGGTGATTGAAGCGCTTTTCAATGCACCAGAAAAGTTAGAAGGAGCATTCTTTGCGGCATATATGAACAACTACGCCCCTTTGCTGTCGCAGTTTCGTGCGCAACGTGCAGCACCAGCTGCAGACCTCGAGTTGAAGCTGTACCACTCAACTTCAACACGCTCAGAAGCTTGGCACCTCGAAGCAAAAAGTCGGCTGAAGAAGTTGTCTTGGCAAATGATCAGTCGCGTAGGATGCAGAAAGTACCGTAGGACCGACTTGGAGGCGCGTAGAGCTTTAGTTCACGCCTTTCGGGAGTGGTTGGCAAGTCTCTCCACAACGCATGAGAGCAGCTTCCGCGTCTTCGGCTTTATCGCGGAAGATTTTCTAGAATTCGAGGAGACGAACGAGGAACAGCGACAAGGCATCTCGAGAACGATTCGGGACTTTGACCCGACGAAGATGACGATCGACGACCCAGAAACGACTTGCGGCACGCCGCTACGATTGGAGACACATGCAACCAGGGACGGTTACTCTGATCACGACTATCAGTGTGGTTGTATGTGCCACCAAGTCTTCGCGACACCGAACGAACAAGAACCGAAAGCGCAAGACGACGACAAGAGCAACGACCCGAACGAGCAGCAAGACAGCGCGCCGAAGGATAGCAACGGCAACGACAACGACGAGCAGCAAGCCGAAGCGAGGGACCTAGCAGAGCAGGTTCCAGAACCAGAAAACGAACAAGAAAACGAAAACGCAGCAGCCGAAGAAACAGCAGAGCCGAAAGCGATTTTGCTAGACTTCGCAACGAGAAGTCTCAACGGAGACAGCACCGAAAACATCCGGACCGAGGATCTCTATGCAGCCTTGTGGCGCGACAACGTGTTGACAGGCTTGGCAGTTTTTCGCAAGTGGATTTCTGCGCCGGAGCGGTTTTTAGTTTGGCCAGCAAGTTGGGGAACAGTTCGCGTTGTCCTCTTCTACCGAGCTGGGCCGAAACGGGTTTTCAGAATACGACACGGCAGACCGATGGAGCTACTGAAGGAGGCTTCCGGATCGTCTGGCGCGGTGTCTGAGGATGCGAAGTTTTGCGGTGCTCTTTTGATGGGCAAGAAGCGTTGCTTACAGTGCATCGCAAGCGGCGCAGCTTCAGTTCCACGACTAGAGGTTGCACAAGAACAGCGGCGCGACGAATACTATGGGCCTATATTGCAAGCACTTGCAGAGCGAGACGAAAAAGCCAGCGAAGATTGGAAACAGGAAGTCCGGCGAAGCATAGTTGGCACGAGAGCGGAAGCGAGGAAGCTGATCAGAAGGATCGAAAAAGGCGAGTTCAGATTCGACGACGATGGTTGTTTGCTTCAGAAAGTCCGCGGAATCTGGTGTACCATTGTGCCAGAGGTTTTGCGATTGAAGATTCTCAAGGAAAGCCATGACCAGCACCACGGAACATTCAGTGCAACTTTGGAGCGATTGAGGCAAGAACGTGTCTGGTGGTTTGGCATCGAGGAAGATTGCGAAGATTTTTGCGATGTTCGCTGCCTAGTCTGTGGAGTTGAGCGAGCCAACGCGAAGACCGATTCTGTCTTCTATCAGGATACCGCCCGGCGCTTTGGTGATAAGTTCTTCATCGATCACCATGGTCCTTACGCAGAATCCAAGCGCGGAAACAAGTACTATTTTACCGTCGTCGACTTTGCAACTGGATATGGATGGTTATTCGCAGTTCGCAGCACCGACCTGAAATACGTCATCGCCTGCCTCGATGAAGTCTTCAAGGATCAAGGGTTCCCAAACGAAATTCGCTGCGACAACGGGTTCGGGGGACGTGGCGGACTTGTTGCCAAGTTGTGTCGCAGATACCGCATTCGATTCAAACCAGCTTCGCGAGAGAATCCACGAGGCCAATGGCCAATCGAGTTTCCCCACAAGGAGATGCGCGCTTTTCTAGCTACTCGGATGAGATTCAGCAGCAAGAAGAACACTTGGGACAACGAGCAAGACGATTTACAGTGGCACTGGAGAACGACTTCGCGACCCGCATGGGGCTACAAGTCTGCCCATGAATTCCGCTTCAACGAGAAACCTCGCGTACAGCTATCCGCAGTTGCAAAACGATTTGAAGACGACGAAGACCCGACCGAAGGAACGTGGGACCGACTAGACCACGACACGCGAGCCGCGGAGGAGATGTTAGCGAAACACAAAGCACGACGTGAACGGACCTTCTTCCTCAACGACGAGGCGCAAGCAGCCAGCAGGCAGGGCACGAGCGACGGAGAGTTCAAGGAAGGCGATGTGGTTTACTATCGGCATGCACGAGCAGAAGTTAAGCGGAAGGACATGCTTACCGGTGTGAACATCGCTTGCCTGTACATGGTGAAGCAGAAGCTGAACCCTATCTCGTATTTTCTGGTCGATTGGCGTGACAGTCTAACAGCGATTACATTCGTGCAGCCAGTACATCGGAAGTTCTTGAGCGGTGCCGGACTACGTGTTGAAGATTTTCTAGTAGACATCAGGAAACGCTTCTGGGCTACGGCTGAGAAGGTCGGCGTGGGTGTCTTTGTAAAAAGCTATGACGCATTCCGACTACGATACGCATACGAGAAAAACGGCGAAGAATACGTAGGAAACAAGGAGCAAGTAGAAGGGTTTTGCTTAGGTCTTCGGGAAAGTGCACTGGGGACGGTTTGTGGTTAAGAATCGCAAATGCACTTCCCTGAAGATCCTAAATTCCTCAAGTTTGCCATTTTGGCTCAAGATTCGACACATTCTTGACAGGATTTGAAGCGCCGTTAGTGGCCTACTTTGCATTCATTTGAAACGAGATTCGAAAACAAAAGCAAACTTCTACCCCCTGAAAACCCCCACGATTATCAATTCTTGAACGTGTGTTCTTTTTCTTTGGTAGAAATTTTCGGTCCGGGAAGCTGCAGTAATCTTCTTTCAAGCAGATATGACGTTGCCGGCTACGAGTACTATCGGCCATTCTTCGGAACACTCGGTACTAGGATTTCTTGCGATGGAGTCACTGTTTCATAGCTTCAGGAGGCAGTCGACTATTTAAACTCAAGTACGAAGATATTCTTTGACAGTGCTGTATTTCTCATTCTTGGTCAAAAATGAATGATGATCGAGAATCAGTATTCCGTCACTTGCATCACGTACATCCGACTCCAAACAGGCCCAGTCGATCAGCCGTTGGCAAACGGATGGCTAGGGGACCACGGCTACATTACGAAGACGCAAGGGAGCAAAGCTGCGCCGCTTGATGGGAATAAGCTGCAAGCGACAATCGCCGCAGAGGACATTGGGACGCTCCTCTGGTATCGCTCCACGGAGTTACCAAGGACGTCTGCGGAGGTCCAAGCGGGTCTGGGCGGGAAGAAGGAATGGGGAGTAATCATTACGGCGGACCACGTTGAAAAAACATTCGCTGACCTTGAGGCGATTCCTCCCAATTGTCAAATCGAAGTGCCAAGCGATGGCGATGCCCCACGGATCGTGCGTCCTCTCCTCAAGAGAGGGTCCTGGAAGCGGTCCTGGCATTCCCCGCAATATTTGGCAGCCGGTTCTTGGAGTGATCGACGAGGAGGTACTTGACTGTCCACTTCTGGCATGCACTCTGAACCCCAATATCAACCCTACTCTGAAGCCCTGCTTCAATGTCCAACAGACATTTCCAATGATGTTAGGACAATTCTTAAATTTGTATTGATTCATCAGTCAGAACTTTACCTTTTATAGTTACTCCCTAGGTAGGGTAGAAAACATGAACCTTCTTCGAAACTAATTCCATTATCTAGAAGTATCTCGCGATAAATTTACTCCACACAGATTTCACGGTGAAAGACGAAACCGAGGCCGGCAACGGCATGCATCTGGGCTCGGCGCCTAGCAGGACACTGATCCCTTAGGACTCTTGATAACTCAATCTCTCTTACTGAATTTTTTCTAAATTTATACGTAGCAATTCCAGGAGAGAACTATGGAATGGAGAATTCTTCTAACATGCCATTGGTGAAGCGGGTCCACAGCCTGGAGACCTTCTGTTGGCTATGACAGGTGAAGAAGTGCAAAAGTTTCAACAAAAGGGTCTCGCTCCGGCTGTTCATGCATGGGGATTCATCGTTGATGCCCGAAAAGATAGCACTGTGTCGGGAAGAGGATGCTGGCTGAATCGTCGTGTTAATGCGCCGGGGCCATCGTACGTCTATCTTACGGCAATTTCTGAAATCAATTCCCATTCACCGCTGCTAAATCATTCGCGAGTCCCCTTTAGACAATTTTTTCCCCATCAAGGATTTGCGGATCAACACAATTCTGTTAGATGGTCTACAATTGAAGCAGGTTGTGTCAGACCGTTATAGACACTTTACTACAAATAGGTTGCGAGGAGCGCGTCCTCTTCTAACTATGCGCTGAAGGAAGAAGAGGACTCCTCCCAATTTGACGTGGAGACGATCAAGAAATGGTACAACCACAAGCTTGCAGACGCGCGGACAGCTGAAGGTAAGAGGATTCCTTCTAGAGACGGTTGAGAATTTATCAATTTCAGCTCGATAGACAAATAGCGAAATGTAAGGCTGCACCTCGAGGAAGACGGACTAGTAGGCTAAGTGATTCATGTGCTACTAGGATTCATTGCGAAAGCACCTCAGTAGCATTTTTAGACCAGAGACGATGCATCTACTAAACTCAATGCTCCTCTAGCACAACATCCGATCTGAAAAATCTTTCAGCCCCGCGACCAAATGAGCTGCTCGGCCACATCTCCATTAAGTGGACGGAAGCAGCTTCCCCTCTGGACCACAAAGCGAAAGCAATCGGGGACGTCAACATCGGGGATCTCCTCTTGGATTTGCCTGGTCAGTCGAGGGGTGAGCAGTTGCAACAGCTCCCGAAGGAGGTATGGGGGATAATTGTTGTGCCGAAGGCCGCATTCGAAGCTACTAGGGACGTCGCGTATGTTGACAGGCTTCCTACGTGTCGAATCGTCTTCGATGAAGCTGGTGTGGGGGTCGTGACTCCTGTCAGGTACGAAACAATTACAGATGACAAAGCGCCAGGCTTCTGGATAGCACGGAGGCAGCTGAAACGTTTGGCAGCCGGTTCTTGGATGGATCGACGACAAGGTACTTAACTGTCTGCTTCTAGCATTCACTCTGAGTCCGAAAACCAAATTTACTCCTGTGAAATTATGTATGCAAAATATCCAACAAAGGTATCCAGTGTCAGTTGTATTTGATTGATGAGTGAACTTAGGACAACGCCTAAACGACTGGATCAACTTCTTAACTGCAATTTTTTTTCACCCAGATCGAGATTCAAAGGCCAATCTCGGTAAATTGGCGGACACGGGCGCCGAGTTAGGCTCGCTCACGATCGCGCGCGGTCGTGATGTTGCTTAAGGCTCTCGATAGATATAATTGTTCATTTGCTTCCAAAATTGGTTCCCAGCTTCCCAAGTAGGAATTCTAGGAAATGATTATGAATTCCACCTAGAGTGAAAGACTATGTAAACCTCTCCAGAGATACAGAAGTACGTCATTTCTTACAGTAAGAATATGTACAGGGTGAACAGTTACAAGTTTTTACAGTTTTAATTCGTGATGAGTCAGAATTTCTGCAAATGTTGGTGAGTCATGAGAGCTCCAACTTCGTACCAGTGGCGCTGCAATTATTGCTCTGCCAGCGATGAATGACGAAACGCTGCAGAGAGGAGATCTTTTGTTGGCACTCGAGGGGGACCAGGCAACGAAGCTGACGAGTTTGGAGGAGGTAGCTCCAGAATCCGACGGATACTGGGGCTTCATTTTAAGGCTAAGTAGTTTTTCATCGCCCTGTTTGTGACTGAGTGAGATGATGATGAACATCTTCTCCCTCATCTTTTCAGCAAGATGAGGGAGAAGCTGTTGATCGTCACGAAGTTGAACGCCCTTCTTGTCTCCGCAGTGTGTGAGGTATAAAGAAACGCCAATAAGGCTGACCCACAAAGAATTCTCGGTGAATCTTCACTCGAGCGAACGTGGATCATCCAGAAGGTACACGCTAGCAAGCGAGATCTACGAAGATGAAATAGTAGCGCTAATGCCTGTCGAAGAGACGTCGCCTGACAATGACGATCCCAGCGCCGTTGTATCCGGGAGGCAGTGCTGGGTGAAGCGTGCGCAGGGAGATGAAGCTGGTCTTATCAAGATCCATCTTATGGCCTTATCAAGATCCATCTTAACGACCTCTTGCTAGGTAAATGAATGAATGAATGAATCACCATCGTTCGCTTCTTTTTTGGCACCCTTGCACTTGAGTATATCCTTGATATGTTTTTGTTATATAATTCTTTTCTCCTTGCTTTCTGCTTGATTACATCCTAAATAGAGTAGAAGTCTCCTTCCATCCATACATCTTCCTTGAAAGGTTTTCATTTTGACCACTGTTTTCACATGATCATGTCTGTCGTTCTCAACAAGATGTTTTTCACACATGGCTCTTCGATTTTTGCATGTGCATGGGAGACAACCAGGAGACAACTATGTGTGACAAGAACACCCACATATAAAGCATGTGTTCATGATCATTAGTCTTTAGTACCCGTAGATACATAAGCTTGCTGTTCTAACCACGCATAAATAAGTTTACATTAGTCCTTAGTAAGCTTGCTGTTCTAACCATGCTTTTCGGACCGCTGGCGGAACCTCAGACGCTGCAGTCGCTGTTTCTGGAGTTGAGATGACCGTGCCTCAAATGAAGAAGATCTTTCAGAACCGCTTGCGGAGCAGAGAGAGAATGGGTAAGAAATTAAAAGCAATGGTTCCAGAAATACCGACTCAGACCCGAAAATGTTATACACAGTTCAATACCGACTAACGAATGCTGTGGTTGTTCAACAACGACTCAATAATGCTGTAGTTTAGTAACGACTCAATAATGCTGTAGTTCAGTAACGACTCAGAAATGGTGTAAATGTACCCTAAAATATAAATCAAACAATGTTGTAGTTTCAGAAAAGATATAATGTGAGAACAATACACCGCATAATTATAGTGAGTGCGATTATATGCGAGTCCTTGCCTATTATAGTGGAGAAGAGAACTTTCTATTTAATGTTCTATTTTGGTCTCATTCTACATCATCGTCCAGTGTGACTTCCCTTCGTCTAGTTCCCCTATACCACTCCCCCTATTCAACTTTCTCCTATACCACTCCCCCTATTCGACTTTCTCCTCTACCACTCCCCCTATTCAACTTTCTCCTATACCGCTCCCCCTATTCAACTTTCTCCTATTTTTCAACTTTCTCCTATACCATTTTCTCTGTTGACCACCTCACAGCCAAAACGAAAACGGACACATCGTGGGGCTATGTTGCGTGGAATCAGTTCGCTGGTGGAAAGGCGTTGTTGTCGGACGCCGATAATGTTGGCGTTGGGAATCATCTTCTCTTGGCTATGACAGCTGACGAGGTAAGTTATGGCTTCACCACTTCGAGTACACATAAAATCATCAGCATCCCCATCATCAAACGCATACTCCTAGAGGGGCTTTTCAAGGGCAGAGGGGACGCACTTCATCAGTGTCAGAGGGGATTGATCAGTAATTACCGAGTGAGAGATTTCAAGTCATCCTGAATTTTCTCTGTTGCAGGATGATGAGTCGCTGGATTGTAGATATAGAAGATGTAGTTGTCTGTGACCTTTCAGATGTAGTTGTGTATGACCTTTCGTATAAAGTCACTGTTTCCAAAGTATAATGTTGGGGTTCGCAGATGAACACTATCCTCGATCTCATCATGTTTTGAAATACATCATGCCTCCATCTTGCGATTTCAAGATAGATGGAAGAAGCATGTCATGCCTCCATCTTCATTCAACAGACGAGTCCAATTAAATTGTAAGAAAGTCCAATTAGATGAGAGGAAGATTCCATCTTCGGACATCGTGATTAGTGCGACGAAGATTAGTGCGACCTCTAAACAACACAGGGACTGCTCTCTGCAAGTCCTTCTCATCCACTAGAAGTACGGGGAAGAGTCGTTCCGGCTAAAAAAGCGGATCCTCCAGGAGAGGAAGCTGGAGCAGAGGCAACTGACAAGTCCAATTAAGGCTTCATAGACAGTAGTTTTTCATCTCCTGTTGAGACAGGAGTTTTTCATCTCCTGTTGAGACAGGGGTTTTTCATCTCCCTCCATAGACAGTAGTTTTTCATCTCCTGTTGAGACAGTAGTTTTTCATCTCCCTCCATAGACAGTAGTTTTTCATCTCCCTCCATAGACAGTAGTTTTTCATCTCCTGTTGAGACAGGAGTTTTTCATCTCCCTCCATAGACAGTAGTTTTTCATCTCCTGTGGTCATCTTGGTCTCTTCAGTCGACAGATGAAAGCACACGAAGATGAAAGGTAGCTGGCTAGTTATCCCTTGACCTTGATGTCTGCGGCTATTTCCTTCGACCAAAGTACTGCGTTGCGCATCCTGTCTCTAAAGAAACACGGATCAGCCGGAGCAGATGTGTCGGGTCGTGTTTGATCGTGTCAATGGACCTGGGGTTGTGTACCCTGTAGACATTCCCGACCCCAAGCATAACTGGATGTGGGTCCCGAGAGAGGGAGAGTCGCTCAAGTGGCGCGTAACCGGTTGGACGGACATGCGGCAGTTTGAATGTACTATGGATGAATAATTGATTCTAGTACGTTTCTATGTCGTATTCGTATTCAAGATTTGTATTTTTTTACACAAATCCTGCAGCACTGTCGAACGCCGACGGGGCGTCCTCTGTGACCGGTGTTGTGGTGAATTCGCCCGAAACACCCTTTGCCGCGAAGCTTCGCGAAGGCGATGTACTGTTCACACGTGAACCAAGCAAAAGTGTATGGATTGTTCTGTAATATGGATGACTAGGTAAAGGTAGTACTACGTGGATCACACTGAGCCTGCTTAATCTGTTATGCAGGTCAAGTATGTTATGTTAGTAGCCTGAATAGACATAATTTGATATAAACATGAAGGTATAGTAGAAGTACTAGATGCACTGTTCACGGGTGATGAAAAGGCGATGTACTGTTCACGCGTGAACCAATTGTATGGACTGTTCTCTAGTAGACTGTTCTGTGTGCCCTCCCAGATGCCCTCCCAGTAGTACATAAGAGAAGGAACTAGTAAAGTCGGGTGAGTGTCCCCTTTATTTTGCTACTAGTACGAATGTTATCTATGTAGTCATTCACGCGTGAACCAAAGGAAACTGGATGGATTACAATCTTCAAGTTAAATTTAGGATAGAGTTATCGGCTGTACAGGAGTGAATCTACTCATATTTTCTGTGGAGGCATTGGAATAAGTATCAGGTTAGTTTTCCCTCTATCCTTAGGCTTATCCCGTCATGCAATAAGTGCCAGGACTGTGTTGAGAATGAAAATGTGTCTAATTTTTGCTGGATGTTGGGGACTGGCGATTGAGAAGAACGACCAGGGAAATTTGGTGGGAAAGCAGTGCTGGGTCAATTAAGGCTATACTGGTGTAAGAATGCACTTTTTTCCTACCAAGAACTGAACTCAGTTCTTGGTCACGTCTTTTTTATCTCGTCTTACAGTAATTATTCTTGAAGTTAATTTCGGCACACTGTTTTTGTAAAAGACACGATACCAAGAAAAAATGTATCCCTTTCCGCTGCTCGTACAAGACGGAAAAATGTATTATGGATGGACCAGAACTGGGAGGGGGGGATCGCAAAAGGAGGAAGCGCGCCGCAAAGCTCCTGCTGCGGGGGGGGGCGGGGGGATCGCAAATGGAGGAAGCGCGCCGCGAAGCTCCTGCTGCCTGGCAGTTGCCCGCGCGCCTGCCTCTGGCGGGTGCGAGGTACTGCGGCAAGAGCGGGAGAACATAGAGAAACGAAAGACGCAGCAGGATGCGCCAAGCCTGAGGGACCGGCCGCAGCTTGGTGGCAATCCTGCCAGGACACTGCGCGGCCAAGCGCGCGCGCCTCCCCACCGGGTCCGGGCGCGCATAGCACAGGCCACCGGGGCGCTGCGTTGGCCATGGGGTGGAAGAAGCAGCCCACATGAAGGGCCAGGGTCAAGCCCCCTGTATTCCGGGCCCCTTCTGATACCGCGGCCCCCGTTTTTCCCGGGGCCATGTTGGCCCCACTACTTTCGGGGACCCCGCCACAACTATAAGGAACCCCGCGGGAAAATAAGGACCCGGGATTTTTGCGGCCCCGGTCCGATTAAAGGGGGAAAAGCACCGGGGCCCCTATAATACAGGGGGCCCAGTTTTTCCGGCCCATGATGACGTAAAAATACTAACTACCTCTAATGAACCAAAGCTGAGCCTAGTGTGGGAGCGGAGAAATCTCAAGCTGACGATCAGGAAATCTCCATCCTTCGCGTCGGATCGGGTGACGTGCCGCTCGAGGAAGACAATGTCAAGGGTGTCTACCCATTCTTCGCATCCACAGCGGCGGGCGGACCTTCCATGAATGATCGACCAGGTACCAACCGAACGCCCGTCCTAGGTTAGTCCCTTCACCCAATTCATAGTATGTTACAATTTCGTATTAAAGTAAAAAGCTGCAAGCATTTGTTTGTTTGTTTTGATGCGCTCCGGGCGACGCGTACGATCCCGCCGGATTTCTTTGTGCTCTGTGTGTGTAATGCTATGGTCGTCATTGCGATCGACTATGGTATGCCCGGTCGCCACAGTCCCCGCCAGCTGCGGCTTTTGTGGCATGCCGGGTGCGGTGTGCTGCAGGCGGCGGCGACTGCGCGTGTGTAGCGCCTGGCGGTGAGGCGCAGCCAGGTTTGGTTGACGTTTTTGCGGCCTGCGCGCACTGTTCTTCGCGTTCTCGTTTTGTCTTCGTTCTTTTTGTCTTCGCGTGCTTCCTTTCTGGTCTCCTCCCTGCTCGTTCTTTGTTCGCCACCACCTATCTCGGCCCCCGTCCTATCGTAGCGGGCAGCGATGGGTTTACCATCAAAAGAGTCACTATTTTCTCGTCCAGGCTTTTAGCTCTTTTACATTTATGCTTTTTTCTTTTTCCTCCACGCAACAGATCCGGGCGCGGCTCCAGACTGGGGAAGTAAATTGGGCAGCAAAAAAGAGATGACCGAGCTAGCCACGCAGACACCGGCGGATTTGAATTTATGGACACAGACAATTTAGTTGGCACACAACATACAATTGTTCATAAACATGCTGGAGAGGAATATATACTGAGCAATTTACTACTGGGGAACAACTTTTGATTATTATAGATGAATCAGCATCCCTGATTACCCTGATTACTATATTTAAGAAGAGTGTAACTCATTTGGAACCTCTAATGAGTTCAGGAGACGTCCTGCTCTCCAAAGAGGCCAAAGACCAGATGAACGGACGTCCGCCTTATGGCCTACTTGCTACAGTCGCTGTTTCTTAAATGATTAAGTTGAACTATAACACCGATGTACACAACATGACTTCTAGCTGTGAGATGGATCATTCACTACGCTTTCAGCATTTCGTGTGGTCTGAAAAAGTTTCCTTGAAAAGATCTCTCAGAAGATGGTTGAGCTGAGTTATGAGAAAAAAATGTCTCGATGTCTCTTCGAAGATGGCTAAGTTGAGTTATGATGTGTCCAGCTTGTGTGCTCTAACTTCCTAAAGTTGTGAACGCTTTTGTGGTGACGCAACGGCTGAGCAACGGCGATATTGTCGGGTACAAGTGCTTGCTGGTGCCAGATGGGAGAGAGGGAATCTCGATCGCAGTTAAGGACAACCAAGTAGTTTCTTTGATTTGAGTTGGGTATATTTTTGATTTCATTTGTGTCTACTTTTCCTTTGATTAAGCCTAAATACCGACTCTGTGCCGTAAAGAGAGGCGCATCAGTGTGATCGCATAGAATCAATGAGCAGCACTAGGAGAATTTACTACTAAGTAATGCTAGAAGTAGTAGGAGTAGTTAAGCACCCAATCGTGGGGTATAGATTCTTGACTATTTAGTTATTCGCTCCAGGTGTGAAAGGTAGTGCTTCTAACGACCCTCTGGATGGCGGGGATGTGCAGATGTCCCATACCATGGACGAGCTACAGGAGAAATACTCCTTGAATTGGCAGGGTGCCGCTTCTATGGGTATTTGAGTTTCAACTTCCAAAGAATTAGTTCATTCCAATGACTCTCAAAAGACTTAGTAGGAAACTTCCTCCATGATCCGCTCTCTCTTTCTATACGTTTTCTAGGTAAGTAAAAACTACATCTCACTTAAGTAGATGATCTTCACTCGTCCCGTAAAAGTAACCAGCATTCCTCTGGAACACACTCCTCACAGGTTCTGAAGTAACTAGTTACTGCTCTTTTCCACACTACCAAAAAATCAGTCGCGTACGGTCTACCAAACTACTAGTTACAACCCTTTTCCCCAACTGCTTACCAGGCTCACCGAATGGACGCTCCTACGACAGCAATGAGGGCTTCCAGAAGCTGCTAGCTGAGGATGGGATCGTGTCCTCAGATGGAAATGGATTCGTTTCGACCATGGATGTGGGAGATCTCCTACTGACGCAAGATGCAAGCAAAAAGCTTCAGCAGCTGGCACGGGGTGGCGGCAACCCACAGGGGGGCGCGGCAGTGGCTGATTCTGGAGGAGAAGGAGGTGAAGCCGGGACCCTGAGCTTCGGGCCTGATAGTGTATCGGGCTTCATCGTCACGGGAAAACGACACACTAAAAAAGGTGGCGCACAAGATGCAGCAGTTGCGACAGACGCAGTCGAGGGTGCTGCAGAGTCCAGCAAGGAGGCAGAGTCCGCTTACGATTAAGGCCTGATAGATGCAATTCATTTCCACGGGTCATTTTCTTTGGTTTTCTTCTACGGATTGTGAAGAAATACAGGGAAGACATGAATTGCTTTGCGCTCTAATGCGAAATCGTGGGACACCAATGCAAGCTATATGTGGATGCCAAAACGGGTACGATGAAAATCGAAAGTGAGGGAATCCCCGTGGCGCACAGTGTTATGGCTTTTAACTACAACTAGTTAGCCGGTATCAGACAGTCAGGTCGACGTTTCTAGAAGCGGACAATCATTATTATCATGCATGTCATGTCTACTTACAAAACTAGCCTATCAAGTAACTTCTCATGATGAGAGCGAGCTGACAAGTGGATTGTCGATCTTGATAGAAAAATATCGTCATTTCCCATCTAGTTGATGCTAGAGTGAGAGACTAGATAATTATATATACATAGGTTGCTGTCACCTCGCTTGCTTGTACAGGACTTATGATCTGGATCAAGACTTATGCACTGTGAATCTGCACGTCACGAATGAGCTAACTGCCACTACTTGTACCTATATGAGATCTAGCAGAAGACATCGCCTAGGCGACTACAAGTCTTAGTCTAACATCGCGGTTGAACTGAGGCGGGAGTATCCCTTTTGTGTGAGTGGTGCTATCCCACAGAGTGAATCGAAAGTGGCCGCAATTGATCCTGACGCGTACAACAGTGCCCTGGCGAACCCATCGGAGGAAGATTTATGCTCAAGGTCTACGAGACTTTTAGACTTATGTAGTATACAACTGCTTGCTTCTGCATAGTTAGATACTGTAGCTTCTGGATAGTTAGTTTACAACTGCTAGTAACTTGAGATGTTAACTTGTGTATACAGTGCACAGCCTCTAGTTCTGGTACAACATCAATAATAGTAGTTCAAGTGTTGACTAGTGTCTATATGCTATACTAGAACATTGTGTACAACTTGTAGTTCTTGTGATTGAGTTGAGCCGATAAATGTAAGATGTGTCCTCTCGTGAATTTAACGTAGACAACGTCACACCTAGTAAGTATAGTCACTACTACGACAAGGTTTGGATAATGGCGTCCTATTGCTTACCATACTTCCACATTCTAAAGCATACCTACGATGCCGATCCTCTAGAAAGAGGCAATCCAGACAGACCAGGGTTTGCGCGAACAATGACGCTCAATTCCAATGCTTAAGGCTTGACTTGATTAATCGATCTTCCTGACGGGATGTATCTCCAAAGAAGGCAGCCTGGTTTGAGCTAGACTTTCGAGTTGGAAGATCGGGCTATGAGTTCTAACATGTTGCGGGAGAAGTGACGGTGAATGCCCACGCTGAGTCTGGAGTGGAGAGTGTGGCTGAAGATGTGTGCTTCGGATGCGCACTCGTGGCTGCCTAAGTGGTTATGGGATAGTATCATGATTCATAACTACATTTACCAGAGATCTTTTTTAATTGACACAGATTGCCATAGATCTTGTTGATTAATTTCCCAGACCATTAGGTACTGGTAACGAGTAAGTATGGAAGTTCAGTTGGGAGTAAATTGTGAAAAAGAATCTTAGATTTCTCTAATCGAGCAGTCACATTTTGGAGAAGTAGAAAGATTAGAAGGTCCAGTCCCGTCGTCAGCCATTCCAGTTCGAGGAGATTTTGCCCAGTTCACGGAGATTTTGCCCAGTTCACGGAGATTTTGCCCAGTTCACGGACACGGGTGCCACCACGAAGATGTGCTGGTAACAGAGTGGATAGCACTAGGGTAAATAAGGAACTGGGGTACAAAGGTGATCAAGGAACTGGGGTACTTAGGTGATCAAGGAACTGGGGTACTAAGGTGATCAAGGAACTGGACTGGTTGGTGAGTGGACTGGACTAGGGTGGAAAGGGGAGGGTGAGAATGGTGGAGACCCTATTTTCATACTGATTAAGCAGAATTCGTCAGGATTCAGGAGAGACAAAGATGTTGTCTAATCAGTATACATAGAATTGCGATTGCATGGTAAAAACTACTACTGCGACAGGGGAGGAACTACAAAGTAGTTTAGAAGGGCTTTCAGCTTGGAAGTTCGTGAGTGGTTTTTAGGAGGTGGCTTTTAGGTCACTGAGGGGTAGGGTCTCTATAGAGGGGACAGGGTTAGGGCTGGCTTCAGGGTTTAGTAACTTCGACAACAGTTCTTGGACCTATACACAGTTTAACTGTGAAGACAAAGTTGCAGTTCATAGTTACTCCTGGCCATAGATACAGCTATTTTCTTGTTGTGTTGAGTGACGAAGGAGCAGCTGCTATTCTCATGATGGCATGTGCTACTCTCGCTCTACTCTCATTCTCATAATGGCACGTGATATGCCCATAATGGCACGTGATATGCTCGTGATGTCATGTGATTATATGCTCATGATTTTATGTGCTATTCTCAAAATGGCATGATCTTGCCCATCAAGAAGTTGCTATTCAGTGCGCGTCCATCTAAAGACGAAGCAACAAACTCGGTCATATGCCATTCGCCATTAAGAGAAGTGCTCAACAAGAATTTACTGAAAAGTCGATAGACTTATCAATTTTTTGATCGTGTAGGCATGTCAAATCGTTAGGATGCTAAGAAGGTATGCAATGGCGCTAAAGTGCTGACAGCAGTGATAGGATGACACTAAGGACTCTAGGACTTGCCGTGCCGGCGGTTGTGCAAAGAAATTCACACATTCCTTTATAGCGCCTCTGCTGTGATGTGTCCCGTTGGTGACGGCGTCTCTGATTTTAGGGCTGACGTCCCGTATCTAGGGTTATTGGGGTTCGGGGCAGGGTTGCTTGGTCGCTTAGGGAACGAGATACAGCTACGGAATGTGAGATTATCTCGAACTTCTGTTTTCACTGCTACCTCTCAGTTGATAATCATTCGTTCATTTGCTGTTGCTGTTCCTACATTTTTCCTTTATATCCTTACCCCGCGAATGGGTACCCGAGTACTAAGACTACCGACCGAAGCTAGCTAGTAGGTAGCGACAAGAGTTGTGAATGGCCTATTTGTCCTAGCTGCAGACTTTCTGCGTAGATGTTGCATGACTCCAGGAAAAAACGATTGACATAGTCCCGCATTCCGTCATAGTAAGTTTTCAACACAACTAATACAAATACTGAAAGTAGAGCGACTTTTCAGCACCACCGTTTACCTCTTCTGATGTTTTGATGTAATTGTCTAGTTTATTTTTATTTGCAACCACTTACAATTAGATTGTCCAATTATTACCTTCAAAAGTCTTGATGTCCCAAAATTCAATTTTGTCCAATTTATCTTCACAAACAACAAGAACTACTTAGAATATTCTCTCCCGATTTGCTAGAATTTTTTCTTGACAAAGGAAACTGATGCGAAAATACAACCCGATAATTGTCGTTGTACAGACATCGAGTTACGCGAGCTTGAATATGAATACGCGAGCTTTTCTTACCCCACTCGCTGCACAGGTATGAATAGAGGAACTCTGCACAGCTATGAAGAAAAGAAATTTCGTTGTTGACGAAATTTTGTTGCACAGACATGAATAGAAAAACGACTCTCATACATGAATAGAAAAACGACTCTCCCACATGAATAGAAAAGCAACTGCATCATGAGACCACGAACGAAAATCTTACCTCACAGCACCGACATGAAATGAATCGAAACATCAAAATGCTCCCCTCCCCGTGCACAGATTGATATGAATAGAAGCTTTTTTCCCCAATTTTATTTGAAGTTGTACAGAGATGGGTTGAAAGTAGAGCAATACTAAAAGCCACATAGATGTCTTCATAGGTCAGAGAAGCACAAAGGCTGTTAAGAATTTGCGTGCCTAGTAGCGGTGACAAAGAATCAATGACAACAAGTAAGAACTTCCTAGATGAACGCTGAAATTAAAAACGGTGAGTGATCATATCCTTCTACTCAGGACCCCCCCGCTTAACATGGGGTAGCATCGACGAACCAGGTATGTCTACGAAGGATAGGATGCAAGACCACAAACTACAGCCAAAGAACAGTACGTACAAGATAAAGAAGATACACTGGAAGGACAGATGTACATAAAAGGGTAGTCCGTTGCCACAATAGTTTGCAAAAGCCTAATTTATTTCGCACTAGAGAAGGCTGTATGTGGTTGTAGAGCTATCGCAGTTGCGATGTTGGCATTCCCACCAGCATCTTTGTCCTCCTTGGGTACCTTTTGTTTCGCTGGGAAGAAAAGCCCGCGTCAAGCGCACCACTAAAAGGAGGAAGCGCACACGCGACTCGATAGCACTTTTCTGCAGACATCAGCAACGCATCACAAATACAACAACAGCGAATTTGAACACCTTACATGTGCAATCCATCACAGATACAACAATCCAGGTGAACACACACGAGGAACGATATTTTGGCATCTGAAAAATATTCATAGTTAGACGTATGTGCAACGACAGAAGATATGCATGGAGTGTATTGTTGTACTGATATCGACGGGTGTAGATCATCTCGGCAAGAATTCTGCGACGTGACACGTGGAACAAGGAGAAGAAGCTGGATGAACACGAATTGTTTGACAACACTTTATGGTGGAGGAGCCGTGAACGGTCTCGGGACGACGCTAGATTGCGAAAAGAGAGGTGTGCGAAACGAGTGTGGAACGTGTTGCTGCCATTCAGAGTAGCTGGGAGCGGAAATGAGTAGGACGGCATGAGAGACGAAACCTGGTTACAGTTGTCGGGCATCTTAAAACCTGAAAAAATAGCGGAGTTTGAAAAGTCTGGAAAAAAGAGCGAGAAAATCGAGTTTCTCACATATTTAGTGCACGAACAAGTGAGAGTGCTGCAGGAGATAAGAACGATACCTACTTTTCAGGCGTACTGCTACACGCAATAGATCTGTAGTTTCCAATCCTTACGTAAAGCTACCAATTCTGTTTATGTGTCGCATGTCGAACTAGTTCTTCATCCCATGGATGACTCAGATCGTCTATGCGGAAGTCTACGTAAACAAGGATGCCTTTTCGAAGGGCGAACAAATGATATGACGCAGGTGGTGCGAATGGCGCTGCGTGCGTCAGCATTGGTAGGGCTCCTAAGCTCGACCAGCGCTTTTGCCAATCACGCTGTGCAGCCACGAAACCTTTACGACCATTTCGGGCCCAATGGCTGCGTGCAGCTCTCGGTCGATGCAGCGTCGCAGCACTGTGTGGTGGAGACGTCGAAATGCGCGAATGCAGAGGATCTAGCGAACACGGAGTTTGCTTTCGTATGCCACGATCAGTCAAAGCGGAGTGTGCATTCGTTTGGCCGTGGTGGCTTCAAGCAGAACGAGAGATTCGTGACACAGACGCGATGCCCAGCAGGATGCTTTGCATTCAGTTCTAACGACATCGATCTCAATGGAAAGAAGGAATTTGCGGCGAAGCGAGGCCCGGTTTCACCGACTGGAGGGAAGCGAATGATGGCAGCGAGTAGAGCGATTCCATTTGCAGCAGCCGGCGAGAGCCGAGCAGCGAGTGGACGGGAAGCGCGAAACGCTGAGGATGCAGGAAAGGCGGCAACTGCAGCGACAGGAGGAAGCAGTGAGGTACTTATCTTTGTATCCTTACAAATTCTTGGAAAATCATAATTCATAAATTTCGGAAGTGTCGTTCATATCTGAAGATCTATTTGCTGCTAGCTCAGCGAGGAACGTCTGACCCTTTCGTATCGTTAGTGAAATCGAATCATGATAGATTCCCAATCCCCGTTCAAATCAAAATCAGTGGCTCTTATGAAAAAGCAGACCGATTGGCTCTTGAATCCCGGATCCTCATGAAACTTTGTCATTCATCCATCACATAGATAGGAGATCAAATACAACGGTTCTACGATGGAAGGATAACGGGAATCAAAATTTTCTAAAGTTCTTGAAAGAACGATAGATTGATCCCGTTGCTTTGCACTCCCAACGGATTCATATTTTTGAATTTGAACACATTGCAGATCCACAAAAGAAACCAGATCTTTGATCGATGATGAAGAACCGTCGATAAACGAGCAAATTTTCCGGCTTTGCTTCAAATAACCTAAGACGGACGTTACCCTGAAGGTACATGCTGCATCATCCAAGCGCTAATCACTCCTCCTAAACTTAAAACAGGGACCATACGAAAGCATAGCTTCTCGCTATCTAAACTCTTCTATTCTATCTGTTTTCCAAAACAGCCCAAACAAACAAAATGACCGAGGGAAAGGAGCATTTGTCGATCGTGATCTGCGGTCACGTCGATTCCGGTAAGTCGACCACGACGGGTCACTTGCTCTTCGAGTTGGGTGGTATCCCGGAGCGTGAGTTGGAGAAGCTGAAGGCTGAGGCTGACCGTCTTGGTAAGTCCTCCTTCGCCTTCGCGTTCTACATGGATCGCCAGAAGGAGGAGCGTGAGCGTGGTGTCACCATCTCCGTCACCACCAAGGAGTTCTTCACTGAGAAGTGGCACTACACCATCATCGATGCCCCGGGACATCGTGATTTCATCAAGAACATGATTACCGGTGCTTCCCAGGCCGATGTCGCTCTTATCATGGTGCCGGCTGATGGTACTACAAAGATTTACATACACTTTTCCTTAGGCCGGTGATATACACATGTTTTAGATACCAAGAACCGTCAACGTGTCGCGAACTTGAGTTTCGAAGATTTGTGGCGAAATCAGATTTCACCGAATTGTCGTATTGAATTGTAGCACGACTATCAGTTAATTTGTGGTTCGTCTTTTACCATGCTGCACTGTCGTTAATATGGTGATCTCTTGAAAGTCTTCGACATCGATACGTACAAGGAGTTTACATTCATCCTTTGTTGCTTCACTACTCTTTTTCTCTCGTGACGACGACATCTCTTAACTCACAACAGGTAACTTCACCACCGCCATCCAGCGTGGTAACCACAAGGCTGGTGAGATCCAGGGACAGACTCGTCAGCACTCTCGTTTGATCAACTTGTTGGGCGTCAAGCAGATCATCATTGGTATTAACAAGATGGATTGCGACACCGCTGGTTACAAGCAGACCCGTTATGACGAGATCGCCAACGAGATGCGCAACATGTTGGCCAAGGTCGGATGGAAGAAGGACTTCCTCGAGAACCAGGTTCCGTACATGCCGATCTCCGGTTGGTGCGGTGACAACTTGGTCAAGAAGACCACCAACATGTCCTGGTGGAAGGGTGCTGACGTCAAGGTCGGCTCCGAGACCGTCCACGTTGACACTCTGTACGACTGCTTGAACAACATGTGCCGCGTTCCGGAGCGTCCGATTGATGCCCCGATGCGTCTCCCGATCTCCGGAATCTACAAGATCAAGGGTGTCGGTGATGTCTTGGCCGGCCGCGTCGAACAGGGAATCGTCAAGCCCAACGAAGAAGTCATCTTCTTGCCGACTCACACCGCCGCCAACGCCTGCGCCGGAAAGGTCTTCCAGATCGAGATGCACCACAAGTCCGTGCCGGAGGCCAAGCCGGGTGACAACGTCGGTATGAACGTTAAGAACTTGGACAAGCAGAACATGCCGCGCTCCGGTGACGTCATGATCTACAAGAAGGATACCACCTTGTCCGCCGTCAAGGCCTTCGATGCCCAGATCCAGGTCCTCGATATCCCGAACGAGATCAAGATCGGTTACTCCCCGATCGGTTTCGTCCGCTGCGGACGCGCTGCGTGCCGAATTTCCGCCCTCAAGTGGAAGATGGGTAAGGAGACCGGTGGTAAGAAGATGGAGGAGCCGCACTCCTTGAAGTCCAACGAGATGGCCCAGGTCACCTTCGAACCGCAGCAGCCGCTCGTCGCTGATTCCTTCAAGAACTGCGAGGGTCTCTCCCGTGTCGCGTTCATGGACGGAAACGGTGTTGTCATGTTGGGAAAGGTGGTCTCCGTCGAGGCCAAGGTCTTCGAGGCCAAGAAGAAGTAAATCCACATCGTCTCTCCTAGTTGAAAAACTACAAACGGGATTCACGATGGACAGCTTCACAGCACGCGACTTCTGCTACACAACTTCTTCCACCTTTCCGCAGTAGTTCTTGCAATGAGAAGAGGAATCGGTTCTAACGACCATGCGTTTCAACTTCGGAGAAGCCAGAGGGAGCTGTAAAAATTTACCATCTTGCTTCAGCAAGTGGGGTTTCGACCAAGAGACGGTATTGGTGTAGCGACTAGATGGAGGCGTCGTCTCAAAGGAAGCAGATAGAAGAGAAGGTCAGCAAAGCTTTGCACATGAATGTCAGGAGCATTTTGATGTTCCTTTGAATTCATAGACGATGACGGCATATCGTGAGGAGGAAAGTGCTTAGCAAAAAGAGAAATGCTAGATCCGGAGGAGCACTATCTTCTTGACACAAGTGTGTCCGTGTTCCAATAATTGAAATTATCGGTTGCTGCATCGCATGTAATTCATATTCGGTTGTAGTTTCACGTTCGAAGAAGAGTTGTTGTGACCCATCGAGTGTACATGTAAAAAACAAAGAGCACACCTTGTCTGTGATCCACGCGCGAATGCGAAAAGAGTCTCGGCATTGTAGCATTGTAGCTAATTCAGAGAGCGCCCAATTTTTAGGTCCTCACCGCCGTCAAGGAACTGAAATCCGAAGTCCGCTCACTGGAAGCGCGTTTGTCGACGTTGGAGGTGGCTGTGGGGCAAAACGCCTCTACTCGATCTGGACCCCTTACAACGGCATCTGGAGCTGGACCCTCTACAACAAGTGGACCCTCTACAACAACAACGTCGTTTCTCGCGCGTCGTGGTGATGAGCCATCGTTGGCGGAGCTAGTGCAGGCTCAGAGTGGCGATTATGCGCCCTTCGATGATGACGTGTTTGGAGCGACGAGAGAACAGGAAGACGGCCTCTCACCTGAGAGGGAATCAGCAGGAGGAGCGTCTGATGCGGCGTCTGCTTCATCGGACTCTGAGGCTTCTACCGGCCCAGCTTCAGCGAAAGAGAGTTATGACAGTTACCAGAAGGAAATCCGTGAATTCTACCTGCTGAGTTCATAGACCTTCAAGCAGAATTTTTTTTTCTTCCTGGCCCTGCGAACTGTTATGAGCAAAATCTCTCTCTTCTACTCTATCCGCTAATGTCAAAACCAGTCGCCTCCCACTGCAAACACTGTGCCGGTTCCAGGATTGATGGAGGACTATGCTGAACGAAACAGAGTAGCACTTTTGCAGAGGACCACAGTTAACATGGATGACGTTTCGGAGTATTAGGATTTACACGAGAAAACGCACTAAACCAAGGGTTTTCTGAGAATTTTGGCTTGAAGTATGTGCCGTTATTTCTTCCATGTACAAAAATGGTATCGGGCAGCACAAGTATATCTTCTTACCGTCGATCTCCCGAATGTTTTTTCTATTGGACGACTTACGATATGTGTGAGTCCTATGACCAGCTGAGCTTCGGAACAGAAGTTCTCTCGTGGAAAGCCACGATCTATGTAATGTTTCTGGTGCTCTTGCTGCTGAAGCGGAGCGCTTCCTCGAGTGGAGGACTCTATGAGGTCGCTTGTTCAGAGGTGCCACAACTCACTTGTGCGATAAGTGATGCATTCAACAAAAGCGTATGTGGTTGAGAGAATTGGCAAATTCGAAAAGACGGTCAAATATGGCGCACTCAGAGAGGTGGTAAGATGTAGCGTGAGCATCTCCGTCCACTGATGCAGGGACGATGTCCACTTATGTAGCGTGAGCATCGTCCACTGATGCAGGGATGATGTCCACTTTTATGTAGCATGAACATCTCTACTAACCCAGCAATCTGAGACGAGATTGGCCGTAGAACTCGGGAGCCCGATAGATCGGTGGCATCTCAGCCAGCTCCTCGAGAGCAGCCTAGCACGAGGGCCCTCCACATATATTACTTAACATTAGTCTCTACGAGTCCGTCCACTGATTCTCTACTGCAATGCAATATCATGTTTGTATGGCACAAAAATCTACCGAGAGCGCCTATTTGGATAAAGAATCATGAGTGCTCAGTTCCTCGCGTCGAAGATGTTGCTCGGGGCACGCAACAGCGTGCTCAATCGCGCGAGCGCAGGTTGCTCACAGTTATTCCGCTTGCTGTTCAGTCTTCAATCCTTTGCCTCTCCAACAGAAGACGTCGACGCCAATGGGGCGAGAGGTGAAGGGGATGGCTCTACGTCAAGAACTGACGGGGCAAATACAACAAGCGGGAGTAGTACTAGTAGTACAACTAGAACTACTAACATGTCATCGTCGACAACATGCAGCAATGGCGTTTTTTCTACTGTAGTAGCAGCAGAGCGACTTTGTGTAGCGGTCGAGAGACTTCTCTCCACACCAACCGCGGCACAATTCGGAGGCGCCTTTGAGTATCCGGTATTTTACACCTGCGTTGCTTCAGGCTTGATTTATTGGCAGAGGGCAATCATGAGCATCATCATGGTGAAAGGAGTGGCACAGGACTTCGAATTGTCACTAGTGGAGCAAGGCGAAGTTTTGTCGTCATTTTTCCTCGGCTACATCATTGGAGGCTTTACGGCGAGTCGGGTTCTGCAGCGCAATCCGATGCCGCTTTACCTTCCGAACTTCATCCTCAAATGTATGAAGATTTATGCTTACGCACGACTTCACAAAAGCAGGGACTGCTGATAGAACAACCTACCAGCTATTGGAAGCACAATCGATAGATTCCATACGCGCAGCTGAGTAGCGTGGACAATTAGTATTTCACAGTTGTTGTGACTGAGTCAACCCTTGGATATATCAATCTATTTTTCTAGCCCGTAATCAACACTACAACTAGTTTCCTACCTTCATAAGGCGTGCGATTGCTTCTAGTGCGATATCAACGCTGTTTATTGCGCTGGTTGCCGCCTCCAAAGTGCAGCTTTTTCTAGCGCGACTGCTGACCGGAATTGGACAGGGATTCTTTTTCCCTTCCTGCTACGTTCTCCTGGCGCAAGTGGTAGAGTCACCATCGATTATGGCACAGATTTTCGAGTTCGAATTACAAACTCGTTGTGATGATTGTTCTTCAAGAATATTCACTCTCCGAATTACAAACTCGTTGTGATGATTGTTCTTCAAGAATATTCAACATACAAACTCGTTGTTATTGTTCTTGAAGAATATTCCACTTTGAAGGCTTCCAACTTTGTGGCAGCTTCTAGACCAGAACTTATTTCCAGAAGAGTGTTGTTTTTCTAGTTAGTAGACACCGAGTAGGCTAACCAAGAATCTAATTCTAGAAAAACAACAGCACTTGGTCGTATGGGAGCTGCAACGCAAGGGGCGGTTGCACTGACGTACTTTGTGTCCGCGGAGATCCCGGAGTGGCACCACGCGACTGCCATTGCAGCGCTCTCAGCCCTTCCGTTGTTGTACGCGATGATATGTACGCGCGAGTACATCGCTTTGCCAGGCGGGAGAAACCACGGTGGCTCGCGCTCGCGAGGTGGAGGAGTGAACACGAGCGAAGCAGCAGACCACGTCGAGGATGGCGGGAAGATGACAATTATAGGCCGGGCAATGATGTCGCCACAGCACTCAAGGATACCTGTCGGCGGAACGAAACACGGGAGTGGGACAGACGAATTTTCAAACATAACAAACAATGGGAATGGCATTAGCAATAGCATTACATCATCTTCGAGTTCGAGTAATTCTTCAACAGCAAACAAGAATAGTAATCATGTTCCGGACCCACTCGAGCCGACAACTGGTGGCGACCAAGAGAGTACGACCGCATCTTCTATCCCATCAGCGACAGACGAGCCAACGTCAGAGTTGCAGTCTCAGCATAGCAGTAGTTCGTGGAGCAGTAGTAGCAGCAGTAGCAGCAGCACGGAACAAAGACTCTGCTCCTCGAGCAGTCCTGGGGATGTCAACGGTAGAAGAAATCGAGGGAATCATCAGAAAAACGGAACGGCCGCGACAGGACTGACAGGCGGTTCGGGTCCCTCATCTCCCTCTCGTACCCGAAAACGGGATCCTGGAGGAGCTTCCCGTGGGTCAAAGAGGAACAAGAACTACAATAGAGGTACGAGTAGCATGTTTTCCAGAATGCGGGACGGGATTCAGAGCAATTTCGGTTTTGATTGGTGGAGGTACCACCCAGTGGACGACCAGCCAGACTGGATAGCCTTTGCAGGAGACTATGTGGTCCCTGGCACTGTATCACCTTACAGTAGTCCTGTGAGAACCCATGGCGCTGGGGTTGTAGACGTCCTGGATCAGCATAGGACGAGCAGTGTGAAAAAAATCTACGGAGTGGGTGGTACGTTGGGGCAGGAGCAGGAAATGCAAGCGATTAAGATTTATGTCTGTCAGTTTTTGCTACTTCATTTTGACCCACACTGATGCTTCTTCTTCCACAGATCTGATAGTCTCCTCAGATAAAAGTTCTAGGTTTTCCCTCCTCTGAAGTAGTTCTACTTTTCTCTCTAAAGAAGGGTCAAGAACAGCTCTACGGGTACATCTCCGATGGGCCAGGTTCAGCGGGAGGGGCACAATAGCAGTGCGAGTTGTAGTTCGCCAGTCACTCGTGTACTAAGCTATACCAAGACTAGCGACGATCATGGCAGTACCGAAGAGGAGCTTGAATGCATCACAGGAGAGGATGGTATGAGGAGAAAAAACCCACTCACACTCAAGAAAGTGCTCATTTTCAACGAGAAAAGGAGCCCTGTTCTGAGCGTGAGTGTGTTTGTCCCTGTCATAGAGGGTGTGACAAGACCGCCACGGGGGAACAGCAATTTGACGGCAGAACAGCAGAAAGAATTGCTCTACATGCTCATAACGTCGCGACCCTTTTGTGCGATCATGACGTGTCATTTTTGTCACAATTGGTGCAATTTCATACTTCTCGCATGGTTGCCAACGTTTTTTGGCAAAAAGAACGTTGTCATGTCTGCTTTTCTTATGGCCAGTGAAAAAATGTGATGGAATGAAAGATCTTTGTTATAGACGAGATTCCTATGAGAGGGCATCTTTGTCAACAGGTACAAAATCCTAATGCGAATGCACAGCTAGTACGACGTGCACAATAAAATCCTAACGCAAATTCGCGGGTAGTACGCCCATTCACAACTGCTTTCACGATTGAATTCTGGACTGACTAATGAGACACTAGTCGAGCAACATACCTGCTTTCTCCTCTCCTAGCTTACCTCGAAGATTGCATCATGAAACACTGCGTTTGAAAAATACCTCCTTTCTAATCCCTCCTACCTCCTCTGCGCAATCGCGGCACCAGTCTTCCCATATTACTGTGAACGAGAACTAGCAAAAAAGCGTGATCTGTGGCACGTGCGACGAGAGCTGGCGGTTGTAGCCCTCTTGTTTCCAGGCATTTTGTTTGTCGCAATGCCCTTCGTGCATGACCCGAGATTGCAGAGTGTCATGTTCTCTGCGGTCCTGGTTTGTGGTACCATTTTCTTATTCATACTTACTGATTATACTGAAAAGTTTTGCAATTACTTATTTACCGTATAGTAATGGTAAAAAAGGAAGGACAAAACACAGGTGCCGCAGTCCATTCTTCGGTCCTCGCCGGTCCGTTAGACCTTGCTGGCGAGAGTTACGTAGGGACGTTATTAGCGACGACGAACATGGTTGCCGCATTGCCAGGGATAGTCGGGGTGCAGGCAGCAGCCTACTGTAAGGAATCCTTAGGATGGAACGGCGTGTTTGTATCGTGCGCCGTGCTCTATTTTGTTGCGATTTCGGTGTACTTGTCATTTGGCAGTGTAAAGCGTTTGGTGTGAAGCGTTCGGTTCAACCACCTACACATTTTTAAGATGAACAACGAACATTAATGAACTAGAGATTATCGTTTTTATATTCTCTACGACAACTTCCGAGTTCACTATTCACAAAACTATCGATAGGGCCCTAAGGTCGTTTCCAAACCAGTTTCTGTTACGCTATTACAACTACAGATTCAACGATGTTTTGCGCGATAACGTGGCTTCGCTGCGAGACATCTATCAAACAAAATGGTTTGCTTTCAAGAAAGTCAATCATGATACAGGAATGAAATGGGGAAACTTTGAAAATATTGATTGAAGATGAGGTTCTCATTTGTTCATTCTATCGAGACTCAAAGATTGCGCTGGAAGTGCTGCGCAATCAAGAATATTTTTTGAATACCGACAATGAAAGATAAGCGACAAGATGTTCTAAAGGACCGTAAGTTGCCGCAGTTATTCTTTTATACAGAAGAAAAAGACTTATCAGGAATGATATGAAACAATTTGTCGTGCTGCGACATAAAACACAACTTGCGCCACCTCGTGCTAGGTATATTCATTCATTCACTCAGACACACGTTGACGCTCTGCATATAGTAGAGCTAGGTGAGCAAGGCGTGAGGGATTATGCTTAGAGGACGGAGGCGAGTTCTCCATTAATACGCTTACATAATGTCAAACTGTATCTTCCACGGCGACAGGTTTGTTACGCATTTTATGATGGCTTTTTTTCGCTTTCCCAATTTGAAATTTTTTCAAAGATGGTATCATCCTCCCTTTCTTTTTAGGAAACATGGTTTGGTTCCCTAGAGCGTTCCGTAGCACGAGCATCAACTTGAATTTTTATTACAACTTCTAAGTAATCTAGATAAATTCAGTTCTTCTAGTTGAAGTATAAGAGTTGAGTTCGAGCTACTGCTTTTACATTTTTTCTTTTTCATTTCCACCAAACAAGAATCGCCAATGATGTCGCAAAGAGGGATGTCCAACCCTTTCGGAAACGACAACTTCTCGTCGTCTTTCGATGCTTTCGAGCAAGAGTTGATGCAACCGGAGCAAAAGCCACCAGCTGCAGGTACTTCCTTGTGAAATCTCTGGGTTGATGTGATGTCTAACTTTTTTTGTTTTCATCTCGATAGGTTGGATGGAAACTTTTTACAACTTGTTCCGGGAACGGTGTTGCTCTCTGTATTTTGTTGTGAAAAATATCTCCCAATATATTTATAAGATAGTTCTCCCAATATTATCCTCCTTCAAAGTGAATCTCCTCTCTTCCAGCAGTTTCCCCCACCGGTTTCGGCGCTCCTGGGGGTACTGCGTCTCCTGGTCCCAACGCCTTTCCGCCGTTCCCTCAGAATCCACAGTTTCCTGCCAACAGCGCTTTTCCCACCATGCCAGGAGGACCGCAGACGTTCTCTAGTGGGGTAAATGGTCCACCAATCATCCCGAATCCAGAGATGCTAGCGAATCAGACTCGAATGGCAGATATGTTCGAGGCGCCAAAAGCGCAATCACCAGAGAAACCAGCTTCTAGTGGAGGTCGTTCGTTCTTTGGTTTTGGCGGTGGTGGTTCGTCATCGAAGCCAGCAGCTTCGAGTCCAGATCCAGTGTTGCCAGCGATAGGAGGACCGGCAGGTTTTCCTATGGGAACATCAATGGGTGGTGGTAGTAGTTCCTCAAATGCTGCTGGGGGTGTTCCGACAGGGACTATGGGAAGTAGCGGAGGTGGCCCTCAAGCAGGAGGACCTGTATTTCCCGGAAGTGGAGGAGGTGGTCCGAGTGGTCACGTGACCAGTACTATGAACAACAACATGGGTGGCCCATCTAGTAGTCCTAACGCAGCGACTGGTGGTGGCGGGCCTGCTGGATTTGGTGGTCCGAATCAAGGTGGTCCAAAGCAAGGTCAACAGGCTCAACACGACGTTGGAAGTCGGCAGTACGGGAGTCAATTTGAGAGCGGGATTTCGGCGAATCAACAGCGACAAAGGGGAGGGGCACAAGGGCCGTCAGAGTCGCCTTTTGGTCAGCAAAATGTACAAGAAATGAAAAACGTCGCAGCGGAAGGGATGCAGGCGATGGGCATCAATAATCCTATGGCGAATATAGCAGTATCAGCAGGCATGGATGCTGTAGCTAAGCAGAGTACGATGATACAAAGGTACAACTAGCCTATTGTAGTAGATTTTGATTTGGATATCAGATAATATAGCTGGGTCTCTGGTACAATGAAATTGAAATTGGGATTGACAATCCGTCCCTCTTCGAACTCAACTCGCCAACGTGATTCTTTCATGATCCAATGAACCTAAAACGAGAAAGAGAAATACCCTACGACCACAACGAGCACATGAACCAGGTATCTGCCTTCCCTAGATTATCTGAGGTGTTACTTTGCCGTGAACCACTTGTATGTGGCGAAGAAATTAGGGATTTTGCTCTTCCCGTTTAAAAAGGGCAAGATTGATACACAGGCAGAAGACGGGCATTTAGGCCTAAGGCCACAGCACAACAAGCCAGACGGTGATGGGCAGCAGATCATCGCAATGAAATCCAACGTGGATGAACCGGAACTGTACCTAGATTTCAAAAAAAATGAACCGGAACTTTTTAGATTTCAAAAAAAATGATCTCCCCAATTCAAAGTCTCTTAAAAATGATCTCCTCCGAATTCAAGAATCACTACGACCAGGAAACACCTCCTCAGGTACATCCCCTCTATGGGTTTCCTCACTTACGTAGTCCTGATCACGTTGCATATGTCGTTGACGGATGAGTTTCATCCCGACGTCTTCGCCACGATATTCAAGTGGAGTATTTTACTAGCGGTAGTGGAAAATGGAGTGGGGAAGATCGTCTTCATGTCGATCAATTCAAGTGTGGCTATCATGGACCTGATCGCTTTCAACGGCTACAAATACGTCACGCTCAGCATTCTCTCGCTGCTTTGTATTAAATCTATAAATCATTTACAATTTTACGGTTTCAATGGCCATAGCTGAAGATTTTTTCATTGATGCTCTTTCTTCACTGTGAAGTAGAACAAAACAACATGTTGTAGCGACACAACAACAAGTATCTTTTAATTCTCATCAAAGACAACTCTGGAGCAGTTTTCACCTAAAAACTTGTTTTTCCAATCAACTTGATCAGTGATGTTCCTCCCCTGGGTCGTTTTCTGGGTCTTTTTCGCCTACCTTGCTGCCGCAGCAGTGTTTGCGGAGTGGCGTTTTCTCAGCAGCTATCAGCCGTACAGCAGTGACCACGCGCGAGAGATGGTTAAGGCTTGAAAAAATCCATCTTATTTGTTTCTCGAGGACATCTCGGTAATGATGGTGCTCCTGTGGCGTTTGTGAATGTTGTAACAGGACAAAAATGTCACGACCAAGATGCCAATAAACGAGATGGATTTATTAGGCAAGGTCTTCTAAGAGGGGTATCGCGGCTAATACAGGGGTCCTGCACAAGCAGGTCATTCTGGTACTGTCCTGCCTGCAAGTACTTTGCATTTGGTTTATGCTGCCCAGCTTTTCCGGTGGTGCGAAGCCGGGAGACATCAATGTGGGGAATAGAAGGTAAGTACATCATAGCCGCGATACTGGTGAAAAACACTTCGGAGAAGAACCGAATCAAGATGATCCTCCTGAAAGTTACATCTTCTATGAGTTCCCAAGCTGTCGAAAACGACTTCTACACGAATAGAAACTATTTAACATCATTCAACAAGCTCAACAATGTGCTTGATATTGTGCTACCAGCACGCGCACGAGCGTGCTCCCATACACGTCAAGGAGCATCTTCCCAAGACCCATCCCAGCGACATTCCCTTTCCACTGTATAACGACTCCGATAGTTTCTATAGTTCGAAGAAAAGTTCGAAGCTAGTAATCATCAATCGGAGTCATCAGCCTTGACGACGTTTTCTCTAGGGGCGTCGATTTGCAAGCATGTTGCAGCTGTAGCTGCCTCGTTGCGTCTAGTTGTTGACTTATGGTTCTAAGTACTTGCACGTTGACCGAACACTGGCTGCAACAACACAATTCGAGGATCTCATCGGTCTGCTAGCAATGTTTTAAAATGAGAAGGGCACAGACGGAAGAATGATAATAGAAGAATTTTCGTTGTAAAAACTCAGCTTTTGTTGATTGACATTGCCCACTCAGTGGAGTCAACGCAGATTAGCATTTGACTGATTGATTGATTGGCACCGCCGCTCGTTAGACGGCCGCATATAGTTGACTGATTGGCACTTGATTCACCTGAAAGAGCTTCCCGATGAAGTATGTTGAGAGAGAGTCTTTTTATTGTTGGAGACAAACGAGACAGTGCTTGTGATCAAAATACACAGGTCGTTGGGGTTAGTTTTTGCTGTAGAGTCGATTCGCTTTCTCGTGATTGATATCGACTGGCTATGTTCTTGTAAGTAAGACTACATCAATCTCGGAGGAACAAGTGTGTGAAATTTCTGTGTACGTCGAACGACATAGTAGAACTTTGTAAGCACCATGAAGGAGTTGATGCAACACGAGTCGTTCTTGCGCGATTTGTGGTGCTGAAGCGCCGAAGAATTGCAGAGTCGAGGCTGCACTCAAGTCACGGCTCGAGTACCGACGACGCCCTCTTATCAGCCAAAGCGCGACCTACCTCTTCCCACTTTCACAACGCTTCCAATCAGCAAGGGTTCTACTCATCTTGAGTAGTCGCGATTGGTCCGGCAGTAACGTAGGACCGAAAATATGAGCATGCATCACCAGAGCGCTCCGTTCCTGGGAGGCAGTACGCCATCCTCGTCGTCGAGTCGGGTTGCAGATGTCATAGACATGTCCGCGTTCGAAGGCAAGCATTTCGATGCAAGGGATTTCGTTTTGCGGTATAGAAGGCGACTACCGCTTCCGCAATTGCAGAATTATGATTTGATGGGTAATGAAGTAGGCCGGCTCCACCCTTTTTTTTTAAATGGGAATGAATGTTGTCTCACGACTCTTGTTGATGTTGATAAATGATGTAACAATTATATGAACATTTTTTTTTTCATCGCTAATCCTCGATCCTGAGCGAGAAGACGGAGAACGTGAAGACGGAACTGGTGGAGCTCATCAATGCGAAGTATCCGGAGTTCGTGGCGCTAAGTTCGAAGATGAACCAACTGGAGCAATTGACTCAGCCACTTTTAGAACCGCTGAAGCAGAACCGTCATACCTGCGAAACTTTCGCGGCGAAATTAGATGACGTATTGATCCACTTGATCAGATCGATGGTCGTATAAAGATCTAAAAGTAGATTAGATCGATGGTCGTATAAAGATCTAAAAGATTTTTAAGCTAGAAGGACACCTTCATGGTCATGTAGCTTGAAAAATAGGTACCTCACTTTTGTACTAGGTCTGCTCAAAAGCGCGAGAGGGGATACAACAGAGGAAAAGGATAGCGGAGAAGAAGCGCATCATCCTCAGTCTGCAGGAACACATGAAACTCTTGGCGAAAACGAGGCAGGCGCTAGCGACAGGAGACGGGGAGGAGAAATACATGGACGACTTTTTAAAGCGTTACGGCACCCTCGAGTTCGTGGCCTCACGTCTGAGAAAAATCAAGCTTTTTGTGTCGCTGTCGCTGGAAAGCGTGAAAAGTGGGGATGGGGAATTAGCGAAAACCATTAGTCTCCTGAAAACCGATGCTGAGGGTTTTGAAGCGGAAACGATAGAGACTTTGAAAAGCTCTTTGCGCTCTCTGCTGCAACTAAACGTAGCCGACAACCAGGACAGGCGGAGCGTCATACTGCTAGCTTTTTCACACGTACCTATAGTGATTTTTTGCTTCCTTTACGTTCGTATCTTCCGTCCTCTGATTCATTCTACTCAAATCAAAAACTGACTTTGGCAGTTGTGATTCAACTACTTGTACTAGAACTAGATATTCCTTTTCCTGCGCCACGCTTATTCATCCGCAACTCCAACACAGCTTTCCCGAGCTTTCTTGATGTTGGGATCCGAAGCAGAATTCGTGGACATTTTTTGCGAAGTTTTCGTGGACGATGTGATGATAGAAGCGCAAAGCAAGATACAAGGCCTATCGATCAAGAAATTTTTTGCGCTTTTGGAAGGTACTACTGATCGATGCTTATTTTTCGTGATTGCTAGTTCATCAGAGGAAGCTACTTGCTATGCAAAGAAATTCAAAGAAATCAAAATTCTGAGTTTTCGTTTTCGTTCGTTTCCGGCGGTTCAAAAACTTCATATGTTCTTTTCCCTACTACAACAAACAAGTGCCATGACGACCAAATTCTCAAACAATCTATCTTTTCAGAATCCCTCCTCGCTCCTCCCCCTCCGACGACAATGACAACCGCAACAACTACCGCCACTGCCACGCCACCTTGTAGCATATTTCTCACTGCTTGTGACCCAGCTTTAGGAGTCCTTTCGAATGGCATCGGAAAACGTGTAGCGCAGTACTTGCTGAAGCAGCGCAGTAGTGTGTTCATACCCACAGGGATATTGGATGTCTTTGCGGAGAATTACACAGCCTATCAGAGCTTCGCCAGAGCTCTAGACCAGGCGATGCAAGACGAAGAGAGGCCTTCATGGACGAAAGAAAGCGAAGCTCTCCAGAGAAAATGGCAGATAAACGTAAGCTGCTAGTAGTTTCTGACGAGGAGACCAACATCGAACTAACCGCAGCTCGTTGTAATAAGTCCATCGAAAAGAAGATAACAATTAGACGCCAGGGAATAAGTCTGTCACAGATTTTTTTTCTACACACAAAACCAGGTCTATTTCTCTATCCGCGAGAAGGAGCTGACGTATCAATTCTCCGAGAGTCTAGGAGGCGCGAAAAAATTCACCACCAACGAGCAGCTAAAAAAAGGCTACCGTTTACCCGCTACTGCGGTCTTGGTCCAGCATTTACTCAAGGTGTGGGGTAATCGGATTTACCTAGATGGGCTGTTTGCAAAATTTTTAACGTTGACGGTGAAACTAATGCATAGTTGGGTGCAAGAAGTGCCGCAACATTTTTTGCAGACCTGCCAAGCGGCACAGGCGAACCCAACTTTTCAGGCAAGCGCAGACAATTGGGCTGGAGCCGAAATAGGGAAACATGGAGCACTCTTCATAACCGATTTGAGTACGATAAAATGCGAACTCAACTTCGGAGACGCGGTGAGGAGAAGACAGGTTTTTACTTGTCTTACTGCTTGGATGACTACCTTTGAAATGTGGTTTGCGACGTAACTAGGACCTTACGAATGCAGCGGCTCAGGGTGGAGCTGGTTCGGGCCGGGGCTCGCTCTGGTTCAGGGTGGAGCGCTCACAATTCTCTAGCTTGGTTCCTTCAGCTCTTGCACCAAAACAATCTGTAGCCCAGTGGCGGGGCACCTAAAAACAAAACAAGAAGGCACGAATCTCCTGAAGAAGTCGGCAGCAGCCAAAAGCAGGGGGCTGGGGCTGATCGAGTGGGGCCGCTCGACAGTAGTGGAGGCCAGCGGTGGCCACGGACGAACCCCAACACACCAAAGAGGCACGCCGAAGACAGGGGAAAAGCCCGACGGCACCACCAAAAACAAACAAAGCGGGCGCCCCAGGTAATCGCTCGCGCACGGGCACCGCGCTCGCCACCAGGCGACCGCACCCCGCAGCCAAGACGTGGCCGGCTTCGTCGCGTTTCTGGAGAAGTTCGCGCGCCCGCAGCCCCGCGAGGGGGAGAGTGACGTCGTGAGAGGCTCCCCCATCTTCATCTAACACCTTGCTTTTTTCCGGCGAGGTTTGCGGCGTGGTCTTTTTCGTGGGTCATGTCGGTGCGCGTAGTGGTCTCCTCGTGAAGTTCTATAGATACGCGTCGCCACATCTTGAGGCATTCACTCCGCCAAGCTATGACGTCGTGTGTTGGCATGTGGTGATATGGTCCCACTTCCATCGATGGACAGAGCTACGCTGGGGGCCTTGCTTTTCACAAACTGAGAGCGTGAAGGCCTTGAATTTTATGCGCCTCCTGGTGGTAAAGTTCTTGAAGCTTTTGGCCATGAATTTGGTTGGCTCAGTCGTGACGGCCTTGGTCATTGTCTGCCCATCCGCTAGACCTTGCGCGAGTGCGTAGCCTCCAAAAGAGCGCGGCAGCGTGCTCCTGCGTAGAAATTTGCAAGATCTTAAGGCCGCTGCCCGTCGAGATCTCATAGACGAAGGAATTGCCGCTGCCCATCGATCAGAGTAGTGGCCTCGAAATGTCATGAGAGCTGTGCCCCCCCTTGGGGTCGTTCCTACCTTACAACCCTCCTTAGAAGCCTCACCAAGCAAGCAAATAGCTACAGACGAAGGCCGTGGAGACTCTTACTCTTAATCGTTGAAGCAACAACAGTCGAAACAAGTGCTAAATCATGATCATGTTGAATTTCTCCATACCCTCTACCTACAGGCTCTGCAACAGCAGCAACAGAGTCCAGCTAAACAGCATACTTCAACTACGGGTGACGTTGACATGAGCACTTCTAGTCCGAGGAAAAATAACGGCTCTATCGATCAAACGAGGATGCTTTCCGATGTGCTCCTCGATGAGATCGCAAAGCAGGGCAAAGCCGATTCACTTCTGAACCTGGTGGATCAAGTATTCGAAGATTCGCGTAGTGAGCTAGAAGCGGTATCTGACAGGATAACGGACGCTCTCTTGCGAAGAGTACAGGAGCAGATCAGCGCCGAACTCGTTGTTATGATGAAATGGGTTTGAGATTGTATATTGGTTTGAAATGGAATTTTTGTAGGAGAAGTTTTTACCAGCAAGAAGCTTTTTAGCGTGTTTACAGGTGTACCGTGAAATTGATAGATTTAAGTACTGAGAGCTTGAGCACCGAATCGTATCTAAGTCCCAGGGCGTGAAGCGTATCCCGTCTCTGTACCGCATGATGAACCGGCCTGCGCCTACTTCCGCTTTGCCTTACATTGAGGAGATGATGCGTCCATTAGACTCGATGCTCGCTGAGTCCAAGACGGCCTTCGACAACACGACCTCAACATCCTGGTCGACCATTTCAGCTGCCTGGACCACCAGGGTCGTCCAGCAGACTGCGTTAGCGTTGGAAACGCAGGCTACCAGTGTAGTAGAGCAGGTGGAAGCCTCGTACAGGTCGTTGCAGCGGGTGATGCGAGGATCTAGCGAAGACGACCAATCGAAAATCTTGCAGCAATTGCAACTAGATGTTGCGGCGTTTGAGGCACTTGCTGAGAGTAAATACAGCGTTCACAATCTGCAGATCTCGCTGAAGAAGTGAACGTTGAAGACTCGTGTCTCGTATCTCGAAAACTATAACTTGAACTTTGATTTTGTTTCAACTCAACCCATTCCAAGAACAATTTGCTTCTCGTCATACGACTACAACACGTCAAAACAAGAACGAACACGTATCGTTTTGAACAAGTATCGACTATGAATTTGAATTGCGAAGATGAAACTTGTTTGTGATAATTGCGTCGAGCCGATGCAGCGTCGTAAATTAAGCGAAGCAGTCGTCGAGTCAGAGACGGCCGGTTTCCAGTCAAGAGCCCGTTCTTCTGAACTGAGTGAGATAGTAGAGACACCCCGATTAGCCATGAGAGACCGTGTCGTCGAGCGTTGATTCCTATTGTGGAAAAAATGGAATGAGAAACATAAATGATTGCGAAGTGAAGATGCTTTGTGATTTGAAAACAGATAGGATAACAGCAGAGATGAGGATGGACCACCAAGCAAGATGGTCCCCTCGTTAAAGAAGTAGTAAAAAAGCGTACTATCCTCATGTCGCTTTGAGCCGCCGACGGGTCCCGGAGATGACGTCGGCGGCGTCGACCGAGAGTCCACCCACTTTGGGTGGGGAAGCCGGCGACGCAGCTGGCGAAACGGGTCGACTATTGGACGGTTTTTTGCTGCTAGCAAGTGGCGGCTTCGGCTTACCGGACGATGCTATTACGGCAAATCTTTCCAGTCTGGAAATCGTGGAGGTTTCAGACGATTTGAGGTTCTTCCCGAATTTGGACGCGATCGATCTGAGCGACAACAAGCTGAATTACAAGGAAGTCTTGGAGCATCTGTTTTTGACGCCGCGACTGACGAAGATAAACTTGAGCTGCAATCAGATCGGGAGACTGAACTGGTACTCTAGTACAAGCCAGAATTTTGATTTATTATTGGTACTCTACTTCGCTCTAGAAGTAATTTCTCTTGTTCATTCTAGCACTGTTCTCTCCGCTTCAAAGCTTATTAGTGGTATTGATGGCTTGAAGGAAACAGAGGATTGTGATGAAGAACCAGTTGTGGTTGCACTCATTTAATGCTCTTTTATGTTTCTTGAGATATTTATTGAACAGATCTTCGACTTCGCAATCTACTTCTACCCTACTCCACGATGACATACCTCATCCTGCCCATCCTCAAACATACATCAGCCGTCGCAATCCATTAGCCACGCACATCTCGTCCTTCGATACTTTGCAGTCCTTAGACCTATCCTACAACGAATTGCATGGGGACGTCTTAATCGCACTGGCGTCCTTACCACAACTCCAGAGGCTAAACCTCACAGCGAATTGCGTTTCGAGTACTGCTTAAGTTTTTGTTGATTTCAAGATGCACTTGTTGCGAGGTGAAGATCAACTTCTACAAAATATCCCATCTTCTACTGATCGTCCTTGTCTTCAGGTATTCCACCCGAGGAGAGTTTAGACGGTTTTCCCAAGCTCCAGGAGCTCATCCTCGATAGTAACGACTTAGTACAGTTCGATCAGTGGCGAAGTCTGGATTGTCTGCGGAGTCTGCGGCATTTATCCTTGAAGCACAACCGCATACGACGGTTACGAGATGAAGAAGCGGCAGACGGCTTGTCTAGAGCGGAGTATGAGGTTTTTGTAAAACTCGAAGTCCTCGAATTGCAGGACAACGATTTTTCTGGGTTGCAGCAGCATACGAATGAGTTTTATGGACCAGGAGTCGTGACTTTATAAACTTCATTTTTTCCGTAGCCATTTTTTTATAGGAGATTTAGATTGTCTCCTGTCTGTTTCTCAGAGTGAACACCGTGAATTTATCTACTTGTTTTCTAATACCTCTCTTTCGCTTCCAGCCAAGTGCAACAAAGCAAGCAATTTGAAGCGGATTTTTCGTTATTGCAGCGCTTTCCGGCACTGAGGACAGTGAGGGTCAGTCAAGTCGGCTTTCCGAGACGGTTATTTCATGCTAGGGTAGAAACAGAGACGACGAAACGATGGTATATGAGTGGCAATCAGAGTCACACGGCAAGAGACAAAACAGAAAGAGCAAGAAATAATACCAGAGGAAGGCGGACGTTTAGGCAAGTGAAGTCAACGAGGGTGACAAGATTCGGTGCAATGGGAGGCGAAAACGATACGTTTCGCGGCAGTGCAGCATCTAGTTTCGGAGATTTTTTGGCGACAAAAAATAGTTATCGAAATACGTCGACGTCAGTGGGACCGGGCGCGGGGTATTATTCTGTCTGAGGATTTCCAACGGTATCATAAAGAGCAGAACAACAATAATCTATCTCACTTTTCCTAATCTTCCCCTTCTAGAATACCGCCAACACCCATCAACATCACAGGCCATCATCACCGAATGCAACGATGCAGTTGTCAAAATATGGGTCGGATGAGGACCTGCAGAAGGCTCTCTATACAGACACCCTAGTCAAAGTGAATGCCAGAAGCGAAAAAATGAGCCACGAAACGAAAGACAAGGAGAAACTAGTAGTGCAGCCCATCGACCTGATAGGAAAATATCTGGATGATGAGTACAACTTTTTGCCCTTTGATTTTAAGTGCTTGATGCTTGATCCTATGTGTGATCCCAGATATAAGATCCAAGATATAATATTCAATTGATATCCGTTCAAAGGCAAAGACTGACACTGAATCACAAACACAAAGGGCTATGGACGAAATTTTCGCAAGACGGAGAGCGCAGATAGATGGCCTTGTAGAACGAAGAGTTGCAGGGAAGCAGAAGAAAACGCAGCAATCCTATCTCCAGCAAATTCCGTTTGCCCTGTCCAGCGAATCCCAAAACATCATCCTCTCAGTGGCCAAAGACGTCTCAGCTCAAACGGCACACCATGGAGAGAACGAGGACTATTTCTTATGTTGATCAAGAAGAATGAAGATCATAGTTTTAGTTTATTCTACTTGATGAGTCTACTGAACCTAGATTCATTTACCCTTTTTGAAAAAATTGTCCACTTCTAATCCCTGCTCGCTACACCGCTGAACAAATCCTTGAGACGCCACGGACCCCGCCTGAAGTCTTGCAGCAGCGTCGTACTAGGAACGGCGGCATGCACGGAGACTCGGCTTTGGGTATACAGGACAGGAGTGCAGTTAGCGGTGTTGATGTGCCGATTGATATCAAGCGTTCACTCGAAGCCCTACAGGATGCCATGAACCGCGATGACGCGACCTGGGCGGGCGGAGCTTTGATGTAGAAAGGACTGCATAGCTTTCACTCTCTTGTGAGTCGATCCCCATTCGGTCCAACCGCTCGTTCGTCGCAATGTTGCGACAACATTGAGTGAGCATTTTTTATCCTGACCGGGTTTTCCTATGCGGTTTCGGAAACCACAGCTATCCAACTCCGTTATTCCAAGTATCTACTTTTTATTCCAAGTGTCTCCACGTACACACACGTTAAAGTGGTCCATTCATTCCAAGTATCTACTACACGACGTGTCTCCAAGTATCTCCTATTCATGGAGTTAACGATGATGCCCCTTAGAGTAAGTAAGAGGACATCGCTCATCCGTTGGATTCCAAGTATCTGCTTTTGACGGCCATAATTCAGAGAATGTCACAAGAAGGCTAACACGATTTCAAAGCTACGAAGAAACCAATTCAAATGCCAGTGAAAATGCCCAGAATGCGGGTTTGCAGCTGCTCGCGCTGCAGCGTTGCCCTGTGTTTGCTCCGCGTTTTTTTTTGGTGCATGATTGGTTGTGATAGTGGCGGAGATCTATATGTTGTTGTGAGAAGTTCCGACTCGGTTCCAGGTGTCTGAAGTCGTAAGAAAACTAGAAGTGCTCGGTATTGAAAAGTCAAATGTAAATCAGCGTGTGCTCGCATGCCTAAACACGAAGAACTTGCAGGCACTCAAGGCATTTAGGATTTATGTACAAGAGGAAAGAGAAACAACCCCTTGCACGTATGAAGATGCTAGTTTTCAGGAGGCATATTCGTTGAGACAGAGGACAGCTTCACGACTTATTCTGTAGTTCTTGAATCCCCCCAAACTAACAAGATAAAAAATGACATCTTCCTCTGCCAGACACGGTGCGGGCAAGGGCGCTTCTTCGGCGCGACTTGAGCAGCGGCTTTTGCGCTTTCGGCAGTCGATGTTTAACAATTCAATCACGAGGAAAAGCGCCAACGGAGGTGTCATGACCATCAATTATGGTCCGGGCGCTCCTTCTCCAAGTCCAAGTTCAACGTCGTTGAACGCCTACTACATTCCTCACAACGATGCGCATTTCAGTGAGTACATCTGCGAACGGGATGAAAGACTCGGTTATATTTCCGGATTTACAGGCTCGGCAGGCACTGCGGTTATCACGCCTGACGAGGCGCTTTTGTGGACAGATGGACGGTATTTCTTGCAAGCAGAGGACGAGCTCGGAAATTAAGGCTCAGTGTATTTCATTTCTACGAGTACGAGTCATTTCTCTCCATTTTCTTCTTGAGATTCTGAGAAATGAATCCAAGAAATGAAATGTTTTGAACTCGAAGGCAAAGGATGGAAACTGATGAAACAAGGCCAATGTGAAACACCTAGGGAGTGGTTGGTGAATAAGCAGAAAGAATTCAATAATCCGTCACCCACATCTACGAGTACTGCTTCAATTACGGCTTCCCCTAGTCCATCTTCAGAAGCACCTTGAGGCACTTTCTAAGGGAAAAAGAGACCCAAGATGACTCTCAGGATGGATTCCCGGAGGGTCTAACTCAACTTCCACTTCTACTTCATACAAAAAGAAGCCACAAGCATCTACGAGTAGTGCATTTACTACTTCTGTGCATTCTCCATGTTGGAAAGTAGGTATGGATCCATGGTTAATCTCGGTAAAAGCTGCGCAGAAGTGGGAGACGGATCTGGGAAAGGAGGCATTGAGTTTTGAGGGGACCCATGTCACATACAATGTTCAAGAAAGTAGTAACAACAAAGAGCTTCTGACCACAAGTAACCCGGCTCTCAAGAGTCGAGTTGACGTGAGCAACCCAGTGGACAGTGTCCGCCTTTTTGTGGACAAGGAGGCCATATCACGTCCAAAAAAGCCGATACGGCATCAGCCGCTGCGCTTTTCGGGAGAAACGGTATCGAGCAAATTGGCACGACTTAGAGAAGAAATGAAAAGCAAGGACGTCTCTGCGTGCTTGGTGTGTGCCTTGGATGACATTTGCTGGATGCTCAATCTCCGAGGTAGCGACATTCCTTACAATCCAGTCTTCTTTGCATTTTTGCTGGTTTTTCGCGACGAGACAAAGCTGGCTCGACTCTACTGCGATCGCACGGATCTGGGGAGAGAACACGCCGATGACGAGGATCCGGTTTGGAGGCAAGTGGAAGTCAAAAAGTACGAACATGTGGAAGCTGACCTGAAACTCCTGTTTTCCCGGGTAAACTTTTCTTTGTGGGTAGATGAAGACTCATGCCCACAACGATTTAAGTTGATATTACTGAAGGAAATCATAGACAACTTCTCGGATGCCACATCCTCATCCAAGCCGTCCGATAGTGCCATTTACACCAAAGACCCACTGCCGATAAAAAAGTGGAAGTCAGTGAAGAACGACGTTGAACTAGAGGGCATGAAGCAGGCACATTTACGAGATGGGTTCGCAAAAACCAAATACATCATGTGGCTACAGGATTATTATTCTAGTGGTTCATCTGCTGCTCCACTCACAGAAGTCTCAGCAGCCTCAAAGTTAGAACAATTTCGACGAGAAAACGAATTCTTTCAGGGTCTGAGTTTTCCTTCTATCAGTGGCAGCGGTCCGAACGGCAGCATTGTGCACTATCAACCTGAACAAGCCTCTACTTGTGCGGTGATTGACCCGGAAACTCTTTACTTGATAGACAGTGGAGCACAATACTCGGATGGTACGACAGATGTGACCAGGACGCTTTATTTAGGTAAAGGCAGTGCTGGTAGATGTAGAAAGAATCTCACCTGCTCTTCGAAATTGGATGCGTTTCGTGCACACTATACACTAGTTCTTAAAGGGCACATAGCACTGGCAACCAGTGTATTTCCAGAGAAGACACCTGGCGCAGCACTGGATATTCTCGCACGAGGGCCATTGTGGAAATTCGGATTGAATTACAATTATGAAGAAAAGCGCAATGTTGCCATGATGATAGTCTTGTACCGCTTACATAATACTACATAGTTGACTTCTTTGGTAGAGGATGCATTGAAAGGAAAAAGACTCAATGCCCACTAATCAAATAAGGAAGTGTCTTTTTATTTCCCGTATGATTCTGTTCGAGCTCCACTACCAGAAGATGAGGGACAACGACGGACATCACTCTTACTTACATTTCCCGTATCATTCTGTATTTCTCATAGAAGTACCACCTCGTCTCTCTAAAAGGTCCACGGTACAGGCCACGGCGTGGGATCACATTTGTGCGTTCACGAAGGCCCACAAGGAATCCCGTGGTTGCGCAGCACGCTCGTCCAAAGTGCGCCTAGCTACTTGGAGGTTGGTCTGGTGCCAGGCATGACGCTGTCAAACGAGCCAGGATACTTTATGATCGGACACTTCATCTGCTTATCGTTCTGAGCAATTATAATCTTTTTCCTTTAGAAGTTAAAAAAGTTAGAGTACTAGAAAGACGGACCCCTACTGTAGTAACTACCGCGGCATCATCCCAAAGACAGTTGTACTTCGCCATCAAAATAATAGAAATACAACTTTACTCTCAAAATTATAGAATTACATTTTTCCGCTCTAAGACCAACAGGGACGGACACTATGGTATTCGGATTGAGAATCTGGTTTTTGTGAAAAGAAAAACGGATTTTGCGATACAAGACGTGAAAGGCGGCTTTTGCGAAGAAGGAAGCAAGGAGAGATGGGTGGATGACATTAGCAGTGACAGTTTCCCCGAATCCAAAGAAAACAGACCTGTGTGGCGAGACCAGGATTATTGCTGTTTCGAAAATTTGACCTTCATCCCCTTAGACCAAAGGCTGATCGCGAAGGAAATGCTAAATGCAGAGGAAATCGCATATGTTGACAGCTATCATGAAGAGGTGTATGAAAAATTGAAGCCCTTTTTTGAAAAACACCTGTTGAATCGAGAAGACACTGGTACTACGTCGTATACAGTTGCAAGACTACGAGAAATGACCAAACCTTTGGGAGAAGGGGAAGGGGGTGCATTTGCTGCGGATGATGTCAATGGGGGAGCAAAAAGAAGAAAGAAGGAATAAATGATTTAACGACATAGTATTTCTTTCTGTTTTTCCTATCGATGAAGGAGAACCTTGAGAACAAGTGAATCATCACACAGAGTTCACGTATGCCGAAGACGTGACACGCACTTCTCAGCGTGCTTGGAGCGGGATGACAGTCATATCGGAGTTGTGTTAAGTTGTAAGGCAAATCGCGTCCGAAAGGATACACTGCTGGAACTGTATCATCCTGCCGGTAGACTAGAAGCACCAGTGAGGATGCGAATGAATGAATGGAAAGAATTATCACAAAACGAAGCGCTATCTCGAAATACAGTTGTAGAAAGTGCTTCGAGAATGTTTTTTTGTCATCAATATGATGAACGGTCATAGGAAAAGCTTACTGTCATTTCTTCTGGGAAAGAAGTTCAACTTCAATAACAGCTTTGGAGGTGGATCGAGAAAAGACTATTATACTATTCAAGTAGAATTTCAAGTACAAAGTAGAAAGATGGCCTCCACACGAGCAGGACAACAGCTACCGAAGACTAAGGAAGCTGCAGTTTTTGATCGACTGCACAACATTCACGAAGGCATTAACAGTTCCGAGCAGAGGCAATCCGGCTCTGGTGAGGCAAGTTCCCGACATCAAATAGGTTTGAAAAACGATCCTGGCCCACCGAAGGAACTGTTCTCCGATAATGATCCTGCTACGACGATAAAAGGTTGCGGCTTCAAGAATCGGGAAGTTGCTCTACTAACGATCCACCTCTCAGGACAGCCGGGATGCAGGTACAAGCAGTATTGGACAGGCCGAGCCATGTTCGAGCGAGCCCAGAGACATCCGCACCAGACTGAAGGAATGAGAGAAGCAGCATTGGTTTTTAAGGAATGGATGGAAAAGAGAGCGGCCGTAGGCACTGGAGGCTCTACTTCAGGGGCAACAGCCTCCTCTGCAGACCGCCGATCACTTAATCGCAGCACCGGTAGCGAAGATGACTATAGACTTCATTTTGATGTAGCAGCCAGGAGAGAAAAGCGATTTCTTGGTGTGGGTGCCATTCAAGTTGGTGAGAGGAAAGTAGATGCGGAGGAGAGTATCTCTATCCAGGTGGAAGGCGGTCGAGAAAATACTGCCTGGCCAACGGAAGTTGAGGAGCGTTCGCAAAGACAGGTATTGAGCGGTTCCTTCGCAAATGCACATGCGAAGAGGAATTGTGAATCAGAAGCGGAATTCAATGCCTATGCGCGAAAGGATAAAGCACAAGCTGCGAAGAAAGTGAAAGAGTGCTTAATGAGCCTAGCTTCCAATAAGCGAAAATCTTCAAGTTCAAGTTCCACGAATTCTTCTCCGAGTTTCCGATTTCCGGTCACTGAGTTTGTGGCTCTTTTTGGCGGACCTGGCGAGCACGGGTATGGATGGCATACTTGTGATCAGGCTGAGCAAAATGGACTACCAGCCTTTCGGTGTTTGTGTGGTTATCGGGGCTTACATACAGTAGCTGTTTCCAGCACTGCGCTCGGGATAGCAAGTCTAAGATCGGTAGATCTTCAGGGGTTCATATTCACACATATACTCGGATTGCCAGCGTCACTGCCTGTGAAGGCGTTTACGTTGCAATATGATGGTAGGGAAGAGGTCGCTACGATTTTGGAATATGCTTTGAAAAACGATGCAGGTGATACGGGCAAGAACTTCGACGGAAACCAAAGCACCTCTCAGGCTCCTGTTCACCAACCGTCTCTATTGAGCTTCGCTTGCTTTAAGAGGCCGGCTGCGGAGGACACGAGTGATGTTGTCGATTTGAAACGGGCACGGCCCGATAGCACAAGAGAGGCTATAAATCCCCATGAATCTTCTACAGAAAATAGGACAAGGACTTTCTCAAAGTCAAACTCAAGAGATGTAATTGTGATTGAGTCCTCCTCGGAGGAAGAGGGCGAACAATCTTAAAGTTGATGACACGCTTTTTCTTTTAGTAAGGACGTTGCTGTCGTTCATTATGTTCTCTTTTAGACACAACTGAGAGGCAAGATATGCGAAGCGAGCGAGCGGAAACGAGTTGTATTTTTATCGAGGAAGCTTGAGGATGAGATGAAGATGGAGAATCTAGTATAGCGTGGCGTTTAGTAAGCTGCCATGTATGACACACTGAATGTATACTGGCTAGCTGAAATGAGTCCAAGAATTTTTCTAAATTCATTCAAAATATTGAAGCCTGCCACGAAGAGAGATATGTAGCAACTCCCGCCGAGAAAAAATAAAGGATGGACGAGGACCGACGATTTGATGGTTTTGGCGGCGTGTGGGATCAGGGTTTTACGGCCCTCCCAAAGGACGGTGCTCGCGCTGAAGTTGTGCGAGATGAACAGCCGCGAAAACGTGGTATTTGAACACCATGTCAAAGACTCCTTTTCACCATGGTAGACGTGAGATGTTAGAAATAGCAATGTCAGCATTTTTCTGTAATATTTCCACTATCATGATTTCTATTTCTTGAAAGACCCAAGGTGCATCGTTGGCATTGGGGCACAGTATGCTTGCGGCGATGAGAGCTCAGCAGGCAGGACGTCGCCCTGACGCGACTCGAAAGCTAACGGAGAATAGCGTTGATCCCCGAATATGCGCTGGAATGGGTAGGCCTGCAGCAGGGCCTCCGTCGCAAGGTGGTTCCAACAATGCAGGAGACGGACAACAACTGATATGAGAATGCGAAAAATTTGTACTGCCTGAAATACGAAATTGGATGTCCACTTTGGAAATATACATGAAAAATGAGTACAACATGATATCACTCAGCACACTGCGCTTCACGACTCTAACTTCTTCGGGTTCCACCGCATTAGCTTCCTCGAGTTCTGCTACGAATGCGGGTAATAGAGCACTTGCAGCGCGACCAGGGTCCCCAAGGTCACTTTTTGGTCGGTCAGTGAAGCGGTCTATGATGGCTCCGTCAGGTGCAGCGGTCGCCGCAGGATCAGCAATTGCTGGCACCCAAGTAGGCATTATGTTGAGGTAGTGGAGAACTGATTTTGATGATGCTGAAAGTCAAAAACCAGAAGAGGCACCAAGCTGCCAAAAAAGACCTTTCATGGAAGGCATTGCAAACACCTCCTGCTAGGCACATTCATCCATTGACTCACTCACTCATGACGCTGATATCTTGACATCAAATTATACAACTAGAGCTACAGTAAGATTTATCCTCTTTCTACGTTTGGTTTTGTTTTATCTTCCAGCAACTACTACTAGTTCTAGCTGCTCCCTACTTCTAATCCCAAAAAGCCAGCTTCCGCAGCAGCCGTGCTTCTTAATGGCCCTGGGGGTTCGGGCGCGCCTTTCGGTCTTGGTCCACCTAGACCTGGCGTCGCTGGCGAACAGAAGCTAGAGCAGTGGTCAGCCGCTTGGGTCTCGAGAGCGCCCTCAATTTATGGCTCAACACATTTCTTTATTTCCTTCCTACGAGTCATTTGTGATAGTGATTGTGAGTTTGCTTCGATACTGATTTGTGCGAAGATGGTAGCAGGACTGTAGTGTGAATGGTTCCGGTATTTTTGGTATAGCCTGAATTTGATCATAAGGGAAAACAAGAAGAGAACCCTTAGGATCGAACTCAGGCTATACCAAAAATACCAGAACCATACATAGGGAACGAACTGTTTTGGGCTCTAATCCATGTTCAGCTTGGCGGATGATCTTTTACCTGGTCATGGGAGTACTACTCATGGAGTAGGAGTGGGGGTAGAGGAGAAGAAGAGGCAGGCAGAAGCAGTGACTTCCACACCGGGAAAGGACACTAGCGCAACTGCATCAATAAAGAGGCTTTTATCGATCGATATAAATACACTGTCCTCCTCTCAGAATACAATGTCGTCTCCGTCTGTGGACCCAGCTTCTAGTGATCATCTTCTTCTGCAGCAGAGACCACGTGCTAATGTAATAGGAATCGGAAGCACGCCTCGCAGGAACAGTACTGGTAGTGCGCCGAGTATTAACATGGCAACATTACTAGCGAGTGGCTCACCACTCTCGGCTTCGTCGCAGTTGATACTGTCGGCGCGAACGTCTACCGTTTCAACCGCGGCACTAGTGACTGGCACGGCAACGCTTTCAACGACATCTCTAGGCCCTGCAGGGACGGTTTCGACACCTATGGCAGCTACTTCTGGCTCATCAGCTGCGCCATTAGTTTCAACAACACCAACGGGCGGAATAAGTGGAGGTCATAGTGGTCAACAGCAACAGCTAGGAGCAGGAGGACTTGAGGATAGACCAGCATCGTCGTCCCCACAGAAATCCCCACTACAAGAGCAACCACTACCACATCAACAGTCAGTCGGGTCTGCTGCTCAGTCTGCCCAACCTGCAGCTTCAAGTCCTCAAGGACTTGCTATTCCGACCTCACCAGGCCCGTTTAGAACAAGGCCGGGCTTGAGTCCTGTCAACAGGGAGATGAATCGAAGCAATATTATGGATGCTGACATGTCGATGACGTTGATGAAATCGAAGAAATCTGCTGACATGTTGTTGTATTTGAAATCGAAAGAAATCGAAATACTTCAATTTTGACTCTTGTTGCATCCTCTCTGCACTACAACTTTTCTGCCGAATTCTATGAGATTGAGTGAAGATGCAACTCCTGACCATCTCTAAACCCCGTACACTTTTGATGATGAACGTGCTTGGTACAAGGGGAGGACCATTACGCAATGAGCAGCGCCAGCTGAACCGACCAGCTTCTCGCGATATCAATATGCAGCATCACAACAAAGTAAATTGGTCTGCGGCTTACGAAAGTAACCCTGAGACTTCTGCATCTGACACGCCAGTAATTCCACCGCCTGTAGGAGGAACACCAGTTCACCTCGCATTGGAGCAAGATCAACATAAGACTACTTCTGTTGATCGACAAATAAAGCCGGCCACGCCTGACGCATTCGTCACACCAGGAAAAGACGAACCAAGAAGAAGCTATGTGCGTCTAGAGAATCATGTACTTTTAACTGCTTATGAGAACTCAACCAACTTCTAAAACTTCTCACTCATTCAAATCTTCAATACTTTGCCTTTGAGTTTGACTTCTCCTAAGCAATACTAAGTACCCTGCTTTTTTACTCTCTATGGTGGCTTTATTATCAGACTCCCCTCTCCAACTCAGGAAACCAGTTCCAAAGGAATGATCGTGATACCGGAATTCGTGCCATCTCCTGGAAAAATGATGTATCCGGAGGTTCGGGTTCGAAAAGAACGTAACGCCGTTCCCTGGCACCACCCTAAAGAATTTGATGCAGCGGTGCCTCTACCGCGATATTTACGGACTAGAGGGACGCCGGAACCATCGTCGGTTATTAAGGCTCCTGTTGTAAAGATATTTTTAGAGTGATTGACAATTTTTCAACTTTGAATTCTACTTGAGAACAACTTTGAATGCTCCAGTGAGTTGTTCTCAAGTAGAATGATGAATGCACAAATAGTGGCTGTTCACTCTAAGAAGAAGAAGAAAGGAAAGAAAAAGAAAAAGGCTCCGGAGCTGTCGCCGCGGGCAATCGTACTTTTATTGTTAATTTTTTCGTCTGTTGCGTTTATGATCTTCGTTCGCGTGAACGCTGTATGATAAGTAGCAATAAGAGATACGTTGAAGTTGTAAGTGGATAATGATGATGTGGCTGGTTTTTTCTACACAACTACGATCCTTCCTCTGGGGCAACAGATAAGCAGAAATAAGGGACTGCGTGGTGGTCAGGGTCCGCTTTGGTGACTGGTCTGACTTAGGGTTCCATCACGGAAAACTATCTCAGATTGCTTTCCAGTAACTTGATAGGTAACGATAGTCACAGATCTCCGTTCACGGAGTCGCATGGTTCATTGACATGAGCATTGTTCTCCACAACAAGCTGATACAACAAGGACACCATAGTCCTCATCCTATCAACACAAAATGACCACAAAGGCACAATACCGTTGTCAAGAGGCCGTCTTCCTAGTGCAGAGGAGTAACGACCCATGCGTGTGGTATGGCCAATTTGGCAAGCTTCCAGTCCCAAGAACACAAAAAACATATGCATACGAACATGGAGACAATACTTCTAGTGCTGGCACTGGTGGTGGTCTGAACAGTGGGAATGGAAGTGCTAGTCATCTTAACACCAGTAACAATGTTGCAAGAAGTCTTCAGACCGGAGGAGACAATAGCCAAAACAACAACTCATCAGCGACCACAGCAAATGGCTCGACAGCTGGTGCTAATAGTGCTAAAAATAGTACCAACAACAATAATGCAGCAGGCCCAGAAGTTGTATACTTCGACCCTGAGAAGCAGAGTAAGGAAAGACTCGACTTTCTGCGCCAACTGCCGCTCATGGTTGTAGAGGCACAGCGTACTAGCGCTAGTACCGCGAAAATAGAACGAGGATGGGCCGATCGAAGTACGCATGTGGATGCGTGTAATGAGAAGAAGGGAAAGCGGTTGGACGAATCAGAACAATTAGCATGGCGACAACTACAGAACGCACAGGAGTATGCTGCAGCTATGAACCTTGAGGACACGCCAGCGCTGCGTCCGCCGAGAGGGGCACCAATTTTTTAGAGTCCAGAAATCAAATGATAATGAACAGGAAAGGCAAAAACGATTGATACACTTAAATATTCCGCTATGATAGACTGACACACAGTAAGATTCCACTATGAAGAAATTGACACACTAACATTCCACTTCATGATTGACACACACGCTCACGTTCCGATTCCATTTCGATTGACATATGATGAAACGACACTAAGATTTTATGATGATTGACAGATGATGACGCACCACATAACCACTGATCGCGATGAGGTGTATGCGATAAATGTACTTAGCATTGTTCGACATTGTTATTCTCCTATTTGGTAGTAGTCGTGTGGCTACATCACAGGGACGACAACATGTATACATTCTGATTGAATTGGTGCTATTGCTATTCTAGAAAATGTACTTTGAACACTAACGAATCGAAAGTTGTTCCGCTTTCATTGTATGAAACAACGCAAAGACGGGGCAGCAGTTTGAACTTGTTATCTTGTTGATTTGTAGAAGTCTTGTGAATGAACTGTAGGTTCGAGAATTCGATTCCACAGAGTTTTTCAGCTTTCTCTCGTTGAGAAAGTCACTGGATGCAAAAATATGTGTAGAAAAATGTGGCAGCGTGTATAGAAAGCCGCCCAACTTATGGAACAAGATCTTGAAGAAGATTTACGGATGTTTCTCTTGTGTCGATTAGTTGTTCGTGCTTTACTAGGCAGCAGCGATGAGTCAAAACAACCTCGGTGTGCTGTCATCCGTTGAAGCTCGAGAATGAGAGCCAAAAAAAGTTGATATTCAGCAGCCCTTCTAGTTGTCATGTGCGTTCGCTCCTTCTTGCGTCCGCGGAATCTAGTTCTTTCTCAAAGATATGAAAACGACAAGACATGAAGTTGTTCGAGGTTCAGAAGCGTCAGTTCGCGAGTTGGCGCGTTTGGGGTGTCACTAGGAGCACCCAGAAAACACTCTTGCAACAACACGATGCCGCATTGATGGAACGAGATCATGGTGCCAGTGGACGTCAGATAGTTGGCGTTGGAGGACCACATCAAGGTGCTCGGCCGCAGAGGAGGATGGAATATCAATCGAGCGATCGAATGCGTGGAGGGCAAAAGTCTAGAGGATCTTCTCCAGGATCCCCTGCGATCCTGTCAGGAACAACATTGTCCGCTCCGTCATCCTCTCCGTCATCATCTCCAGCTTGGTCAGCTTCAACTTCTTCGACTACGACTACGACTTCGTCCCACCATCATTTAGTTCAAGAATCACGAGTCCGAGGACAGTACATTCCAACTCCCGCTCCTGGATTCTCGAGGCCGTGGCTTTGCAGTGGTGGAGCTTTGTCGTCGTCCGTTGGAGGCAAGACTTTTTCGGACTTTCAAAACTTTCGACGTGGTTGTGCAGGGGCTTTGAGGGCTGCTTGCGCAGCTGGAGACATCGAGGCCTTTGAAGAACTCGTACATACAGTGTTAAGGCTCAGAGTTCATTGGTCTTCACGTAAGTTGGGGTCTTTGAGATCGAAGAGGGCCCCTCGTGAGAGAACAGGGGAAAACTAAGGGGTTAGAGAGGGGTAGCGGAGCCCTTTTCTTTCAGAATCAGTGACTAATGACTTCCGACCCTTTTAACAGGGGGCTCAAAAGTAGCACTGAGGGAAGCGTTGGATGAAAAAGAGCCAGCAACTGGTCGCTCGCCACTCTGTCTGGCTGCAATTAGAAAGCAGGACTGGATCTGCCGACGCTTGTTGCAGTTGGGAGCTAACGGGCACGCAAGAGACGCATCTGGCAGAACTGCCGCTGACTACGCCAAGAGTTCTGGCTGCCCTAGAGTTGCGAATGTGTTTGTATTGTACAACTTGCTTTCGCTAGATCCAGAACGTGAGGTCACGCAACTGTTCGGAGCCTCCTTCCTCGAAATCGACCGTTTAAGGTTGAGGAAAAACCTAAGGTGGAAGTCCGTGATGCCTCAGAGGCTGAGCAATCCACACAAGTGTGTGGATAACGCAGAGGCAGGGATCATGGGAGAGAAGTTGATAGCGCACATCAAAGCTCCGGAGTTGATCCAAACACCGCAAGGCTACTTCCCACGAATCGGTCGTGAAAAATTCCGCCGGCCAGTGCGCTCACAGCAGAAACGACGAACGAGGCCTTCGTATGGAACCAGTCGGCCGAATCACTATGCGCGTCGATGAGATGGAAACGAAGATAGAGAGCTACGTCTTGACACTTCTATGTACTCATACAACCAGAGGAAAAGGAAATGTTATACTGTGAATGAAAACCAATGCCATGCGATTTTGAGTTTAACAACATATGATGAGCTATCTCACCAGCGCGGATGGGTACAATCGTGATGAGCGATTGCTCATTTTCTGGAGGTGCTCGACGCCAGCAGTTACGAGCACTAGCAGCTGCTAGAGCCACAAGTTCGCAAAGAGTCACTACATATCGTTTGAGGAAGGTGTTGAAATCTTTTTTGCAAAGAGCAATTGAAAAAAGATCTGAAGATCAAAGAATGAAGGTCACAAGGTTGATCTTGGGCTTATTCCGTTACTAACACAAGTATTTGCTGGAAATGTGTCATGTGACTCGGAGATCCAGAGACCTTCTAGGAAGTAATTTGTGCTCTACCTAAAAGTACTTTCTGTTGGTACCAAGCTATCTACTTCTCTATTCGTAAAAAACAGCGACACAGGTATTGGGAGGAAGTACGTAGGTATGTTTAATATAGAGTCTCTTTGAGGTCAAAAGGTTCTAAGTAAACGTAGACAACTAGAAACAACTATGGGCCGTGAAGAATTTGAGGGTACCAGCATATCTCCCACTTACGCCAAGCTCGTGGGAGATTTAAGAACTTACATCAGTGAGCATAACGAAAATGTAAGAATAAAGGTAAAAAAATGTCAGAATGAGCCAACGGAATTAGAGGTTGCGCATGTGGCCTTTTGCTTCGTGCGAGGATTACATCAGATCCTTTCGTCCTCGTCTGGTACGCCAACTGATGCTCCAGGCTTAGACTCCTTCGTCGTGCGCAGTGTGCGGAAGCGTATCGCACAGGCTTTTCGCGGTCTTTACGACTTTGAGAGGAACCGATTGCTAGCAGCGCCTTTGGAGAAGACGCAAGAAGTTTCTTCTAGTGTTTCCGGAGGAACTACACTAGAAGAAGGTGCAGCTCGTAGTGCAGCTGCCCGACACCTTCTACATCAAGCAGGTGAAGAGGAACCTAGTACTATTAAATGTCAAGAACCTGCTGGCCCTCATCTTCATCTCTCCAACGCTGTTCGGCAGGTCTTTGAAGAACAAGGGTTGGCGGAACAAGAGGAGGATGAATCAGATAATTCGTCTCGAGGAGATAGAACAGAAGACGAATTAGAGAACGATGGGCATGCTTCAGGTTCAGAAGAGGAAGAAGAGGAAGCATCTTCAACGTCAGAGCACAGACTCAACAGTGGGGGAGCTTCAACAAGCATTGGGCACCAATCAGGCAAGCGCTCGGCACCTCCGACAGGTTCTAATGTGCGATCTCTCAGCAGCTTATCGAGTTCGAGGCCACTATTGAGTTCAAAGAATAACAACACATTTAAAGCAGGAGCATGTTCGAAGGGAAAAGGTGGAGCTGCCACCTCTACCTCCCAGACACAGTCACAAGAAGCGAAGAGAGCAACAAACTGTAATAAAGGCGGCGTTCTTAGCAACAACAGCAAGGGCCACCACCAGCCTTCTCAACACAACAACGCCAAGAAAGAAAGTCTCTTGGCTAAGGCACGGCGCGTCTCCAAAGTACACGTTCGTCCTCGATTCACGTTTCACCATTTATTGTGGATATTAGGAAAGCTCGAGTCCCTTTTTTGCAAAGGGAAAGAGGTCTTAAAACGAGTGGCGGCTGAGGACGTACACGATGCTGTTAGAAAACTTTTCGCCAAAAGCTGTACTACCCCTTCTACCAAGCGCAGACGTGTAGCAGATGGAGCTGGTGCGTCTACTTGTAGTGCGAATTTTAGTTCGTCCACTGCTGCGCTCGACCTTCAATTCCTCAGCTGCAAAAAGGGACAGAAAAACCACAAAACTGAGCTTTTTGTCCTCGGTCGCAAAGTTTTTCTCTCTGTGAAGGAAGAAGAAGACCATCATTTGATCCAGTGGCGATTCCAACTCTCAGAGCATTTTGAGGAAGACGCCAGCGGAGATTGGGAAACTGGTCAAGCATTGTATTGGGACGAACATTTTGCGTATCGTAAGAGCTAGACGAGCATTCTGCTTATTGTATTTGTACTATAATTTTAGCGATTTCGCCGCGTTTGTGTCTCACGAACAGTATGCAGTGTCAGCGTGCTCTTGTTTCGGCGTCACGCCTCGCGCGAGGAGTTGACTACATGAACAAGAAGAGGTGTTGTTCTTACAACAGTTTTACCACACAGTCAGCACTTTGCATTCGGCTGAGGCACGGCAACAATGCATTGCCGTGGACGCAAAAGAGCGGTTTGTCATCGTCCTCAAGGAGACCATCTTTTTCTTCGTCGCCCTCGAGGACATTATCAAGAACGGTGGCATCTGCAGACATCCTTGGAGTCCTTCTCCATTCTGCGAAGATCTCCTTCGCACTCTTCCTCACGCTGTCCCTGGCGACCACAGGTGTATGGTATTTTCTTTTTCCCTATCGGGACAAATATCTAGCTCAGCTGCAAGAACTGTTGACGATTCTAGATTCTCACGGGGCTTTACCAGCTGACAATCGTTATCCGCACTTGCTAAATCTGCTCGTTTTGGTGAGAGCGCAGACGGAGGCAGAAGATGGGTGGAGGGTGAGAAAAAGTTCTGAAGAGAAAAGTAGTGACAACAAAGATTCATCTGTTTCTCCTGCTTCATCTACAACCTTACTCTCCGAAGGGCGTACATTCTGTCGCATTGCCAATGCGATCTACCCTGCTGAGGTCTTGGTGGCTCTGGGGCTTCTTCCCGTAACGGATGCCGCGCTGTGCAGTCGCGTGGGTATAATCGAAAAGTACGTATCTGCAGGCGGACAAAGCCATAAGATCTTTGAGTTATGCCATCTCGATGCGGAAGCCTCTCCAACTGACAGATTCCTAGGCCGATCCCCCTTTCAACCAGCTGCGTTTGTGGGAGTTCATCATGGCTTCAGAGCTGTGGTAGTGGCTATTAGGGGTACCACAACCTTACACGACATTTTTGCAGATCTGATGGCTGACAGTGTGCGCGTACCTTTCGTGGGCCATGATGGTGCTTCAAGTACTACAGAAGTCTATGCACATGAAGGAATGCTTCGATCCTCTCGCAACCTGCTCAACTCTCACAATGACGCGATAATATCTGCCTTAAAAGAGTCTGGCTATAAGCGCGTTGTTTTCACTGGGCACTCGTTAGGAGGTGGTTGTGCGCAGTTGTGTGCTTACCTGTTTCGAACGGATATGGAAATAAAGACTTCTGAGCAAAAGGGAACTCTTCATAGCGTAAAACAAGTCGATTGCTTTGCTTTTGGTGCGCCACCTGTTATCTGTGATACATCACCTTCAAATGTTTCTCCCATCCCTGTTGGACGAGGAACGGAAGCAAGAGACGAATTCCATACCTTTTGTTACGGCAATGACATTGTCTGTTCTTTGAGCATGGGCACTGTTCTGGACTTGGTACACAAGTTGGAGAGCATCGACAGACAGCTGAGTTGGGGTTACATCAGGCGGCTGGCCTATGTGGTAGCTGGTTCATCTGGGTCAGAGAAGTTCTTGCGTGAGCTTGGTATTTTTTCAGAGGCGACATTACCTATGCGTTGTAAAAGTGGCGCTTCATCGGATTCGGATGAGCTTCCGATACCAGCCCGTTTTTGCTTGCGACATATTGGGAAGGTTTGGGACATTGATCCAAAAATTTCACTTGGAGATGATGAAGATCACAAGAGTATTGATGTGGTAACACCAAGACAAGACAAGAATTCTGGACCAAAACAAGAACAACAACTGTGTATCTCTTTAGCTGGGCAGCACGACGTTTTTCTTGACCATTTGCCATCTAGATATGAAGATGGACTCAAATGCGCTTTTGATCAGATGAACAGGAAAGAACGACCGCAAGCGACTCCAACGAAACCTACCTTGTAAAAATTCGCCTCTACGATATGAAACCAAACTAAATTCAACCCACTAGCACGACGTTTCGCCGGGACTCTTTCCGTTTTCCTAGAGTCAACGTGAATCAATCAGACAGACTGATTGTTGGTCTTGGTAGTTGTATCTAAGTATGGTGTTCGATACGCTCCGTGCTGATTGAAGCTCAAACACACAACAACGACCCTTGATGTCAAAAGTGTGGGGTCCATAAATTGTTGCCTGGAACCAGAAGACGTGCATCTTTTGTGGTGGAAAATCCGATTTCACTCAGTTTCCAAATGAAGAAGATAGACCAACGTAGGACCTCGTATAAAAGAATCATGAGTAAGAAAGAATCTAGCACAATGAAAAATACGCAGGGAAGCTTATCTTTATCCCGATAGTAGATAAGTAAAAATCAAACCTCGTGATAAAATTTGACTAGTTTCCGCACTTCAATTGATTGTTGTAGGAAAAAATGAAGAAAGTAAACCGTTCTGCTCTCAGGCCGCACAGCGGCCGTGTGAAGTACCACTGGAGCAGCAGAACTACACTTCGCAGCTGCTTCCCGTTCGTCTCTTTGATGCAGCAGTATTTATTTTTTCACGGAGTTGGCGTCGTTTGCGTTTCTTCATCTTCACCACGTGGCGAAAATCAATCTCCAAGTGTCGCCGTGCGAGCGAGTGAAGATCGTGCTGATTTTTGTACCGAATCTAGTAAAAATAGAACAGGCGTTCTTCTCCAACAACCGAAGGTGGTTTGGAAAGAATTTTCCTGCGTTGATGACAAACATAAGGGAGACGGGGACAGTGACGGGCCTCGTTCTTTTAGGTGCGTCGTCCAGGTCGAAGCTGAGAAGAAGCCGACTGGATGGCGAGTAGTCTCTGACCCTATGCAAGTGGTGCACGAGGCAGGCAGTCTTATCTTTTTAGCGCCTCTAGTACCGCGTGATACTCGCTGGAATCCACGAGGGACCGTGCGTGCCTACAATGATGGTAAAGGGGTGACGCAGGTTGTCATTGTGGGACATGAGCACTGTGAGCGAAAAGAGAGTGAATCGTCACGACTGCACAGCAGCACCCCCTCATCAAGTAGTACAGCCAGTATTTGGGACAGACACAGAACAACTTCTAATTCGAGTTGTACGAGGAATACAGACCACGCGGCAAGGGAGGTAGAGTATATGTTAGATCACACGCTAATGGCCAACAAGAACACAACAGCGACGTATACTGGGTCTTCTAGCTGCGGAGGTGCAGGTTCAATTCCGTTTCCGATGTCTACCCAGAGCTATGGAGACATGGTCACGCATGATTCAGCTAGAAGTGCATCTGCATCTAAAGGTGCTTCTAGTCAAGCTCTATTACTTCCCAGTGGCCTGGAAGGTCTGCAGGGAACCGTAAGAGAACCTCAGATGAAGGGAGCAGAATTCTTAGGAGTAAGACTACCCCTCGGCGATCGTAATACTGACCCCTCGGCGGAAATGAACACACGGCCGTTGGTGAAATTAAGGAGATGAAGATGTTTTGAACATCAGATTTATTTTCACCTTCACGAAAGGAGGATCGGTACAGTAATGATGGTGGTTTTAGTTGGGAGTGGAGGAAGGATGTGCCTAACATGGCATGTTGAGGCAAAGTTAACATTTTCATTTTCAATGTTTTAAACAGTGATCACAACTCAAACCAGCTCTAAGAATATCTTTGACCCTCAGCAGTAGGGGAGTGAAATCCTCGAGTAGCGGCGAAAAGGACACATCGTCACAGGAAACGCAGCAATGTCGACGTCTCTGCACCTTACGCCTCGTCGAATGGACTCCTGGCGCCCTGACAGATTGTACCATCCCACCTGAGACCTTGGCCGAAGCTTTGGAGGTCGCTAAAGTGGCTTCAGCGACAACTGCAGGTGAGGAAGCAAATTGTCATGCTGACGGTGATCAGGAACCTTCTACGTTTTCGCACGTACATGGCCACAACGAACAGACCAGGAAACAAGATAAAAAGTTGTTGCGTGGTGATGTTCGCCAAGTAGGTCGTAGTGCCAAAAGTTTAGAAAAAGAAGAACGCAAGAAGAAAAATTCCAACAAAATCTTTTCCATGAAAAAGAAATTTTTTGGATGAACCTTCAGGAGGCGATGAAAGAACGCCTAATTCTTGTTGCTATGGAGTCTTACACTCGTGACCGCGAGCTAGGAGGTGTGGGCAGAGTCAGAGTTAGAATTCCACGACAACTATGACAGAGCACATGAAAATTTATATAGATGATTACAAGCCAGTGTGGTCTTTTCGAGAACAAAGCATCCTCTTTTTCCTGTTGGTTCTTCTTCTCACTTTGATGAAAATAATCTGCAAAAAAGATGAAATACGTTGCGAAAATTGTTTCGCATATTTGATTTTCTTGTTGAGATATTATTTTTGAACCTTTCATCTGGAAAAAAATGGCAGTAGTAGCTGCGTCTGCGGCGATTCTCTTAATATTTTTTAGATCTTCACGAACATTATGGTTCTTGCAAACACTCATCAGATAGTATCGCAGTGCTGATGAAGATGGCGTACTTCTTACAAGGTACTACTATTTCAGCAGAACAAACTGGTTGATTTGGCATCATCCGCTAACACGACTAGTTGTATTGTTTTTTATAATTGCGCCACTCCTGAAGAGCACAAGGTCATGGTGTTATTGGTACGAGAGTAACTAACGTGAGAGAATTGAATTTTGAGAAACTTTTCCTGAGATGTGTGTGGGAGAAGTGTGTAGATTGTTTCGAAGCTGACAGAGGGAGAGAGAAACGGAGTGCTTGGGTCTCCTTCGAAAACGCAGGGATCTAGGCTGCACTCGGACGAGTGCATATCCATTTTTTCACGCTTCCACACTACAAGAACAGAGATGAAAGGATGGCTTTACCCTTATTGCATGCTTGTGAGGGGACAGAAGTTCTTGTCTGCTAGCGTAGATACGTGTTGTTCTCCTGTTTCACGTCGAAGAAGAATGTGAAAGTATGGCTTCTCCTGTCTCAAATGTGACGATGCGCGCGCGCGGCTGCGTTCGTCTTCCTTTGCGGGCTCCTCCTGCGAGATGGGGTATGCTTCTCCTCGTGGGAGGTCTCCGCTGCGTTCTCTGCAGTGCAGAAGCTTCTCGTGAGAACGTGTCAACAACACCTTGGCCACTGACTGAAGAGGAAGAAACAAGCATTCTAGAGCGTTACTATCCAGAGCGGCTGAGGCGCTTTGATACCAGTATTAAGGCTCAGCTTTCAATGGTCACCATTTAGATTGGAGTCACTGAGATCGAAGAGGCGACCCGCCCTTGAGAGGGAAAAGGGGAAAAGGGAAAGGGGAGAGCTTTGACGGGGGGGTCTCTTCCGTTCAGAGTCGGTGGCCAGTGAGTGCTGAGCTTTAAAAGTACTTCAGAGGAATTGTCGGAACACCCGCATCGACTTTTTACTGGTGCACTAGACAGAAATCGAGATGGAGTGTTGGACATGACTGAGCTTCGCCTCTGGGGCATCTGGGAAAAGTGGGCTGCTTATTACGACAAGGACGGCGATGGGCATGTCAACCAGCACGAGTGGAGACATCTATTCCGACAGCGGAAACGCTACGTAGTCAATATGGCAGTGAGAGACCATTCTTCAGAGGAAAAGAGTAATATTAAGGTTGGAGAAAGGACTTCTTGTGGGGGTAGTTGTACATTGGCGTCCGAGAACGAAAGTAGGGTCGTTGATATCGGAAAAGGTGCTTTGCAGTCGTCCGATACTAGCACCACCAACAGCACCACCACCTTGGACGTGTCTGACCTCTCTGCACGTAGTGAACTCTCTTCCTGGCGAAAACAGAGGAGTCGTAGGCAGCGGAAGAACTGGAACGGTTTGAAAGGTCATCTACAACCACTGCAAGTGCTTGGTGGAGAGGGTGGTTCTCCTGGAGGTGGAGAGGGTGGTTCTCCCGTTAGTGGTCGTGAAGTAGGTGAAGTAGGTGAGACACAGACACAAACTAAGCGGAAGAAGATCCCTCGACTTCGCTCACAAGACGTACAACCAAAAAAATTTTGGCAAGAATTCGTGGACAAGCATCTACCTGTCGTCCTTACGGGTGTGGAATCGCCAGCGTGGAGACACTGGGATGAGGAGTTTTTGCGATCAAAATATGCAGAACTGGAAGTGAAGCTATGATCTGCAGAATCATGAGTTGGTTACTGATTTTGAAAAAGTAGGCAGGTTCAGATCGTCGTATCTTTATACTCGTCACAGCGAAATATTAGACTGGCATACAGATCATACTTAATATACTAGTAAGCATAGGGTAGTTTGTTGCAAAACAGATGGGAACTACAGAAATTGTCAGAAGCAGAAGCTCTAAGTTCTTTTCTTCGCTCTAACATACCTGGAGCCACGACGTGAAGATCGTGGCAACCCGGATGCACCAGAGACAAGGAAATCGCGGGCCACTCTAGCTGAGCTTCTAGATGAATATGTCGAAGAAGGAGCGACTGGAGCAACAGCAGAAGATCAACAGCTTGTCACTGAGGACCAAGAAGAGCGTGAAGATTCAACCTCGCAGATGGACAAAAGGAGATATCTTTCGCAGGTTCGAGGCAAGGCCTATGCTGTTTCGATCTTACCACAACAAATGGCTTGGGATACAGTAATTCCACGCGCTCTGCTGTGTGGATCTCGAAGACACCAGAAAGACCCAGCAAAGGTCTTAGCACAATGGCAAGCAAAGGCAAAAGCAGCCGCAGCGTCTGGCGGGGAACAGATATCTTCAAAGGCAGATAGTACAACTGGTACATCTACTGGTACATCCTCACCTTCTACATCATCTGGTGAAGAACCTTCTCCTACATCTGGAGGACCCACAACGTCTAGTCTGCAGGAGGCACAACTTCTCGGTCCTCATCGCTTCCCTCATCCCAAAGGGAGAGCCTATATGACGCATTTTCTAGAGTATAATCTGTGGATGGCACACGGTCCGACGGAGTCCCAGCTCCACTACGACGCGGAAAACATTTTGTTTTGCGTCTATCGTGGTCGAAAGCGCTTTTTGCTGATTGATACCAGAAAATACGGGAAAAGGATGGCATGGGTATTTTTGAATTGCTCTTTCTTGTACTAAGTGTCTAGAAGTATAAGAAACAATAATCTATTCATGCTTGCTCAACTCTATATTATAGAGTTGATTGTGCAGCTCCTGCCACTCCAATGTAAGTACCCTTCTGAGTACAGCTACATTTCAGGTTCGCGGACGTCAATACCACTACGAGGAGGACCTATTGAACCAAGGGTCGGATTGGGTAGACGTGAATCCAGAGGCTGTTGACTTGAATATTTTTCCTGAATTTGCGAAAATGGAGTACCAGATTGCTGATCTAGAACCTGGCGACTGTCTTTTTCAGCCCTACAGCTATCTACATCAAGTGAACTCCAATGCGAAAGAGTCAAGTACCACCAATGCCGAAGTACAAGTACAAGAACAAGACTTGCAAGTCTCGGCTTCTTTTCTGTTCTCACCTTTTGAGGTGTTCGACGCAGAAGCTTGCGCCAGTGAGGTGCTGCAACAACGTAGGATTTTCGACATGCCTGCCGGGGTCTTCGACGTGCTGTGGAGCTATAGCGGCAAAGGAGTGATCCCCCAGGGCTACCCGGATCCCGCTGTTGTTGCCAGGGACATCCGGAATGAAATGCGAGAGAGTGGCGCAATCAGGATGGCGTTGCAACAGAGGAGGAAGAAATTAAGCCTTGTTCCGCTAATCCATCTGTATAGGGATCCCTCAAACGTGTGCGCCCTAATTTACAAGGGGAAGAATATTACTGACGCACACGCCGGAGGGATTTCCACAGGGATGAATTTGGACGAGCTCTAAAGAAAGAAGAACTGGGAGGAGTGCCACTGCTTTCACCTGGAGTCTTAAAGGAGTTTGCCGGCGGTTCTTCACCGATGAGGAGGAGTTCACAAGTTTTAAACCGTTATGTCGAAGAATTCGGTAGATATGCTAATACCAAACATCTCATCAATCCGCAGATCCTAGAAGCAGAAGTTGACAAGCTTTTGTGGCCTGCTTCTGGTTCGGGAGAGGATCAAGCAAATGTCTTATCTACTAGAGGATCGCCTTTGGTAGATGAGGTGGTGGAAAGAACTTGTAGCGTCAGTCGGCAAGTTGAGGAGGATCATCCTAGGAGCGGTGCGAAGGCAAGAAGAGATGAAGAACCAGAGGAGGATTATCCTTCTACCGACTTAAAAAGTGAATCTTCGTGCAGCACGACCAGTCGCGGCGTACCTCTAGACCTGTGGTTGCGCTATACCGTTGACAGCGATGATGGTCTTGCTTGCAATCGTGGTCTTGAGTATTTTCCACGCACTGCGGACGACTGGCACAGGATGGAGACGTTTTTGGACTTGTTTTTGGCAGGAAAAACTACAGATGTTCTTGATGTCCTCGATCAAAAATCTACTAGAAGAAGTATGAAGAAGCAGCACAGAATGCATAGGATGATACTAGAAGGTCAAGAAGAATCTAGAGGTAACAACAACACAACCTCCTCAGCAAGAACGCAAACTCCACATCATGAAAAAGCTACTATGACTTCTAGCAGCAAGAACACGAAGGGAGGTCAAGGCACAATAGAAGAAGAAAAGGTAGAGGAGCATGAACAAGAACCGGAGGTAGCCGGAGATGAAGAGGAGCGAGATGATGATGATGATGATGCTAGGACGATTATTGGTAGAGCCTCACCAGATGATAGAGTCGATGATGGTGATTCATACACTGAGATTGAACTATAATGAATAGATTCCCTGCTCGCTGATTCGAATGATACACTTAGACAGGCTCTGTCCACAGAGCAATATGGTGCATAAGATTGCAAGTCTTCTACACCAAGATCACTGCAGCAGAAGCGAAGATGTTCACCCGCGTCGTGCGCACGTGTATGAGTGTAATCAACTTCAACCTATTGTTTTTTTATGTAATTTTGATTCCTAGTTAGACGAGCTCCACCGGAAATATTAGCAGCGAAGTGCTGGATGACGACTGAAGTGACAGTCTGTGGATGTGGCTTAGGGGTTTCATTAAGAAGTACCAACAAAGATCAAAGACTTAGGACGAGTTAGTAGTAGTTGCAGCAATATTGGTAGTGACATTATTCGGTGTCCGAGCGACGTTCGAGAGAATCTTCAAGCTGCGTTGCAAGATAAGATCCAAGATAAGATCCCCTTGAAGTTGTAACCGATCACCTGTATTGAAGCACTAAATTAAGATTCATAGTTAGGACTGCCACTGCCACGATGTTGTTGACAACATACTACAGAAGAACATTGTTCATTTCTTAGGAGTTTACTTAGTAGGTAAAAAAAGTAGTTACTTACATGAATGTGGATCACATGAAGCGAAGCTCATAAGCTGAACTAAGCTCGTACTACAATTACACTAGCTGGCTCTTGATAACGAAGAAAACGAAACAAAATGGGCACTTCGGAGGATGGTTTTGGTTACCATGCTGAGGATGAGGACAAGGTGTGCCTATCTTCGTGCTGTCGCTGCATTCCTTACGGCTATGTTGACTGCGTCGTCTTTGATATGCGGTGTACTTGGTTATTTTTGTACTTTTTCTCAAGAAGTCAAAACTTTCATTTTTGGAAGTTAGAATGTGAATGAAGTACAAAGATAGTCCAGCTCAAGGACAAAAAGCCGAAGATGCTGTATTGAAGGACGCGAAAACGGCAATCTGTACTTCTAAGTTCTGCGTTTTTCGAATATATCTTGGTGTGCCTTGTTCGCCTTTGGTTTCGTTGCATCGTTAGTGATTCCTGCTTCCGAGTGCATCAATCACTACGCTGTCAATGGTTTCTGGACCTTTTTGACACCGACCGACCACACTGGCAGACACTGTGATCCTGATGAAGTACATTGGCGGGATGGCGGAGGGCATTCTCGGGGGTATTGTTTGCCGGGACCCGACTACCAGTGGGACGATAAGGATCCAAACATGAAAGGACGGCGACTACTGTCGGAATGGAGGTACTAAGACTGATATTTTTCGATTAGTCTTAATTGCCCTAAGTGTGGTTTTCTTCACAAATTTGAATCTCAACGGGATCTGTATCTTTTTGATGTACTTAGTTATATTTTATGCCATTGTAGTATCACCCATCAAATTGTATGAAGATGAACAAGGCTGATCTCATTTTTTCCCATATGAAAAGGATAATGACCATGGGAGAACTTAAAGTCGAGCATACTAGAGCTTCCTCGTAATATGGCTCCTGAGAAGGTATTAGCTGAGCTAGAACGACAACATTTTTACCTAGAGCATAGGGAAAAAAAAACTTGCGCGTACAACACATGACATGGCATCAAGAGAACTGGCCAAAACTTCTAACTGGCACATTTCATTACTGGGTGTAGCTTCTCCTTTCTGCTTTGATTCTTGACGGAAAATAGAGGTACAACTACAGAAAATAGAGGTGAAGTTTTCTTCCATGATTTTCCATGGTATCCTCACACACACTCTTCACTCTCAGATCTCGCATCCGAGAGGCGACTTCTGGTTCTGCGAAAAAACCTGCGAAAGGATTCCGTATGCCATTCGGTTTGAACCATGATAAAAACCCGTGTCCGCTGTGGTCAGCAGCAGATCAGGCGACGGGAAACAGGGTGCCCTACAGATTTGCCCTACCGAAAAGCAGAAGAACTTGGAAAAACCCAAAGTTATGTATGATGTTATCAGGACAAAATTCCGATTGCAGCAAGGGCATTTTTGGAAGGACTAAGAATAGTACTTAGACGAATTTTTATGTTTCAGCTCAGTACCTTATTTATATTTTGTATGTAAGTACCTTAGTGGTCCTACTACTTAGTACAAGAAACGGCATCAACGACAAGAATGTTGTAAAAATGATATTCTATTCCACAATTTCAGTCTAACGTACTTCAGTATTGATTCGCCCTGGGCCGGTAGCAGTATTCCTGCCGGGAACGACGGCGCGACTGCATCAAGTGAACCGACCAAAATGGAAGACTTTGACATAGTCCCTGTTTATAGGCCATCGCGCATCACAAATGCCTTGGCTCCCCTGAAGAACGTTTGTATGCGCGTCAAACCGTTGCGGGCGCCAAAATTCTGTACGCTGCGAGCGGAATATAAGGCGTGGTGTAAGGGACCCAATGGCGAATTCATCCAGTCAAATACAGCATCAAGTACTAGTCCCGAAGGTTCTGGACGAGATAGAACTGAGAGCACTGGACAAAAAGATGAAGGGAAGCCGATTTATTACGAACATTCTGGAGGGGGCAGAGAGAGGGTGCCGGTTCTTAAGGCTTTCACTATATAATTCATCTTTAGCAGAAGTGAAAGTGTCTTCGTTGAGCCTTTCTGCGTACGGATTAAATACTCCGTCGCTGAATCGGCTTCGTCTTGCAGACAGGGTAGGCGAACTGTCAGACACGCCACGACGATGACGAAGAGACGACTTTTAAGATGGATTTCGGTTGACTCTAATATACTTTGCTATGCAGGTTACGAATTGACACAACACGATGTATTTGCTGTTTATGCATCGAAGACACCAAAAACATCAACTTCGTCAGCAGCATCTTCGTCCGCAGCATCCTCGTCAGAACCTTCGTCAGGAGATGGATATCACGAAAAAATGGATATGAATTTGATGAATTGGAGTTATCTGCCTGCTAGAAGAGATGAAGGAGAGGCAACCGAAACAGTTGCTGCTCAGTCTATAAGAGAGCAAGCACGTGGAAAGCAAGTGCCGGGACATCAAGTTCAATTAAGAAGAGTAGACGGGTTCAATTAAGAAGAGTAGACGGGTTCAATTATAAGAAGAGTCGATTCCATCATCTTTGTCCTATGTGACGAAGAGTATTCATCAGCGTAAATGGGAATGAGTATCTTTTGGAGCGGAGTACGGTCCTATGTGCTGGAGTATCGTGTGTGATGGATTCAATGCCTTTGATAGCTCAATTGGAGTCTCTTCCCAAGAGGAAGGAAAGCAACTGCTTCCTCGTTTGTTCGGTGATTAGAAAGGTAATTGTCGGAAGAGATACGAGAACTTTCAATTCTGCGTCTAATCTTAGCAAACGGAAAGCACGGAGCTGCAAAAGCAAAAGACAACCTATCGCCACTTCTACCTCCGTGGTTGAACGAAAGCCACCTTCTTACGAAGAACTCCAAGAAAAAGTTAAGGCTGAAAAATCAGGTTCGAGCTTTAATGGAGGCGTGCCATCCCGTTCGTGAGGATTGCGCAGATGATCCCGACCTCGCTATCAAGCTCGGGATCATCTGCGCAATCCTCGCGACCGATATAGCGACGCTTTTCTTGACCATTTGGCACCTAGATATGAAGATTGACTCAAATGTGCTTTTGATCAAATGTGGGGGGGGGTGTCTGTGTCGTTCGCGCTCAGAGTGAGCAGTGATCAGCTTTAATGGAGGCGTGCTATCCCGATCATGAGGCTTGCGCAGATGATCCCGATCCCGATCTCGATAGCGAGGATTTGGGACCTTTATCCTTGTTGGTCGATATTGGAGAGCTCCACGAGTATTATTGGAGGCACGCGGATCCAGAATTGATAAAATTAGGCCTCTCGCTAGCCAAATTATCGAGTCCTTTTCTCTTAGAAGCATCTTGGAGCTGACCCTTTGTGTGTCCCATAGTTGTACGGAGAACACAGGATGTTGACTTCGAAGATGTAGTTGACTTCATCTAAGATGTAGCTTGATTTATTCGTGAAGATCTCTAATACAAGATCACTCCATGAAGCCTCCTTTTCCGATCGGTCTTAGTGAAGAGCAGCGGAATCTCTATTGTCAGCCGAATGCGGATGTAGAAGAAGAAGGAACATTCGTCTTTACCGATTTGGTGATCGAATTGAATACCCTGTTTTTCAAGCTCTTGGATCCATTGCAAGCACACGGGATGAAGATTGTCACACTTGGTTAAGGCTTATACTACTATAAGTTGTTGGCCTATCTTGTTCTAGTATGAGCATGTCTAGGCCTAGGCCAATTCATCCAAGAAGAAGAGGCATGGCTATGCGAGCTAGATAGGTCAACTTGAAGCCTCTAACGTGGAACAGCTCTGGCGCTAGGTACCAACATGGCGCTAGTCACGTTTCTCTCGCCGTTTCTTTTCTTAGTACTCCTGTCTTTGGTGGTAGTCACTGTTCTGCTGTACGTCTTCTTCAACTTCGGATTCCTCTACGTTACCGGCTTTTTGGGACCGTTGTTAGCTGCTCCTGTGAAGCCTCCAATTGTGCCAAGTCCAGGGACAGAGGAGATGTTGAGAGGGACAGACACTCAACAACTACAAGGTCCTCCACATGAGCTTGCTGGGAAGAACAACGGGGTTCATTTTTGTTATCCTACGGAGTTGCAGAGGACAATGACTAGTAGTCTAACTTCTACAAACCAAGAACTACATCAGCAAAACCAGGACGATCTCCCAAGGAAAGTGCAGAACTTCATGAATGGACTGCACATATTTTACTGCAAAAACCTATGCGTCACTTGGGATTCGGAAGCCGTTCTTGTCGCAGTCTGTCTGGTCATTTTTCTCTTCACTACGATGATTCTGCTGCGCGTGATAAAATACCGCCATAGTGCTGGACTAGCCCTGCAGTTGCTGATGGCGTCAACGAAAGTTCTGTGGAAAGTGCCAGGACTGCTTTTTTTTGCGCCCGTCTGTGCGATTTTCACGGGCGTTGGGTGTATGTTTCTGTACTTATGAAAATGATGGCTTTTAGCGTCGGTCGACCTTACAATAGCCTATTCATTGTGTTTGTGGACTCTCTTATACTGTCAACAAGGGTCGTTACAACCTATAAAATTCTTTTTGGGGATTGTACCTTCTTATGCTGTAAACAACGGTGACAAGAACTAATGTTGTACTACACAGATACCTTTTGACCTGAACCTGATCCCATGTTCCTTTCTAGCTGCCTCGGATCAGTTCTTTCTAACTACCACCTTTTGAACTGCATCTGATCCCATGTTCTTTCTACGTGTCTTAGAGAACGTGTCTTAGAGAACTGAAGCTGATCCCATGTTCCTTTCTACCTCTCTAAGACACGGTTGCTGCCTCGGAGCTGTTTTCGTGGTGCCGGATGAATACTTCTGCAACGGCTTGGTCTTTGGGGTATTGTCAGGGCTTCTCAGGCTTGTCCTCGTTCCAGTCCAGATGATTCTACCAGCGGAGGTAACGAGTATCCTGTTTACTTCTACGCAGTCGTCGGGAACGTGTTCCAGTATAGCGTATAATTCGTCTCCTTTCACCTCGACCGACGTCGCTGCTGCTCATGTCGCGTCGTGGGTGTTGCGATGGATCGCAGCTGGGCTGACAATTGGGATGTACGAGTGGTTCCGATCATTTATGCATGGTACTACAACGACCGCGGTGGCTGATGCGGTCGTCTGTTGGTTTTACACATACGACGATGGCGAGAACGATGAAGATAAAGATGACGGCAACTACGGAGTAGAAGATGATCGGAGCAAAGACGCTAAAATTTTTGATGACGAGACTGATGGTGATCTCGAGTTGGAGTTGGAAGACCTCCAGCAGGAAAATGGTCATCATGTTGCTCCATGCGAATATCATGGCCACGAGGATGATAAAAACGATGACGAACAAGACAATCAGGGTCCTTTGACTGCAGAAACACAAAGATTGCTGCGGCTCCGAAATGAAAGTCATGGGGTGGACGAAGAAGAGGAGGAAGCAGTGGTAGTGAACGTTTCAAAATCTCCGCGTGAGGCGTGTCACAGAGCAGAGTCACCCACCAGCACGAAGCGGTCGACTCCGCGGTCGGAACACCGAGATCATCATGGTTGTTATGAAGCAGAAGAACAGGTTCCTTGTTTGGTGGAAAGTGCAACTGCAAGCGAGGATGGCGAGCCTGATCGCGGAATCCATGATCATTGTGAAGACGAGGAGCCTCTCATTATGGAAGAGGAACGCAGTGGAAAGAGAAACGATAAGTGGGTTGAAGGCCAGCACAGAGTTTCCCTCGTCACAACAGCAGGCAGTGAAGAGATCCAAGGTCGTGACGATAACGTGACTCTTGAATGCGACGAGGCAGATGGAAGAGAAGTAGTCGTACTAGACAAACCTCGTGGCCCAAAAAGCCGTACCTGTCTATTCTCTGGTACAACTACCAAGTCTACGACCTCAAAGAAGTGCGGAGCAGCTCCACGACACCTGATTTGGCGCTTTTTCATTGCACCCTTTGGTTTTTTGATACTGTGGGTACGAGTTTTATTTCGCTTTTCAGGTGCGATCGCGATGGGCGCATTTTTTCATAGCTTTTATCGGCTGATTCAGTTCGTGGCAGGGTTCGACTGGACGGGAACGAGCAAAACGCATTTCATCCTCTTGGCGTTATGGCACAGGAGAGACAGTACCACAGAAGAGACAGTAGATTTAGTTTTTCAGAAATCTACATGTAGAAGGACATCGACAACTTGATAATTGCTTCCACGTTGAAATTGAATGTCAGTATTTGAAATCATCTAACCTCCTTAGCAGTGGTTCCGATTTCACTGGAAGTATTTAGCATTTGACATCATCTAATCTTCCTAGCAGTGGTTCCGATTTCGAAGATTTACGTGTACATGGCTTTAGACAACCAGACAAGCTTTTCTGGTGCGTGCCGTACGGCTCTAGGTGTCCTGAGTCGACATCCGTCACAATGGCTCATGCTTGAGGCGATCACGCATTCGCTGTCGTTTATTTGTTACATTAAGGCTTCTGGTACCGCAACTACACATTCTCAACGTCATCCTTGGCGAAGGCTAGTACCGCTACAGCATCTTCCTACGTACATGATGATCCTTGGTTCTTCTCTTTCTATGTTTGAAAAGGAGGGCTCTACTTCCAACGAGACTACTGTACTATGACCCTCAACGAGGAGGACGTTAGGAAGGTTGTAGATCTAATTCCCCTGGGGTCTTCGTCGTTGTGCTTATAGCGTCCCTAGTAACTCATCCAGACGCAGCCGCGCAGACTAACGTTACTCGGTATCTTCAGAAAACAGCAGAAAGCGGTCCATGTCTGGTCAACGAGGTCTTACTGCAGATGCGGTTCCCATTTGCAAGCGAAGATTACGCCTGTGATGCTAAGAGTGGAAGCAGTTCGGCAGGGTCTTCAACCAGTACTAGTGCAGCGGGTGGAGCTCCAGGTGCTGCTGCTGCTGGTACTGCCGGTAATCAGGGTAACATCAATCACGGAAACGGGAGCTGGGGTTCTCCAGGTGCTGTGATTTCCGGAGGCGTGGCACAAGTAGCACAAGCAGAACAAGGAAACAACGCAAAAGAAAAAGATGAGAAGGGTAAGGAGACCAAGGAGCGCCAGAAAGACTGGCGTGGATGGCTTCAGCTCCTTTCTCGACGCGGAAGGAGTGATACTTGGGTTTATCCACTATTGAATCTGGTGATAGCTCTGTTTTATGGCCATGGTGATGAGTCGAATCAAATATATAAAGTGTTTGAAAAACAAAAATAATACTGGGATCTAATGCTACAGATGAAAAGAGGTGCTACTTCTACTTGTTTGATATGAAGATGGACCTCCAACAAGTATTTTTTTTTATTAAGACATCTCTAATGTCCCTTCACGCACGAGATATTGAAGGTGTATGGCATTGCTGTGGATGCTCTATACGTTTGTTGCTTACGCGATTGGGACGAGCACGGGCAAAAGCTATCAAACACTTCTCGATTACGCCAGTTGAAGATGCTCAAACTTCAGAAGGCTTTTCGTCGTGTCTTTGCACAGGAAAGAAGAGGACGCTTTTCTTGATTACGCACATAGCACAAGGGTAAAGGTTGAAAAGTTACGATTCATGGGCTGTATTCAGGAGTCTTTCATGCTCAACGTCAGCATCGGCATATTAATAGACGTGTTGTCCTTGTCGTCTTCATAGCTTTAAAAGGGCTAGTATTTGCAGTATTGGTTTCTTAAGAGATTTCATTCTGAGTAATTCCTGTAAGAACTATATGATTCTCTTGGTCAGTCGTCGAACGTCGTGTCGCCCCTATCTCTACAAACATATCTAAGAAGGAAAACACAAAAAGGGAAACAAAAAAATTATCGCCTGTTGACATTCATACTTACACAATTTGATCGTATCGATACAACACAGACCTCCCCCATAAATGAATGCTGCTTTAGTTTTTTTGGTTGCCTTTACATTTTGACAAAGAATTGTGATTGTCTCGTCGAGTCATATACCGCAAGCTATAATGTTGTTGATGCTCATTATCTACCGTCTGTTGCATTCGACTCTCTTTTCATCATCGCTTTGAGAATAATATAACATCAAATTCATTTCCTTCATAGGCAAAAATAGTTGATGTCGATACAATCATAAGCATTGCGCTGAATCTATTTGCTTTCGCAGTAGCAACATGGATACTGGAACATGGATACTGGAACATTCGTGAGGACATAAAATCAACAGGATGAACATGTGAAACCAAGCAAGCATCTTGATTTCGGCATGACGTTGCAGGCTGGTCGTAAGTGCGACATTGTGCTTAGGAGAACGGCACTTCAACTCAGTCAGGGTGAAGATCGTGTCTCTCTATCTCCGCAGTGTGTCTGGTGCCAAATTTGCCGACGCTGGTGAACCTCCTGAGTCAAGAAATCTAGGTTATATATATGTACATCTGAACCTGAAGGGCACGCCATGGCTATAAGTCTACGATTATCGTCTGTGAAAAAAATTGATTTGTACAGGTGGCCTGCTAGTGTTTCCATCTTCAGTGTGTATGGGTCACCATATCGGTTTGTCAGTCCCGAGTTGAAGGAATGGAATCCTCGGCTTCTACTTTTAGGGACGCAAGACCTATCTCTGTTTCTCTGACATACGGAAACTTTTTCGGTAGGTTTGACACGTTACCATTTTGGCTCAAGGCTTCGTCCTTGTTGCCCGTTACCTACCAACAGAGAGACCCAACCGCATAGTTAATGCCTAGGATCGACTGTTCTGGTACACGTATGGCTGCGCTCAACAAATCAATCCATCCATCGATCAATCAGTCAATCAATCAATCAATCAATCAATCAAATCATCAATATCAAGATCTTCCCCGAGCGGTTGGGTCTATAATGGGGCTAGTTTCATTAGGTCGGGCGCGACTTGTTCTAGCTGATTACGATTCCAAAAGAGATACTTGAAAAGCGCAAAAATTGAGATGAATAAGAGGAGAAAAGTTAAGGCAACACATAGTACAAATCAACCAGCATTAGAATAGCAAACAAAATGAAGGAAAAGCGCGCCTCCAGCTAAAAAGGAAGAATACTACGCGAATCCAAACCGAGCAAAGGCGACAAGGCGGGGCGAGAGTGGTCTTTTTTTGCGATTGGAATGGGCATCCATTGCGCGCAAAGGCTGGAGCGTCCTCGTTTGGCCCAGATGCCCTACCTGCCGAGAACGCTTAGGATGCTATCGAAGGGCGGAGACGTGATGAGGGATGGCGAAAAATGACACAAAGACAAAGGAAAGAACACAAAAAGGGAGGGAAAAAGTGAAAGGGAAAAGGGAAGGAAAGAGCATTTCCAACTTATCAGGAATGATATAAAACAATTTGTCGTGCTGCGACATAAAACACAACTTGCACCACCTCGCGCTAGGCACATTCATTCATTCATTCATTCACGTAGTCGGACCAATACCTTTCCTAACCTAACCTGATACTTAGACCTCGGTTTGTTGGTCATTTCGGTCCGAATGATGCTGAGTGTGCTCATTTATGCGTACGTACAACCCATCAGCACCTGAAATAGAAGGAAAGTTTTTAGCGAAGCAGACGTACAACAAGAACAAAACGGCTTCCTTAAGTTGTACCTTTGTGACAGGGGTTACTGTTGCTGCAACTACAGCGGAAGTGGTTTCTGTTGATCCGAAAACAATTCGCAGAAAACGACCATTTCGCTCATTATTTTGCTCTCGCACGAGACCGCACAACAGAAGATGCACAACAGATGAAAATCAGATACTAAAAAAGTTACAGTGTGCGCAGACGCAGGTGACCATGATCACTTCTCCTTCAGAAGAGTGAGACGGCCAGCTACTGATGAAACTCATGTATTCTGTACAATTCTACGTTGGCGGCCACGGAGGGCACATTATATGAACAGCAGGATATTAATCGGTACCACGCTGCCACGGCATGGTTTAGGGTTTGCCACGTATGTAACAGATCAGCTTCCACGGTGGTCCTGATCACGAGTGGCCAAATCGGGGTTACACACATGAACGACTAATTATGAGTGTTGAAGACCAAGACACACTAGAGAGCTTTAACAGCTCTTCTTCCTTGAGACTACTTTTCCGGAAGCGAAAATATAGTCCCATAATCGTATTCAGCTATACACTAAGATACTCGTATAGTTGTCATCCACTTAGACACACCAAGATCACGGAGGAGAGGACTACATTGTGGAGATCTTTGCCAGGCCCTGATTTTCGTACGGTATTGAGAGCATTATAGCGAAGATGTACGCCGTTCGTGTGTCTGTAAATCTACAATTATCTTCCGTGAAAAATTCAATCTGTACACATGGCCTGCCAGCCCTTCCATCATCGTTTAGTGTGGATGAGTCTGAGTCGCCATACCTTCGGTCTGACCACTCGGAGTCGGTATGGAGTTTCCTCTTCGGTATATATAATGATCATTTCGGTCTGATTGAGAGTGAGCTCAGTGGTCCTTAGATATTGGAGTTGTGCACCCCATCGTCATTAGTACTAGTACAGGTAGCGCTAGCGTCAGCACTAAAGTCTGATATAATACGCACAACAAAATGAAAATGTTCGAGAAATACAGCCGAGCCAACAGGTGATGCATAGTTTGCGACGCACCACTGTTAGTTTACTCCTACAAGGTGCGCTACGCAGAGGCAACCGTCTTCTATGTAAATGGATTTTCAGGATCTCATTGCTACTCTACTAAGCAGTCTCGACTACATAATTGTTCCTAGAACTAAGAGCATCTTCATTATTTCTCCTCTCCAACGACGATTCTTCTACAACGAGCCACGACGAACGCCTTATAAGAAACCAAAAAGATGGTGCAACAAGAAGTAGAAAGAGCTTCCCGGACGTTTTACAGGCAGTTTCCGTCTTCTCTTACCGTAAAAGTAGAGGCGGGAGTGAACAGTGTCTTAGATGCTCGAGGTCAGTCTGGACAAGTGCTAAGTCTAGCACGCGTGATGGTGGATGACATCTCAGCTGTCTACCCGTTTATTCCGAAAAACATTATGAAGAAGCAAGTCATGATCCTTTTGTGAGTAAACCGCAAGTTAATTCTCCTCGAACGCGACACGTGTGAGGCGATAGGGTCGCGCGCGCGGACATAGTCATGATTTTCATTTTCATACTACCACTTAGTTCATGGCCCTTCTTCGGAATCTACTAACAAACACGCGGCAATCGACGCTGGCCCTGCGGGTGGCATATACCTCACAATCAATCTGGGACGCCAGGTCAAAATGACCTATCACCAGGTCAATGCAGCTTATCTCTCACGATTCAACACGCTCAGTTTTGAAAAGTCGCCGAGTGAAAACTGTTGCGAATTTGACAAGGCAGAAACTGCAAATATAGACATCCGTAAAGTGTCTAGCTACGACGGCGGGCAAACGAGAGCGGGACCTGGTGCTGCGAAAATCGATGTGCATTTGTTGCCCGGGCACTATTCGATGGATGTTACGGCTATACAATACGACAGCATTTAGAAGATGAAAGAAGGAGATCCACCATGTTGTGATTGCCTTTCTTCTGTTGGCAAACTTCATACTTTCGTCATTTATAAGATCATTTGATGCTTGTAGTAAAAGGCTTTCACTCGTCAATATCTAATCCGCGCGTGGCAAACACCATGGTCAGCGTGCCGACTACAAATTCTGCTGGGCCTATGTTGTACCGCCCGCGGCCGCCAATGCGAGTGGGACCCATGCCAGGGGGAGCCATTTCTGCACCGCCTCAAACTCCTGAGACTGCATTTACTGCTTCGAATGGAGAGGCGAATTTCGGTACCTATTATTCTTCTTCCGCACTTTTCTCTCTGCTTCGAAGCTTAATGATCATGTGATCTTTCTATTTGTACTCAGCTGCTAGTACGTAATGAAGATGAAGCCACTTTCAAGTTCTCTTTTAGACCCAAAGATTTTGACCACAGTGCTGACTGATTTTAACGTGATGTAACATCTTTACCACAGTGCCTGGCGTCCACCGATATCCCGTTGTTTCCGCATCTGCTGGGGCTGCCGGATTTCCTCCATCGTCGTCGACAAGATCTGTAGTCGGCACCACAGCGAAGGACCCAGTTGCTGCAGCTTCTCCGGACAGCACGACTACAGCAACTAGTACAACAACAGCCTCCGGCGAAACCGCGCTCCTATTCAAACCATGTTATTCGTTTTGTGGATGTTTGGATGAATCAGTGGCGTGGGCCATTGATTCACCAGTGTGCGTCTTCTTCTTTTGGATGCTGTTTTTTGCGTGCCTGTGGAGATGTTGCTGCCGGCGACCAGCTTTGAACAATCTTGCTAGAAACAACTCTTCTGGAAGCGTATCGACACTGGGCGATGGCCAAGGCGTAGCAGGTGCGCGAACAGGAACTTCAGGAGGAGCTAACAGTCATAGAAGAACGGCGGCGGCTATTCTTATGGAGAAATCAGGGGAATTAGCCGCCGATGTCAGGCATAAGGTGGTGAATTAGTCGGTGGTTGATTGATCTGTTCAAAATGAAAGCTAATGTGTCTGCTCTCCTGTGCTATTAGTCAAAAACGTTTTCATGGACGAGATTCTCTCCAAAAGAGATACAACCTCTGCTCATACTCAACATGGATATCCCCTCACCCCAACGCTCTACATCCCCTCTAACACGCTCGGAGGCAAGTATTCACAGAGAGGCTTGGGTCCCAGATTTTTTGCTAGCGAAGACGAAGATATAGCAGAGTTCCATCATAGCCAGAGAAGAGAGCAGTGGGAGGACGATGTAGTACAGGACGATGAAGAAGATGACGCCGGAACTGTAGACATAGTTATGCTGGTGAAGGATACGATGTATCGAAAGCTAAAAATAACCGAGTTACTGACTGAAATGAGGGAGGTAGCTTTTACAGGGCTACTCTTCCTTGGTCATCATTTACGCATAAGAGGAAGTACTACAGGCAGCATCCTCTTCTTCTAACAGCAATGATGCAGTGAGCAAAACAGACGAGTCCACTATCGGGTACGGTAAACGTGGAGAGAACGCGAAGCATCTCTATGGAAAAACAATATTTGAGAAGGACAACAGAGACGAAGCAAGAACAGATGATGCGACTGAAGAGTATTCCGACGAAGAGCAGGAAGAGGGAAAGAGCAGCAAAATGTATTTTTACAAAGATTATGGAAATGGATAGAGTCGTTTTAGACAATTGATGTCATTCGAACTACAGGAAGAGGAAGAGCTTTCCAAAGATTTACCTGGATAATCGGACGATAAATCGAGACAATATAATATTCCAATTCCTTTGATGGCATATCTAGCCTATACGCTCACTCCGTCACAAGTGAGCCCACTCCTATCCTATCCTATTCCTTGTAGAACAACTGGAACTTCTAACTCTACTACTGTAGTCTTCTACTCCTCTAACCTACTACCGGACCTCCGCGGCTTGAGCTGGACACCAGGAAGGTGAAGATTACCAACTATGGAGCGATGAAAACAACGGCTGCATCTTCTGCTAGAAAAAGTACCATGATGGAACCAGTGCCGGAGGAAGACGACTCGGTTGTTTAGCATTCATAGGAGACTCGGTTGTTTAGCTTTGATAGCTGCATACCCTCCAAAGCATGTGTCTGCATATGAGAACTACTAAGGAATCATCACCGCACAGCAGCATAGAAAAGTACATAGAGTTCTAATTTTAAGCACATTTCTACATCATGACACAGGTTCGCTTCTCTTGTTTCTCTACACAAGACCCACCACGCTCATATTGTCATACCATCGTCGGTGCAGTAGTACCCAGCAGTCCACTCCGTATCTTGCGATGTACTTTGGTACAACGAGAGTGCTACACTAATAAGTAGGTCGTGTTCCTGTTCTATGACCAAAAAAAAACGATATTTTTTTTGGTCTTCCCCGTGTCAGTCTGTTCTGATCTTGCGCCCCTGGCAATTTTTAGTGTCAAGAGACTCATTTATCTTCTACTCAACGCAGCCAAACCGACTTGACCCCACCACCTCTCGATTTTTCCCCCGTGTGCATGTTGATTGAGTCTGAATGGTGTCTTTTTCTTGTGTTAGATAGTCTATCTGTTGTCGCACCATTATGCATGTACCTAGAGATGATGATTCCAGTAGAACACCATTAGTTGCTGAACTAATATTTTCTTTCCACGTCATCTCCAGATTTGATTTATTCGAAAACTGAAAATTGATTTATTCCAAAGCGAGTTACTGACTGAAATATTAAAAGAGTCTCTACTACATTCCTCTTCTTTCAGTAAATCTCGCTTATTCTAAGTGGCTACTTGCTTATTTCAGTTTTTCGATTGGTTACTTTTCTCACCTTGAATGACCTTGAGACTTTCTTCATCAAATCTATTGATTCCATTTCTTGTGTCGCCGAAATCATGATCGAACAGTATTTGCTTACTCTGCGGTCCTACGCTCGTATGTCTGCGACGTGTGTGGTGGCGACTGCGTTACGGCTTTTTCTGGACGTTCTCTTCATCATCCTAAGCGGGCAGAGTCCTCACGCAATAGGAGTTTGGTTCGGGCACTGCTCAAAGAAGGACAGGATAGACACCTGCGCGGCGGCTGGTATAGCGATTTCTCTCGATGACTTGATGGTTTCCATGTACCGGTATCTCATATACAGAGGATCGAGCAGAGTAAGTACTTCTGACTTACACCAAGCTGCATAGCAAATTTCCAAAAATAACCCTCAAACTCGTGACGTGTCAGGTGTCCTCGAACTAACCGTTGCTATCACGTGTAGTGGGCTTTTCGTCTGGCATTTCCATGATTATGGAATCTCTAGTACCTCGCATCTGTCTTGGGCAGTTTTTATTGGCGCGTTAGAATGGCTGCCGATCGGGTTAGTGGTTTCGAAAGCAAGCATCTTCCTGGATGTCTTCATGGCCTACCTGGAGCGACTTCCCGTCCTCAGTCTCTTCGCAGCTTCAAGGCTACTGGGTGGCGCAGCCTTCATCTTCATCTTGACGCTGTGTTGTGCCTACGCAAATTTTCGGATGCTAAAGCGGCAACAACGATATGCCAGACCGCAGCTTTTGCTAGGTGGCTTCGCGCATTGGACAGAATTTGTGCTGTTTCTCTTCGTCTATGGTTTCGGTTGGGGCGTGGGGTTTCTGTACTGGAAAGTGTTCATGGTAGACCACGTTCTATCCACAGAGAACGTGCCAGGATCGAAATCCAAGAATGCTGCGGGAGAAGAAGTAGAGGATACTGGCGCGCTCTACTACGTTCTGTTGATGATTTTCCTCTCTATGTGCTTCTACGTTCGTTTCGGGCCAGAGCCGGTCGTGCCCCACGAAAGCCTGTACGACCAATCCAGTTGTACCAGCGCTGGCGCTTCTTCCGTAGGAGGCTTTGGACAAGAACAAGCTGGAAGTGGAGACATATCTGTTTTTGGCACCTCTACCACTACAACTGCTTCAGTCCTGGCAAGTGCCTCATCCTTGACGACGTCATCCTCTAGGATGATGAGTGGTCGTTATGTTCGCTTAGGGCGTTCGCTGGTGGGCTTCAGTGTATACACCTCAATTGTGCTCTTGGTAATGGCATTCAGCGATCCGATCTATGGGTTGCTGCATATTTTCACAAGACAACTGGTAGAAGAGCCTGCTACGATACGAGTGAAAAAAAAGGTGAAAGTGGAGGTGCCTGTTGTAGTACCTGCAGCTACTAGTGGAAGCGGTGGTGGCAGTGCAGCTGCTGCTGCTGCTGCTTCTGCGGGTGGTAGTAAAACTAATAGTGGAGCTGTTGTGACAACCACGACTACAACTCCGACTACGACAAAAGATAAAGGTATGACCTCAACAGGTGCGGATGTCAGTCCAGCAACAGTCGAAACCTCTGCTGCAGGAGTAGATGTTGATGGAGCCAAGGCGTCAGCACCGCCTTCAGGCGGACAAGATGTTCTTGGTACAACAACAAATAGTAAAGCGCCGACTTCTGCTGGAGAGCGACCATCTTCTGAGACATTAGGAGAGAAGACTTTGGAGTCTGCTTCTTCTACTAAGCCTCCAGAGCAGCCTGGCAAGGAGACGACCGACCCTGCAGCAGCAACTACATTATCTAAGAAAGATCCCATGCCCAATAATATAGCAGGAGAGCAGACGAAAAATACAGAAAATAAAGCAACAACTTCTAGTACCCCTGTTGGTAATACAGTGCTGGAGATAACTTCTGTTGCACCTTCGTCGAAAAGAGTGACTCCTAGGATAAGAAGATTAGACGACTCAAAGGAAGAACCTGCAGCAAATAAGAATACATCAAGTTGTAGCGAAGACCAGTATTCTGATGCGAAGACCAGTATTTTTCAAGAGGAAAGTAGCAGCACTTCTAGCTCTAGTATTCCAGCTTCGAATTCTTCCATTCCAGGCTTGAGGACGCCATCAAAAGCTACACCTCCTAGTAACATTCCCACTACTTCTACCGTGACGCAAGCAAAAATAGCTGCGCTTCTAGCTTCCTCGTCGTCATCATCTACAGCCTCACCATCTCCTCTTTCCTCAACCACGTCGTCTACGTCAACACTAGCCGGAGCGTTTCGAACGGTCGAAAAGGAAGAAACCGTATACGAAAACGTGGTGTATCACAAGTACGCGTATCCCAAAGTCGATTTTATCATTAAGACAGGATAGTTCTTTATCAGAGCAGATGGTGACGATGCTCTATTCTTGATGACAGCACCTAAACCTATGATAGATATCACCTGTATACAACCAACGAACATGAGATGAAAATAGTGCATCTCCTCCTTTGGCAGATTGCCAAATAGTTTCTCGCGCCATCATATGCATCATCTCCCACCTTCTCTAAGATTCCTTTCCTCGTCTTTTTCTTTGTCACGACGAGTTATATGTTTCTTGCGGCGCTGGTTTCGTTCCTCCTGAGTCGCATCCATCCTAACATAGACTTCCAAAGTACCAGCAAATACAGTCGCATGCTTACCGAGAGAAGTAATATTAAGGGTTTCCGAATTGCATTCCTCACTGCCGTGATCCCTGGCTCTTTTCCTAGTTGTAGAAGAGAAGCCAGGGATGTCCTGAGGAATGGGATTCCGTAACCTCTAAGGCTAGTGCATGGAGTTCGGTTTTTTCAGGAGGCACTGCGATGATTAAGGGCAGGTCGATTAAGTAGTGTTCTTGTTGCCGTTTTTTTTTCTGGTCTCTCTCTCGTAAGGGACGAGAAAAGTATAAAAACAAAGAGCAAAGAACAGAAACGCCAAAAGTCTACCTCTAAGATGACGGGGATGGATACGAGATCTTGGAGCCGCCTTCTATTGGACCCAAGTGAGTCAAGCCTTCCCGGCGGAGACAATTGGAACGCTGGCCCACCTGAAGGAGGAACTCTTGGAATTCAAAGCGGTACTCCATTGCAAGACGTTTCATCGGCGTACTTCTCTCGCTATGAGTCACCTATGGTCCAGAGTGAAGATTGTGGAGGTGCTGTTGGAGTGAGTACTGTTCCTGGTGCGGTCACTCCGGAAGCTACAATTATGGCATAGTCGTGGTCATGAGTCTGAGTGCGCTGAGGAGTTTGATAGCTTCCCTGTGCTGTAAGTGAAAAAATGTACTTGTTGTGCTCACTCTCTCCGAAGAAGATGTTTCATCTCTCACATGTTACTATGTACCCTGTCTTTAAGATGTTTAATCTCTCACATACTTATACTGATCATACTCTTTGTTAAGATACAACGAACCAGGTCCAGCTTCAACTTAATGCTGCAAGACTGATAAGACGCTTTTTTTATTGATTAATCCTCGCTGTTTTATTTTACTCTAAAGCAAGCTACCCACCTCCTCGGACGACAATAAGTACAAGTGCAGCGATAACAACGACACGAAGTGCTTCTAGAGCAGGGACAGTACCTTCGTCCAAGCCTTTCCAGTTATCCGCCTTCGGCGCTTTGTCTATCATGGTCCATGACGTATTGAGATGTGTCAGTGCCTTCAGCTGGAGCCAAGTTTGCGTGGCGCTTTTTTCCTCGTTGTTCGTGTATGAGAGTAACGTCGTGACCTGCCTACTTTGTCTCATGTTAAGGCAACCAAGCGAGCCTCCTCAGCGTCATCCTTGGCCTCTTTTTCAAGGCAAAAAAGAAGAGTCCACGGCTATGACACTCAACCAAGGAAGACGCGACGCGGTAGCTCTAATCTTGTACACAATAGGGGTGGCACTCAGTATGTGCTATTTGGTGCGTCGCTTTCTCCCAGCAACATTGGCTGAGCAAGCGCATGAAGTGCAATCGCTGTACCTGAGAAATAGCCCGTTTGCAAGAGATTGATGAATTGGAATAATTGTAACTTAGCGGGTAGAAGTCGTCAGGGAAATCTTGGGCAGATTGCCGAGTAGATTCACATCATCAAGTGCAACTTACACTCACAGGAGGCGCACAGAGAAACTTTTACTTCACGTTCGCCAAGAAGAAAAGCCTCTTCCTCGAAGTGGTTACTTCCCGAACGTCAGCAGGAAACTCCTCATGTTCTAAATCTAATGACGCTTATTTTTGCACGACAAGGGAACGCCGAAAAGAAAAGAACCTCTTTCATGTGTACCACGTATTCTGTTTTACATTTACCTGACAGTCCCCGAGGGCGTAGCGGGCCGGTCGGAGAAACACAGAAGATGCGAGGCGCAGATGGAAGATTAGAAAAGCGAAGGGGTGACAAATTTTGAAATTCAAAAATCTAGAGGAGTGGAAGCTGTCCGAGATACGACAGAGACGGTTCAACATGTAAATCTGTTTTGTCAGTCTGTTGACCAACATTCTATGCTTGAATTTCTGTTGCCGAGTAAGATAAGCTTCTGTTTCCAAGTTATACATAAATGATATTTTCTGCTTCTCCCTCTGTTTTTTTTTCAAACTCAAAGAGCGAGCGAAGGACTAAACAACTAGTACTAACAGAGCTGACTTTCGGTCACTGAGGTCCTCGTGTTGATGAGCAAGTTTGCAGTAGTAGTAGAAGTAGTTGAAGTAGTTGACCCTCCTGCCCTCTGCTCACTAGTACGTTCAAGTTTCGAAATGTGGTCTGACAATGTAAGTTTAACTGACTAGTAGTTTGCGCATCAGATTTTTTGATAAAAAAGAATATAGAAGTATCCAACCATATCAATCTATCTTCCCCGTGTAATAGTTGAAGTAGTGTCTTTTGTTCTTCATCAAGTAGATATCCAAAAAAATGATGAGGGCAGATGCCACCAGTGACGATGATGACGACGGTTGTGCGACCGGATGATGAGGCATATTTTCTTCTAGTAGGGGTCGTGTAATGACATAAATTGCTCCCCGGCTCTTTTCTCACGCTTACCAGTTACTAGTAGAGGTCTAGTAGTAGCTCCTTCTTGAGCACCACAAGAAAGGTACTACAGGTATTCTGCTTGTTGGGTCTTGTGAGAAACCTTCTCGCAGCTGCTTGTGGCAGAAGCAGGAGAAGCTAGGATCATGGCGTCATCTGGGAGGGATGAAATCCGCGGCAACCCACCTGGGTTTCAATGTATCGTGCGAATTCGTCCGCCTCTGCCGTCTGATAAAGATTAAGACCTCTTGTAGTTCTTGTCTAATTCGCCCACCTTTACCGTCTGATAGAGATGAAGACCTATTTTTGTTCATTAGTTCGTCCACCTCCGCCGTCTGATAAAGATTAAGACCTCTTCTCAGAGGAATCATCTAGATGAATCATCTTAGACTTAGAAAACATTACTTTTTACCTAAGACTAAAATGAGTTCAGTTTTTACCTAGATGACTTATCTTAGACACCTAGTACTACAAGTGAATGTGATGTCTAAATCTTTCAACTGCAACTTCTATGCTCGTTTTTGTAACAGAATGCTCCTTTTTGTGATACTTTCTTAGGATGAATCATCTCATGAGATTCAGACAACGACAACTATCTCTAAAGAAAGGCACCCTGCGTTGAGATTGAGGCGGCAACGAACAAGATCATAGTGCGAGGGGAGCCGAACAGTCGAGAGTATGTGGGATTTCCTCTGGTCGTGCCACCAGGAATATCACAGGAGGATGCGTTTCAGCGGTACTTCCTTCTTCTACCTGTACTTTTATTTTAACACCGGCGTTTTGGTTTTCATAGTCGTGAATGCTCACCTCCTCGAGGCGAGCAAATTCCCGTCCCATCCATAACACCTTCATAAAGTGGTAGCTTAGTCGTGCTCCTGGTGGTCGTCATCCTGGCTGCTACAGTTGTTCTTACGAAATTTTCTATCCGCCCACTGACTCTGATACCGTCGGGCAACTCCACAAGCTTCAGGAGATACCCGTCATACATAACCAACCTCCAGTCCAACTATTTTCAAAATGGGTACTTTCTTGTTCTTCAAAGCGCTACTTCCAAACTTCCTCCAGTATGAACTACGTCGATGCATAGTTACAAAACCTCACAGCATGAACGTCGATAGTTTCGTAGACGCAATATTGAGCGGTTATCATGCGACAATTATGGCCTACGGGCAGACGTCGTCCGGTAAAACGCATACGGTCATTGGGAGTACCCAGGCACTCGATGGCATCGTCCCTCAAGCAATTGAGAGGATTTTTGCCAGGAAGAATGAGGTATAATTTTGAAGACTTTTACTCGGTACTGACTTCGGGGAACAAATTTATGTTCTTTCTTATGAAAGCAGGAGTTTTCAATTCATATCTTTCTTATGTAATTGAAATTGAAGCTTCTTGTGATTGAAATCTCCATCCTCCAGCGTTCAGACCAACAAGTGAAGATAAAAGCTTCGTTTATCGAGATTGGCAATGCACCTGGGCTGGTCAATGAGTGTATTACGGATTTGCTCGATCCTAAGAAAACGAATCTGAGCATCCGTCAAAACTTATGGTCGTCAGCTTTTATCCATCTTTCTCTTCAGCATCATCTCGCCACCCACCTTTTCCCATGAAATACAAGGAAAAAGCAAAAGAGGCACAACCAGAGAAAGAATAAAAGCAGCTGAGCACGCTAAAAAACGAAAAGCGTGAGCCTTATGTCGCCGATCTGACCATGGTAGAGTGCGACACATCTGACGACGCTATTATGGTCCTCCAAGAAGGTGCGAAATTTCGCCGGACAAGTAGTACGAAAATGAATGCGAGGTCAAGTCGAAGTCACTCTTTATGGAGAAGAGGTTGGTGGGTGTAGTAGAAGACGTTAAAATACGTAGTAGAGAGGTGAGAGAGATGGGTGAAACTATGTAAGTACAGGATTGACGGAGATGGGTAAACAAGATGTAGTCGAAGACGTTGCAGGTAAGAAGCAGAAGATGACGCGAGATTGACGGAGATGGGTGAACAAGATGTAGTAGACATTGCTAGCCATGATTAGGTAGAAGAAGAAGAAGAAGGTTCTTATTTAACTTGGTCATGCTGTAGCCTGTATTCAAGATGGTCATGCTGTAACCCATAGCCGATGAACTATAGCTAGTGCGCCTTTCGTCCCGTTTTTTCATGATTCTTCTTCCCACATTTTCAACGATGTTCTTGCTGTCTGTGCTGATACAGCAGGGAATATAATCTTACTTAATACGTGTAAAACGATGTTGATGTTGTAAATATGTGACAGCTCCTTTTCGCCCTGATGTACCCTTCATCCCCCCTCTTTACGATGTACGTGACGTCGCCGCAGAGGTTCGCGAAGTTTCAGTTTGTGGATTTAGCGGGAAGTGAGCGCGTGAAATCGACGGGAGCAGAAGTTAAGGCTGCCGCTAAAGCATCCTCAGCATCGTTCGTTCTTGATGCATGTTTTTCTACTGCAAAAATATAGACGCACCCTTGGATACGACTCCCAAGGAGGATGCCAATGCGGTAGCTCTAAAGAAGGAGTTACATTGAAAGAAGCCCAGACGATCAATAAAAGCCTTTTCACATTGGCACAGGTGATCATGGCACTCACTCAGGGGAAAAACAATTATGATCTGTGGACGGGGAGTCAATTCCCACGCCTATCCTATATGATTCAGGTACTGCAGGCACAGTGCATGTGGCAGACAAGTAGGACGAGATCTTCTGATTAAGTCCTTGACTGCGGGTTTCAGATTCACACTTCGGTTTTTAGCATCACTATTACCTCCTCTACTAGTTGGGAGCGGAGGACGCTACTAGGTTTCACTCTGAGTGGAACGACGCTACTTCTGCTGCAACTTGAATATGACTTGAAACACTACAACTACTTCGTTGCACAACTAACTTGCTCTAAAACACCGCTCATGTGCCCTACCGGAACGCGAAGATAACGGAGCTGCTCTCAGACAGTTTCGGAGGGAACGCATACTGCATGATGATTACGTGTATCAATCCCTGCAGCGCGGAAGAAAGTAACCAGACTCTTCAGTACGCAACCCGCGCATTGAATATCGAAAACCGTCCAGTTGCGAACAAAATGCAGGACCCGTCACCAAATAAGAAACAAGCGGAAGCAGGTAATCACTTGTGTCATCATCAAGGTTGATGTACTCAGTACAAAAATAAGAACGTTGTGACAGATCCACTTTTATCTTACCACGGGTGCTTGCCCGCACGACAAGAAGGTTGTTGTTCGAAAACTTATCATTTCGTTTGACGCTGTTATATCCTACATAAGGAATTGATCATGATGATTTCCTCGTTTCAAAAATGACCACTGGTTGCTCCATCACTGATGGACCAACATCTCCACCTTCTACTTTCAACAGCGATCGAGTCAGCACGACAAGAAGTTGCGGATAAGTTTGCCGCAGAAAAGGAGACTATGAATAACGCAAACGCAGCACTATTGGAAGAGTTAGAGGCCATGAGAAGAGAAAACGAAAATATGCAGTTACAGATTTATGCTTGGACATGATGGATATGGATCTCGACGTCGGTCTTTGATGCATAATTTATCACAAAGACCTACTCACAGGATAAAGACCTACTAACAGGATAAGTGAACAGCAGTGTACTTTTTTTTGGTGTGAGTACTTCCGTTTCTTTTTACGACCAAAGCCAAAGCATCCTATAGGGTATGCTTGCAAGAGCCTTACTTCTAAGAATTGCACGCTCAGCAACAAAGGGATCAAGAACAAGTTCAGGATCAGCAGAGAATGGACGAGCCTCCTCCTACTGAACTCCCGGCTGCCATGATGACAAGTATTCACATGGGGTTTTGATGTTGTGACCCTTCAAAGTATCCTCATGCTGTTGTATGTCACAACGATAAATTTGTATTTGAGTACTTTTCTCCATGAAAAAACTGCTTTCCCTCTGGTTTGTGCTGTATCTTCTATCTTCAAGTACTATCACATAGAATCTCATTCTCAACTTCAACACTACCAGACTTCGTGAACCAAGGATAAAATTCCCACTCCAAGTCCAACACAACTACCAGATCTAATGAGCCAGAATCCTTTGATGGCTGCGATGATGATGCAAAATCCCATGTTGGCTGGCATGAGTCCCGCTAGCATGCTAGGGCCAGCCAATCCGTTGAATCCGATGATGAGCAGTCCGCTATTCGCGTCGATGGGAATTATGAAGTGGAGTATGAAGAAGATGGATCAGATATCTGACTGGGCGGAAGAACGCATGAATATTAATATGTTATATGCGGGGGAACGCGAACGAAGCAGGTAGAAAACGCCGAAGCTGAAGGCGGGCACAAAAGCCGTGTAAGCCTCATCATGATCATCAAGCTCATTTTTCTTCCTCATTCCTTTCTCCAGGTATCCCTTAGTCTCCCCTCTAAATCCCTGAATCCGATGGCGGCAAATCCTCTAGCTGCAAACCCGCTAGCCCCAAGTCCTCTCGCGCCGAACAATCCTCTAGCGGCAGCGAATCCTCTAGCGGTAACTAGTAACGCGCTTAATCCCATAGCTGGCGCGATGGGTGGAACGGCGTTTGGCACATCAAAACTCGCGAATGCTGGACCAGTGAATGGAACCCAAGTCGTGCAGATGATGCAACATCCGGTGGTATCATATTGAAATTTCGAAAAAACGGTGTTCGCATTGCACCCCGTTTTTCTTCCTGTGTTGTCAAAACTGAAGACTTCAAGGCATCAAGCCTTACAAGCACTCTTAGATGCAAGAACTGTTAACACACTCAGATGCAAGAAATGTCGACGACGAATCCTGGTATGGCTCAAATGCTCATGAGCAACCCACCATTGCTGGCGCAGTTATTGCAGGAGCATGATGAATTATGGCTCACAAAAATTCATCTTCACATAGCACTTGACTCAGTGACTATCCTATCTTGGATGCTGTAACTTCTATCCTATGAACGCAGAACTTCAGGCGCTCTGAGCTCTAAATGAAGCCGAGGAAATAGAAGAAGACTTGAGTGCTTCAGTCAGCGGTCTTCCCTCAGCAGCACGCTCGTCATCCAAAGGCAAGCTTGGAGTTTCGGGCGAAGATGATGGTCCTCCAGGGCGTTCTGGAGAAGGCGACGTGGAAAAACAACCAGCTGGGCCTCCCAGCTATGCTGAAGAACTTTTGAAAAGGGAGAAGGAGAAACAGAAAGTATGCATGGGGTGAATATTTATTTTTACTTTTTTACTCGATGTAGTATAAAAGAAGTATAAGAGTTTCTAGACTGATGTGTTTCTCTGTCAAGTAGTTAACAAGAACATCGATCTACTTCTAAGCACTTTAATGAACTTAGAATTGCTTCTTGATGTTATCGTCTTCATAATTTCGTATCAAACCCTGAACCTTTAGTGCCTCTAATCCCTCGTCATAGTTTAACGCGTCGTGGTAGCATCTTAGCAGACTTCTTGAAGCAGCAAGGTCAGCCGGAACAGGAAGACAGTGGCAGCAATATGCGGTTAGCCAATGCCGCCTCTTTTGCCCAACAACAAACAGCAGCGAGGCGCGGCAGTTTCTTAGAAGGCTTGATAACCGCGTCAGCGACACTAGGAGGCCCAGGGGCTGCCAGTAGACGGCCAAGCGTCGGGGCAGCGCGACCACAAGCGTCTCCTATGACTGCTTCATCACAGCAAGCTTCGACGAGAGACGATACTAAAGCCCAGAGTGGACCGACGATAATTAAGGCGGTAGCCCAGAGTGGACCGACGGTGAAAAGTATGGGGAAGGATTTTTGAAACGTATGGTGGAGTATCAAAAGGGAATACTCCCCATACTTTTCAACTTGAGAGATGAAGTGCGGACGGTTCTAAGGTAATAACTAAGGCTGCTACGGTGCCGAGCAGCCCAAGCGGCAAGATGAACGAAATGAAGAGACAATTGAAGTTATGAGTGAAAGATACGAGGTAGTGAAATTATTTTGCTGCTTTTTTTTGGTTCAATGTATGCTGGCCATAGCTTCGTGAGGGATCATCTGGTGATCCAACAACATGAACAACCCTTCTAACCTTCTAAGAAAATAAGAACAACATCATCAACAGGAACCTTTCAACCCTTCTAAGAAATAAGACAGAGGACAAAGATAGTTTGACATCGTCGAGTAGTAGCAGTGATTCCGAATCAGAGGATGCCGCAGAGCAAGAAAAACGGCAGAAGGAGAATGCCCAAGTGTTAAGGCCGTTTCTCCTCATCCGTCTTCAGAAGCACAAGCATCTTGGAGACGTGTCATCTTTCCAATGGGAAAGTGAGGGTCTCAGGATGGTCTTCGTCCAGATGGAGCTCTAAAAGTGCTCAGCGCGCGTGGTTTCCGACAATCCGTGATGTTGAGAAACAACAGTATATCCATGGACCAGAGACATGGATTTTCTTAGGAATGAGTTTGCTTACTACTGTTCCTAGGCTTCCCACCTACAACTACTACGTGCTAGCTGGTGTTCCTAGTCTTCCCACCTACAACTACAACGTACTGCTGGTAGTAGCCACATGATTAAGTATTTTGTCTACCGAAACACAAATTATAAATTCTCTTCTAACTCTCAGCAGAAGTAGCGGAAGTCCTTACGGAAAAGCCGTTGCCTGTCGCAACAGCCTCCGCGCCTTTCTCCAGTCAGCAACGTTCCATAAGCAGAGACAAAGTGCTAGATCACGCGATAGCTTCATCTTCTGCTACTAGCAAGAATGCGAGTAAAGCAGTTGCAAATCACGGTAAATCGACTAGTGGACAACGACAAGAAGCAGGGTCATCAAATCCAGGCGGCCTCTACGGAGTATCGTCATCGGGGGAAGCTTTCTACTTATGGAAGTACTAAGACTAACGAGAAGTAAGTGGAACGAAGTACATGTTCGATAAACGAGAATCTTAAATAAACGGAATGGATTCGTTGTCCTCTAATTTCCAGTGGCAAGAATGCAGAGCTAGCGCCAAACGATCTGAGTTTCCGGAGCATTTTGGCCTCCATTTCCGACCAGCGTGAGCGATTGGCAGCATTGCTAGACCCCGATAAGGAGTATCCTCGCAGTCCTGGTGGTGGGCTCGACTCGACCAGTGTATTAGCACACGCTACGCGAAAAACAGGATCGAGAAGTGCATCACGGAAACCTAGTGGGAGCGACCTTTTCAGCACGACTTTGCACGAGAGTAGTTTTTAAGGGTAGAAGTAGTATCCGCATTACATTTACATCCTCCACTCACATCGTCCTTGACCTATCGTTTTCCAATTTACATTTACTTTTTTCAAGTACTTGGAGAACGATAGGTCAAGAATGTTCATCTGAAGAATGTAATGCTGCAACCTTTAAAGTTTGGGTGGAGTGAAGAAGTCTTCCTCTACATCTGCGTCTGCGGGAACCTCCACGTCGTCTAGTAGTGGCAATAAGTTTTTACCATCTTTGATTGTCTCCGCGCCATCGACTATAGACTTGCTGGGAGGACAAAACTTCCAATCAGGAGGTTCGATGGCAACCGTGATCGCGCCGCTCATGGATTTTCCTAGTCTAGCAACTTCTTCAGGCAGTTTCACAGTAGGAACACTGCAAAGTAGTACCAGAGATGAACAACCAGGACCCATTGGTACGCTGTTCGGAACGTCATCCGTGATAGAGGGGCCTCGATTGCTACAACCCGTAGCACCTTTATGGCTCCTTTTGAAAATTGTAGAAGCCTAGAATGGCGTTTTTCTTAGCAATTAGCTTTCTTGTTAGACAAGAATGGTGCTTTTTTTCAAAAAACAAGGGTTACCGCTCTAACCCCAGAGCAGGGCACCTGGAGATCTGCAGAAGCGTCGCCAAGAAAAAACAGGCTTTTTGAGGCAGGAGGCGCAGGCATTCTCGAAAGTGACCCTGAAACTCAAACTGTCGAAGACCTTCTAGCCAGCGTCTCGAAGAGAAAAAAACACATATCTCAGCTACTTGGCGAATTAGAAGAGCAGGACGCAGCCTTACTGGGTAGAGACGAAAATGCTGGTATTGAGTGAGTGAGTTTCACAGTATTTGTTAATTGAAGAGTTAGTTGTCATACATCTTTGAGAAGTACTTACGTACTTAATACCACTGATTTGTTCCATAGATCGACTGAAAATGCCTCCCACCACTGAAATGAAGCGAAGCCCTACGTTCAAGAACTTTCTATCAACCATCTTCTCTCTCACAAGCAAATGAAATTTCCCGAATAGAACCTATACAATTGCTAGTCTACTATAGATCCTTTATTGCGTTCCACGAATGAAATTACCCGAACTACACCAATACAGGTAGTACTGTAGATCCTTTATTGCGTTCCGTTTCTCGTGGCTTGTTTGGTGCTACAGCAACTGGTGAGGATCAACCAGCTTTATTCTCTAATGGTGGTGGTCTGGGGAGTAGTGCCACAATGGAGGATCCATTCGCAGATATCGGCTTCTCAGCTTTAGAGGTCATCGGGGAAGCACAGAATAGCATTCCAGGAGGAGGAGGAGGTGTGGTTAAGATGAAATCAAATTACTAGATTATGCCTTTACATATCAGGAGTAGGACTAGGTCTACGAACCTGTATTGCTATCGGAATAGAGAAGAACAAGAAGTGTTGGCAGGCTCTAATGAAAGCGAAGCAGGGCGCTATCAAGTTCCGTCGGCGAGGCATACAGTCGCTTTTGGGAAAACAGTGTTGCCTGCGAATACTGCGCCATTTTTTGCCAACGGGACAAGTAGTGTGGTTCCTGGATCAGCAAAGCCGTGGAACAAGAAGAATGGAGGAGGCAAAAAGGGTTATTTCCTATCAGCGCCAGTCACACCAAGCAGCAAGGGAGGAAAATGGACGCAAAAGAAAGGCCAGAAAAAAGGGGGATTTCCTTTTGGGAAAGACAACAGTACGAAAGGAAAGGGTGGGGTACTTGATCTTGTCCCGCCTCAGCCAGGATCCTCTCTAGCTGAAGGAGATACTGTTACTAGCACAAGCAAATCCTCTGGCGGTAAGCCGGGCAAGAGTGGCGTCGTACCAAATGCGAAAGGGGGTAAAAACGACTACTTCAAGGGGAATAAGAAAGGACAACCGGTGCCATCAACATCATCAGATGTGTCGTCTAGTGAAAATAAGAGTAACTACAAGGGTGGAACAAAAAAGGGCTTTGTTGCTAAAGGTGGATCTACAACTGCTAAGAGTGGAGGTTTCAAAAAAGGAGTAGCAGATGGCAAGGGTAATGCATCGCCTTCAGGGAGTCCTGTAGCTGGAGCAATAGGGGACAAGAATGCCAGTCCTGGCGGTGCTTCTGCGGAGACCAACTTAAGACTTGGATAGTTGTTGAAATATCTGGCGCACATTGTCTGATTTATTCAGGATTCACCTGTTCTTTTTCACTACTCTGTTCAAACCAAGAACCCATAACCTCGCAACCCACGACATCAACCCACGGCCAAAGTTCGTTATCTAAGAAGACCAGATGAAGCGAAGGGAAAGGGATTTGCGGGCTCTACGGATATCCTAGATGCTGCACCACCGCGAGACTCAGTAGTGGAGAGAATTGTTACAGCATTTGAAGAACGCTCAAAACTTATGAAAAAAGTTAGAGTTGTAAAAGATAACCACAACTTTTGATGTTGCTATAAGTAATTAGTTTCAATGAAAAACTGTGATTGTGAAGATGATGTAGACGCGTGAACCACCTCTACTTGTATCTCGATGACGAGACACATTCACATTTTTTTATCATTTATAAGTTGGTCCTACTTCTAATACGAAAGAGCTGGACCACGAAGGCGCAATGAACCGAATCCATGACCTCCTGGATGATGTACAGGGACTAAAAGCCCGAAAGAAGGCCCATGAGGAGAGTCTTGAGGCGACGAGACTTCACCTATTGTTATGATTGAAGTTCAGATTGTTTCAAGAAGTTACTTACGTGACATCGTGTCGGAACAACACTGGTGTTGGAACTCAAAAAACAGCGTTTCTTTGGACTTATCTTCATACAGATTCTAGCAGGTTGAGGTTGTACATGAAGGCCCCTTGAGACGCATTCATGATGATGATGCTGATGATGTCGCTCAATTCTAACACTCCAGCAAAATCTTGAGCTAGCCGCCAAAGATGAAGCTGATGAAGCAGAGGCACAAAGAGCACTGGAAGATATACGTGCGCAAACGCTCGATTTGCTAAAATCAGTGGAGGAAAAAGGTACTCTTACTTTGCTACGCGGGATCGAAATTTTCGAATAATGCCTTTCCTAAGTACACCTGTTGAATGACGAGATCTGCTCTCTTACTTCCTCTTCCTTTTTCTCAGCTGGCGTTGCTCCTAGTGCAGCGAAAGACACACAGGAACGCAAAGAAGGCTCCTCCACGGCAGACGCTCCACCAGACGCTCCACCAGACAAGAGTCCCACTAAGACGTCGCTGAGCGCACTCTTGGCACTGAGCAAATTTAAGAACAAGAAGCAAAATAAGAGCAGTGCGTTGAGTCTATTAGCCAGTGCTGGAGGCGGAGCTGCGACGGGAGCTGCAACAGCTGCTACAACTAGTGCAGGCGTACCAGCGACCGGTCAGTCCGGTCAAACGCCGGGACCAACACTGCTCACGTCGAGTAATGACCAGGTGGATGCGAACAAAACTGGAGTTATGAGCGAATTTCGATTATACTTTGCGAAAATATAGCTTTTTTTGTTGGCCGATAAACTGATATCTTTGATATAGTTTCCTGCGTACTCGTACTCCATGAAGATTCATCGTGTAGCTTTGAAGATTTACTTGCTTGCGACCTCCATAGAGGTTGAAGTACCTCTTGCCGGATGACAATCTCTAATTCTACAACTACCACCGCCACCGATGGATCGAAGATGGTAGACCAGTTAAAGAACGAGTTTGCTAGTATAAAGAAGCAGTCAAAGGAACGCCAGTCGTTGGGCGAGTTGGTTAATATGAAAGACAATATCGCGGATCTGGATAAGCGCTTGGCGAACATGGCCAGAACATTGCAGAAAACTAGGTAGCATAAAAAGATTCTGCAGAGAACTAGGTACTAGTCTGCAGAACCTAAGTCACTAGTTTGGTTGTGAACTGAAGAAAAAGTAGCTAGGCAAGTTGTAAGAACTTCCTCGATAAATTTTTAGAAGTGCTAGTGGTGTAGTGAAGAAGTAGAAGGTAAATATGAAGATAATGTTGCTTGTTAAGCTGATGCTGTATCAGAATCTATGTATTGCTTATAGTGTACTACTACTGAAAATTATAGCATTTTGTTCTCGATCTTGATCTCAATCTCCTTCTCCCCAGAAGTATCGATCTTGGATGTTGCTTGAGATGCAATAGCCTACCAATAAGTCGCATATGCACAGGACTTTTTTCCTCGTCCTAAGCTAATTTTTCCTCCTATGATTATCTATGAAAAGAAAAAGCAAAAATCTAACGAGCAATAGTTGACGATGTACCGAAAACCACTATGAATAAACCCAATCCAATTTGACAAGTGCACAACGAGATCAAACAGAACACAGAGGCATGTCGTGGTCCTAGGAGTAGTAAATTAGAAAATATGTTGGAAGGTTAGCTAATAGTTAGGTCTGCTCCGCCAAGTAAATATTATTGTGTTGTAATACTGCATTAGTCCGAACTCGATCAGCAGGAAGAGCTGTCGAGCGCCCAAAATGATTTGTACCGAATTTCACCAGTATCGTCTTCAGCGTTTTGATTCCTTCCCTATTATCGCACGATTTAAGTTATCGAATATGATTAGAGCAGTTCTAGTTCGCATCAGTATTGGTTGTCAGTAGAGATACAGCTACAGATAATTCGATATATGATAGATAAAAGTAGTTGTGTAAACTCGAAAAGGTAGATGAAGTTGTTCGACCCTTCCCCAAGCTAAGGGTAAAGGAGTTATGAGGTATGATCTAAGTTCACGTGGTAGTATTAGTTTGAGTTTTTTTCCGCAAAAAGCTAAATTTACAGTGTACTTGCATTTTCTGTTGCTGTTAGGCTAAAAATGGTTGTCGTTCATGGTTTCGCGATCTGTCTGAAAGGTTTTTCAAGTGAATTAGTGCAGGTACTAGGCTTATGCTTATCAGATTCACAATCACATGGGGTTTATAGATCTCGATCTAGCAAGATGAGAAAAGTCTCTTCTGTTAATACAATCAATCAATCAATCAAAAATTGCTCGATAGGAAATTTGTATAGTAAGTTACCTTAGATTCCATAGCTAGTTGTAGTTTAGTTAGTTTCTGTTTCTGCATCCTTCAATAAATAACTGGTGGTAGTACCATCTGCAAATCGTGCTGTGCTTCGCCATTTTGTGCTTTCTGCTGTGTCATCTCTATAAGTACGTCCATTGATCATGTTCTACCAGTAGTCCAGTCTGTCAAGAATTTCATAATGATCGTAGACGGTCTCTGGCTTTTCTGTATTACTAGCAATTTTGCATTTGATCAAAGTAACTGTGGATGTTGTTTTTCTGCATAAGCATCTCGACATAGTTTTTTTTAGCTGTGTGTGAATGATCGCTCCTATCCCTCCGTGACGGATCATCGTTCCTCCACGACAAGTGCCTTCTTTTTTTCCCTTACTATTACACCTGAACAACTGGCCCTCAAAAGCTGCACTAGAAAGAGGATAGTAAGCCGATTGCTGATGTTTATGAAAAGTAGTGCAAGAAATCTCCAGGACAGTCCGTGTCCACAAAGGCAACAGCGGGAGAGAAGACTCTCTTTCAAGTGAAAGGCTGACCTTGACTGAGTGGACGACGTAAAAGGTCGGAGAAGATGATAAGAGGCTAAAAACTACGACGCTTGATAGTACAACATGTTGCATGGGCTCTTTGGCTGAAGACATCGAAATTGAAATGGTAAGAAACAACCTGACTGCCCACTTAGATAAGCAAAAGCAAATGGTGCATGCAGCATGTCCCTTGTGCAATAAAGTTTTACTTACCCCAAGAGTGGGTAAACTACTACTACTACTACTACTATGACGTGTGAAAGAATTCAAATTCATTGCTGAAAAAATGTTGCAGTTCTGAAAGGCCAGCACAGCCCACAAAAAGAAGAACAAGCATGCCTTTTTCCCACCAAGTGGCGCAGTGGTCCCTGGTTGGCACGTCACTGGTTAGCACCAGTGTCGTTGCTTTTAGTGGTCGCAGACGGCGAAACGGAGTAACGCTTCACGGACGGTCTGAAGTCGGGTTGTCGAAGCGCGACCAGGTGCTGGACAGTAGTAGCAGTCAAGCGGTGAGTAGCAGTCAAGTGCTACAGGACAATGGTAGCAGTCAAGTGGTGGACAATGGTAGATCGAACAATGATGTTGCAGCTTCACGACAGAGGATGCTAGACGAAAGGCCAGACCACGAAGGAAACGTTCTTGCACAATCACCTTCAAGGATACTAGCCTCTTTTTCATCATCATCCACCGCACACCAAGAGACGAATAATGTAGGGAGCACATCATCCCCGTCACTTGCGCTGCTTCGGACCGCACAATACCCAGATCCGTATGTGACGGACCCCGATTCCGTTCCTCAGGGTATCGGAAACCTTCCTATTATCCCAAAAACCGCAAAACAACTCTACAAATGGTTATGGCTAAAATTAAAAATCTACTAACTTCGAGTTTATAACAAGACAACTTCAACTTTTAATAACTTGTCTACTAGCTTTTTTGTATAGAAGTAGATCTTCATTTCGTTCTCTCTAAAGTCCTGTACTGATACATCGTTACTACATACATAGTATTTTCTCAAAAAAAATTATACTACTGTGAATCTTCTTCTCTAAACCAGGAGCGTGTCCCAGGAGAAAACGCGGATATGTGTGGTAGCGTTTTCAACCTCACTGAACACTGGAACCTGACAAACGAGACGGACGTGACTTGGATTTGCGACAAATTCGCAAATGATGCCTACAACCAGTCAATAGGCAGTTTCACTGTTATGGTGACGTGGAGAAAAAATTGAATAATTAGGCATTATAGAGGCAATCAAGGTACCAAGATGCCACGAAATTATACAACCAAGGGATCGAGAGATGAAAGCAGTTTTTCTGATAGATATGCTTGACTAGGACCACTGCTATTCATCTGCTACTGCAGCTATTCGGTTATAATAACTTTATTTCCTCCTTCATCTCTAGCGGTAGTTTCCTGTGTTACAAGCTAGACTGGATCCTCCCTCTTCATCTCTAGCGGTTTTTTACATTACAAGCTCGCGCCACCGTTTATGCCCATATCAGTGATGAACGCGACGCCGCCACCCTTGCCATCGTTCGCTCATCTCTATGTTATGGGACACCACAAGGAGCATGTCGTTGTTGAGCAAGCTTATCAGGTACTCTACTGATGAGCAGTAGATGTAGAACTTACTATGTCATAGCACTGTTCTTTCCGCTTCAAAGCTTACAATTTGAAGTAACCGCCTGATCCTTTTTTCTGCTCCTTCTCCTTGCTCTTCCTTATAGTACATGCGGGATATGATCATGGTCTAAGCATTTTGATTGGTGTATGTCTCTAGCATATTCAAGCACTGAGTCGGATACAGCTTCAAAGCTGCTTACTTGAGCATGTTGATCAGTAAGACTAAGAATTGCATTGAACATTTCTCGATGAAAAGTGAAACTTCTGAAAGATTCCTTTTGGTGGCTCTGCAGATAGGACTTTACTTGCTGATAGCTATCCTTTTCTCTTTTCTATGTTCCTCTGGTCTTTCTTTTTTCTAGTCAGGTCTGCTCAACTAATTAAGATAAAGATATTCTAACGTATTCGCATGCAAAGGGGAGATTCCTCTGCATTTGGAACAGAGTTGTGCCCACGCGGGTCCCTGCGCAGAATGCATGGTTGCAGAGTGTGCGCAGGAAAATATAGTTTATGATGGAGTCCAGTTTTTTTCCTTTATATCCAGATTCCAGAACTCACTTTTATTTAAGAAATTCAATTGAACTTGAAGAAATGACGTTAAATCGATCCCCTTTTCGTCCCTTGTCGTGGCATGCACCTTTTGTTGTTATTTTCCCTTGCCGGGGCACGACCCTTTTCATATCCAGAACCAGACAAGGATTGATTGCAACACGGATATGGTGTCTTTCAACCGGTTGCAGAAATCAGTGGAACTCCTTGGCCCTCGCGCGACGCATTTTGATTATGAATGGCTCAAACTACAAGACATATTTTTGTTCTCAAAAGCAAGTTTTTAGTACGGTGTACTAGTTGTTATCACAAGTTTTTAGTATGTTGTACTAGTAACGACGTCCTACGCGGGCGGAAAAACCCTTCCCCCCGACGTCCTCCTTGGGGCGATCTGCCGTAGTGGAGTTGTTATCATGTATGACAACGAAACCGAGGCATCCTATCCTATCCTATCCTAACTGCTCCTTCTCAAAGTTCCAAAAATTAGCGCCCACTTAATTTTCAAAAAGCAGAAAACACACGTTATTTTTGCGTGCTTACCTAAAGGTACTAGTTCTTTCTCAGTAGGACACGGAGATGATTATGTTGAGAAATGTCAAGAGAACTGTAGAAGAGGTTCCATTATTGACAAAACGCCATCTAATCCGAGGCCCACAAATCTGCCTTCAACGTGGTGACAACCACAACGACCACGACGAGCACGGTCGCGAGGGCGATGTCCAGGCGTTAATTCCTGACGGCGCAATACAGCAGGAGCATCGCGTAGCAGGGGGAAGCGTCTAGAGGCAACTCAGTCGAGGGAGGCGGTCGTGACAACACAACCTGAGTGATGTTGTCTGGGTTTCACTCAAATCATCAAGTCGTTGTTAGGAGAATCCATTCCTTGTCGTCCCGAAGATATTCATGCAGAAACATCAGATCTTTATACAGAGAAAACCTCACAACTTCCAATGCTATTTCGTTTTTTCGAAATTTTTCGTTTGATGCAAGAAGACATTCTCACGTATGGTAAATGTTGCCTCACCGTTCCATTCCAACTACTGTCAAAGAGAATAACAGGCAGCCCTGAGCAGGCGGCTTCATCCAGGTAGAACTCAAGAAAATATAACGAATACACGAACCGAGCAGAATAACATGTCTGACATGAAACAAATAACGATGCAGTGGAGCCAACACAAGCAGGCCTGCATTTTCGCGTAGGGGAAGCGTCCAACGTCTCGATCACGGCAAGATGCTGTTACTTCTATTCTGGGGTTAGGGGGTTCAGAAGTCTATGACTCATGTCTAGTCAATGAAGCACCTAGTTTACAGCACCTTGATCCCCGAGATCGGGAATGTGGTCTATTTTTGAAGGTTCTCTTTCTTCTTGGTGACCCTTTGTTTTTTGTGATCAAAGTGAGTTTTACTTTATACATAGATGGAAGTAACTCAATAAGAAGTAGATTCCTGCCTACTTGATTCCTGTATCGTCCTATTCTGATAACACGTCCTCTAAGGAAATCATGTCGAGTTGACATATTCTTGTTCCGCCTTTTTTTTTGGACCGTACATCCTTGTTAAATTGATGGGAGTACAAGTATTCTTCACAAAGTGTAAGCAACACTATGGCATCAACGTCCTGGCTGCGTTCTCCTTTCGTAATTCTGAAGGATTTGGAGAGTCTGCTGATCCAATCTACTTGGTTCAGGAACGATGTGGTGGAGTTCTTCCTGGATTGGCGGACACCAGTCGCAACTGCCGTTGGCTACCTCCTCTTCGTTGCGGCAGCGACTACTTTTTCTCGCAAGTACCTGGCACAACGACCACATGCTGCGTCGACGAGTCAGGGTGCGTCGAGTGAAGGCGGAAAGTCTCCGTCCTCTAGCATCGGGTGTTATGGATCATGTCTACTTCGATTATTCGGGCATAGTCCACAACACGTCACTTATGTACTTGTGACGCCGTAACTTCTTCGATTATGTCTTCTATGTCTATGGTACTCGCAATGACATTTAAGAAATTATATCTTCTCAATTTACAACTGTAATGAGTAGATGGATGGTTACCTAATCAATATTTTTTTTTGTACTAACAAATAGACGTCAAGGCGCATCACCTAAATGCTAACTCACGGCATTATCTTCTGGTAGATACGCAGACATGATCCATCTGACTTTGTGCTAATCCTCGCGTCCGTGGTTCTGCGGATCGGATCTGAAGGCGCTTTCTGTAGGGCATGACCTTATTCTTATTGGCGCTTCGGCAACTATGTTTGTAGGGTGTTTCTCGGCAGTGGTGGACCGCGTTCAACGGACTTCAGCAGATTTCCTCCTTTGCGAGGACCCCAACCTAGCAGTGTCTTTGTTTTCGTCTGGTGTCAAAACAAATTATGACAGTCATGCTTTTTTTTTATATCTTCATGCTTTTTATTTTTTACCTTTCCTGGTAAGGTTGGCATTGGCTCCACCGCTGTTATAAGATTGAAAAAATAGAGCCAGTAAGTGACTACAGTTAAGATTAAAAAGGTCCCGAAGCTGCACCTGCAGTGAGTTTTCTTGTCAACAATAACAAGTTTGTTTGATTTAGTCGCTTTCATTCGTACGGCAATGAGCAGACTCTTCTTGAGGTGACTACAGAAGATGCAGTGAACAGACTCTTCTTGTGGTCGTTCTTGTACTATTTGTCGAAATATTACGAACTATTGGACACGATCTTGCAGCTCGCGCGAGGGCGGCCACCACCACAGTTTTTCCTCCATGTATATTAAGGCTACCGCAATAAGCTGTTACAGTTCCAGTTGCTACGTGGTTCGAATGAATGAATGTATGAATGAATGAATGAATGAATGAATAACATGTAGTTCCTAGACTAAGCAAAAAAGAGAAGGTTAGCTTTCCCTCTATTCTTAGGTCTAACTATCCCTTCATGCAAGTAGACTCATCAGGTATGTACTGAATCATCCTCCGGAGCATCATTCTACCTCAGAGCGGAAGTCATTCTACTACTTGAAAAGCGGACTAAGGAGGTGAGTCTCAAGGAAGTAGACGAAGATGTCAACGCGGTCCTTATTCTCTAAGTGTGTCATCACAGCTGCGTCCTCGTCATGGGATGGGCGTGGTGTACACAGCGCATGTCTCTGCAGTTCATCGGATTGTTGAGCAATACTTTCGTTCACGTCGTGATGTACAGCTACTATTTTTAAGGATTTTCGCATTACATCCCGCACAAACAAATGCATTCCCCAGTGCTAAAGAGCCATCCTTGACTCTTTTCCCAGTAGAAAAGTAGCCAGGGTGGACGTTCTGACAAAGAAATGGAGCTAGGTACCCGCTAATATTTGCAGCGCGCGGTGACAGGTAAAGTACCTTCGTGGAAGCGGTGGGTCACGCAAGTGCAGATCCTCCAATTCGCTTTGTCGGTTGGCTGTTTTCTGTACACCATATCTGCTTTTATAGTGCCCGGCATGCAATGTGGCGGCTGGCCTGTAACGATGGTCGGAAATATCCTTTTCAACCTGATGCTCCTTCGAGACTTCTGCAATCTGGCGGGAAAAAATGCGGCTAAGGAAAAGAAAGGTTGAAAACGCTACAAGTGTGGGTGTCTGTTGCTGGTGCTTTGAAGATGTTGAAAACACGACTACGTATAATTGCATGGAGGGGGGTTTAAGTTCTTGGAGACACTACGAATTTATTTGGGGTTTGAAGTTCTTAGAAACGCTGTGAGGTCTAAACTTGTTTCATTTTGAATACGCTGAGTGGACGAGTGATCGCATTGCTTGATGTTGAAAACGCTAAGAATGAATACGCTAAGACTTAAATCGTGAGTCGATGTCGTACCAACTGCGACAGATGTGTCTGCTATTTTCCTTCCGCGACAAATCAATGTGTTCTTCTTCTTCGCAGGGAGATTGTATGGGGAAGACGCTCAACCGTCCAGACTCCTTGTGCGGAGAAGTGAATCAAATCCAAACACCTCTACAACTAGTACAACTAGGTCTATTATAGTTGAAGTATGATTGTTGTAAGTTGTAAATCGTAAGTACGATATTGTAAGCACATTATACCATAAACTAGTCAATACATAAGGAAGTACGATATTGTAAGCACATTATACCATAGACTAGTCGTGACCCGACGAGTGCTCAGACGAGTTATGGCAATATATGGGTGAGGTACCTCAATGTCCGAGAAGATACGTATTCTAGTACTCCATGGATGGGGTCAGAGCGGAAGACAACTGCAGAACCGGTTGAGGGCCTTATCAAAGCGATTGGATTCGATTGAACTGGTCTCCGTCACAGGTCCTATCTTAAGTGAGGGTGTTTCATCTCGCTGATGACTGAGTATAGAAGTCATTTGAGGTGCACTGATGATGAACGCACTAAAGGCTGGTCTTCGTCACAGGTCTTATCGCCTTACTGCTTTAAGGGAGGATAAAAGGACCAGGATAGGTAATAGCTGGTGGTAGTTAGAGGTCCTATCTTAACAAGTGGAGGATAAGAGAACCAGCAGGACGAGGAAAGGTAGTAGCTGGTCTTGCGGTTGTCGCTGATGTAAGGACGATAAGAAGAGACCGTTGAAAAAAAATCCTCTAACCAGAGCACTTCCCGACAGGAGAGGCGATGAAAGCAGCTCAACAATGGCCGAGCCTCAAGCGCTTCCCGACAGGAGAGGCGACGACAGCAGCGTTACAGTTGAGGAGCTTTCTACAAGACACAAAAATCGTGGACAAGCCTCCGGTTCCAACGTCGTTCTGGAAGATGATGGCGACCATTCTGTTAAGACATGGGAATGATTGACTTACACTTCTTCTGTTAAGACATGGGAATAATTGACTTACACTTCTTCTGTTAAGACATTGGAATGATTGACTTACACGTCTTCTGTTAAGACATGGGAACGATTGACTTACTCTTCTTCTGTTAAGCTTAAGACATTGGAATAATTGACTTAGGTCTAGGTGATGCTCAACAAAGTGTTCGACATCGATGTAAATGATACTCGCTTTCGCAACTATAATTACTTATAGTCAAGACACACATCCATGCAGTTGCCATAGGTAGACGTAGATGATACCCAAAGCACTCTATGTCTGGTTTAAAACGTCTGCAGAAGTCTCTAATGAAGTCCCGAGAAACTTCGCATGGTACGTGCCAGCTCTCGATTGGCAAAACTTCACGTTAGATCAGGAATACCTCTTTTATGACCACTTAGAGCGTTTTCAGATGATAATTTTTAAGGTCAAAAATATTCATACCGTAACTAACCGTATAAATCTGTACACTTTTTTTTTATCTACAGGAGCGAGTTTTTCATCAAAAACTTCTATGCATATCATCAATGACTTTGATCACTTGAACTTACTCCTCTAAATATTCATTTTCAAATGTCTTTAACGGAGGAGACAGTGCTCTTCATTTTCTTTTCAAATGTTTTTAACGGACGAGACAGTGCCCTTCCTAGTGGAGATTTTGCGGATGCATGCTCCAATCCACGGCGTACTAGGCTTCTCGCAAGGAGCGACGCTTCTACACTTCTTGTTGCTGCTACAACTTCGTGGATCTGATTCAGAACCTTCCGATCCAGCAGAGCGGCCACGATCTTGTGTTGAGCGTCCGCACGAATTGCATACGTTAGCTCATGATGTTCGAGAGCCTATTGCCATTATGCAGGTTCTGTTGTCTCTGTGTGTGTGTGTGTCTTTTAAGGTTCTAGTATGGTTTAGGTGTAGATCCATGAAATTTTTCATACATGAGAAGCTTCTCGAGGACCGAGAGGAGACAAGTTCTTCAGCGGAAAAAACGGTTTCAAATTCGCTAGCGGAGCTGGCTTCCATAGTATTAAGATGGATAAAAGAATCGAAAATGTATTCCCTCTGCGGCTACACATATTCACCTGAGGATACAGGTCAAACTATGGACGGCGAACAATCAATATCTATCCTATCCTGGGTTTCATATAGAGTAAAAGTATCAAGATCAACACGAAGGAAGCGTGCACGAAGCCGTGGGTAACTAGAAGAGCAAGGTGGTCTTCAAAAATTAGAATTCATCGAGTGAAGACTTTCTCTTTCATACCTTTGTGACACAGTGAAATTTGGGATTTTTGTCGGTGGGCCACCAGTCGTAAAGCCCAATCGTCCGCAGGTAAGCGCGAAAATTGCATTTCCGCCAACGTTACATTATGATCAGCACTAACAGCTTCTGGCTTACCCTCAGCCGCGGGTATACTGAGATAATAGCACCTTAGCTCGTTGTTCATGTTCTTGTTTTTGCCTGGATCATATGTTGAATTTGTATAGTACTTTCGCATAGATGAAATGATAGACTGTATGACTGTTCCTGTAGAGAAGGTAGACGATTGTACATGACTGTTCCTGTACTACCCACGTTTCTAATACTCTGCATCTCAAGATTTAAATTGTATCTTCTAGTATTTCCACCTTTCTTCTAATCCCCTGCTTTATGGCTGTTCTTTTGTTTCCCACCTTTGCAATCCTCTGTATAGCCAGTACTATCAGTGTACAGCTACGCTTTCTAAAACTCTGTGATCGGGGAGTCGGACTCGCGAGTGCCTCCTCCATTGCAGGAACAGTTAAGCCGCGACTTTGACGAGCCACACTTCTTTCGCCACGAAGGAGCACACAGTGTCCCGACATCGAGCGTTTTTGCTGAGAAACTCACGAGATTTGTACAAGCAGCAGTAGAAGCCGTCTAGTAGTAGGTGGTTAGAAAGCTAGTCGCCTACGCAATAGGTTGAGAAGTCGTCCTCCAGCCCTTCTGATATAGTACTCCGTGAATGGGTTAACTACTACGACTACTGTTACTGGTTAGGGTTTGGGCCTAGGGTTTAGGGCTTAGACTCATGATTGGCCCAGTCGACACAGAATCTGGCAGCATGTGTTGTTCCATTTTCGCCTGAGTCAAGCATTGAAGAAGCGTAGGAAGAACGTTTTTCCAGATCATATTATCGCCATTTCTGAGAAGATCAAACTGGTGTGATCTTCTCGCATCCATGATCGGTTTATCAAGTGTATCAAGGCGTGGAGGACATCAAGAGTGATGATTCTACTGTCGTCTGAGTCTGTGCAAGTAGAGGCCGTCGCCTCGACCTCGAGACGACAGTCGGGCTACGTCAGAATCGGTTCGTACATCACACTATATAATTTTGTATCTTCGGATAATGATGCTAGATCGGTATGATTTTCTGTTGTACAAGAACAGTTTTCTGTTGGACTACAGTGAACCTTCGGTCACGACCGGCTGCCCATCATGAGGAACCTCAACTACATGAATGTCTGTCCAATTTTTACGGATACTCAGCAGAAGCGCCTAAGTCTTCCCGATACAAACATAAAATCGTACGAATAGCATATCACAGTATATCATGAGAGTCCCTGCTTAGTTCTTACACGCATATTCACCAAATAAGCATTTAAAGTTGTATGTTGTTTCATCTGAAAAACATACTTTTTTCTCACCCTCCATGCGCAGAGATTGAACATCCCATCCTTCTAGGGTCGCTTTTGCGTTTTCGCCGCAACCAAAGTTACACAAGGCATTCCTGAAGTTGAAGTTGAAGCTTCCAGCAGATTACACACTCTAGTGGAGGCAGATTGGGTCTGTCTCTACGTTGCTTGCGAGAAGCTGCTGCAGGTGTCGTTCTTACGAACAAGAAAAAGGAAGATTTTCTGGCAGTACCAGTACTTCTCGCGATCGCGACGCCTACTTTTATCATAGTGGGACGGATGAGCTGCATACTACTTCCAGGGTAGTTGGATGAGCAGAATACTTGAGTCCTACTCGTTATACTGGAATGGGCAGAATACTTCCACCACGCTATAGTGCGACGTCGATGAGCTGCATACTACTTCCATCTTCATAGGGGGATGTTGTAGGACAATACAGAACACCCTCCCCTTCTTCAAGATGGTGTTTGGAGGTTTCTGTACTGATTTCGAGACCATCCCAGACTTGGCGTATTTGAAATTGCGCCAGCCAGATGGGAAGGTTTTTTCGGCTAGTCAGCATTATATGAACATTGCATGCTGGTATCTACGGCAAGGTAGAAGTAAGCCACGTGCAGTGGAAGCGGTGGAAAATGCAGTATTGTTTGGAGTCTTGATTTACAACATCGTGTTTCTAGTACGAATTTACTAAAAAATTGTATTTGTCGGATGGAGGTGTTGTAGTATTTTCGGAGAAGTTTTTGATTTTTTATCAGTTTGTTCTTGTGAATAATGATTGCTACAGCCCTTCGTTCCTTCGAATCCCCATCACCTTGATTTCTCCAACGTCACGTTTATCTCCCCAACCAACCTGGCAGATTGAAGCAGCCGATGAGGGAGCTGGTGGGGACCCTGCATTGCATTTGGTCGATCAAGTGCGGTCCAGACTCCTCTTCTGTGCCCTGAAGAGTGGAGAGGATCATCAGCGTGCGTTTGCACGTGTATACGAAGCGAACAAATTGTTGGACTTGTGGTGTTATGCTGGTACAATTGATCGTTCTGTTGAAGATCATGGAGAAAGAGGACGAGGATATTGGGTATAAGAAGGTTTTGTTGAAGGAGAAAGATTTAGTATGATCTACTGTTTTTATCGTTTCTTAATGAGAGGACAGTATCTACTTTTACACGTATTTTTGAATACGTCGTCAAGAAGTTAGATAGTGAAGAAACATTCAGTCAAATGTACTACATCGACAACATTTTCTAATCCCTGGAGTATGAGCAAGACACAGTGCTTTCGAAGGGGTTTTGGAAGGACTTCGGTAACCTAAAACAACATGTGTTGCGCGCACTCTGCCTTGAAGCAGAGTTCCTGAATTTTCCGGAGGATCTGCTCGAAGAACTTCGAAGACATAGGGACACGTTTGCAGCAGAAAATGTTATGGATCATTTGTGGTTTTGATCCGAGATGATCACTGATACCAACTAGCTACGTAAGTATTTTTTTTGAGCAAGGAGTAGTCTAGTTGTCCTGTACTTGTTTTTCGAGATGCTGCGCAGGCATCTGTGTCGAAAAATTGATTGCACCTCTATCAGGGGACATGCTCCGCTTTCTTCAGCTCCACAAGGGCGAAGCATTCTCTATCTCTAGTACTTGAATGACCTTTATTTTTTTGTAACATACTACCTCAACCTCTCTAACCACAATTTTGAAGACGAAGTTCCTGAGGAAATTCCAGCAGTGTATTGTTTTGGGGATCCGGAGGCGCGACTACGCGTACAAGACTGGAAAGAAAGGATGAGCCCTGCATCAAGGAGAAGCGCTAGGAGTGAATCACCAAAAAGCACACGTATTTTTCTCTTTACGTGCTTTGGAGGACAGGGGGATTCCCTGTCTAGGAGTGATTCAGGAAGAAAAGATTTTTGATCGACCACTGATTTTTTTATTTTTGATAGCCGTTGCTCGATGATCGAGTGACGATATCGTGTAAGTATTTCTGAATCCGTTTATGTACTAGTGTTGGGGGACTGTTTCAACGCTTCTGTCTTAAAGTTCTACTTCTAGAGAATCTTATATGCTGATCTTCACAGGTCAATCCTCGCGTGGCTCCCCGATGCCTCCGGAGGCCTTTGGCAGGTCACCGAGCATAAGGCCACGATCGGCGGAGCAATTTGTAGATTTGAATCCGGATGAAATATATGAAAGGGCAAAAGAAAAACTCAAACGCGTGATGTTTCACGATTCACCGACAGGAGCGTCTCCATCTTCAAAGACCGGACAACTAAAAGTTGCCGGACTCTACCCTGGAAAACGGTATTGCTGATTTCTCGTTGCATTTGCCATTCCGGATGAAGAAGTTCAAAAAGACTGAGATTTTTGTTTTTGATTGATTAGGCCCTAAGGACGATAGATACACATACAAGTGTAATAATCCTTTCACCCAAGAAGAGTCCCACATGATCAGGTGCCCAGACGAGGATATTGATGCATCGATGCGAAGATGGGTGTCTAGAAAGACATCGAAGGGGGAGAGCAGCAACAACAAGAGGAAACGAAAATTAGACTCGACTACTGTGATGGCGAGCGGACCGACGAAAAAGCAAGACGCGTTTCAGGATTTCAAAGTACTACTATTTAACTCTTAAATCTACTCGAGGATGTTGTTTGCTAGGTTTTTCTTTTTCACAGTCTTGTCCAGGGAGTAGGGTTCTCCTTAAGAAACTCTTCCGGACAAAGAGTTTTGGAGACGGGAGGGAAGCCTGCAGGAGGTGCTCACTGGCTTCTCCCTGACCTCACCTGCCTCCTACTTTAGGAGGTACACAATCCTGAACCACTTAAGTCGAAAATGAGGCTTGCTACTCGTTGCACTATCGGCTCAACTCCTTAATTTAAAACTACCTTCATACTCTTCGTAATGGCTAAATTTATCTACTTGCTTCTCTTTCTCTGTTCCTTTTCCAAACAACACCACTTTAGGACAACAAGGCAAAACAAAAAAACATGTCCTCCCGGAAGCAGAGCAAGACGGAATAAGTGACTTTCCGCAAAAGATACAAGACAGTTTTCTAACTCTTAGGGAGAATAAGTTTCTTGAATTCTAAGGCCAATGAAATTGTTGGTGATCTATGAGTTGTCACACGGGGTAGGGCAGTGAATGACTGCAGGTACGGATCTGTGTCTGTACTAGATCCTCTCCAATGTTCCCTCATCCTACCTAATATGCTTTCTCTTTTACTCTACACTAGTCTCCACTAACTCTCCTTACCCTCTTCTCCCATGCATACCCTTTCTTCATGCATACCCTTTCCAAAAAAGAGCCTATTCTCCCCTATCCATCCAGCAAAAATGTCACTACCCAACCCCTAAATCCCTAAATCCAGAACGCTGCAGATCGTGAAGATGGCAGTGACAATCCAAAGGCGCGAGCGTGGCGACTTGCAAGTGGCGGCGGCGCCGACTACCGACGTTGGTGCAAAGACAACAAGCGACAAGGTCGGGGACAACGGGTGTTTGAGCGAGAGCTTGGACACGAAGTGTGCTACATTTATGTGCTATAAGCTACATTTTCATATAGTCGAGAGCTTGGACACAAAGTGTGCTACATTTATGTTCTAAACTACTACAAGTACACTATTTTCCTTTCGAGGATTAAAGAGTACTCACTCCGCTTCTAATCCTCGGACCGTTTATTCTATTCGAAGGAGGGTTTGGCCTCGATGCGTCGACGACGACAATTGCCGGGCCTCCGTCGCCGTGACATCCACATGCAAGAGGACTTGTGTAGTGTAACAGGGAACAAGCTTTCTATTTAAGGCTACAGCAATAAATCCATCTAGTATTCGCAAACTAGATAACTACATCTTGGCGTGGTTTTTTTTCTAAAAGGGTGGAAAAGATGCATCAGGAGTCCCACTTTCTCTTCTTGCTGCAGGAGAATCATCGCCTTTTAAAGACAACTTCTCAGGGAGTACTTCGATTCTCGGAACATATTTACATCTAAGTTCTCAAAGCAGTAAAATAAAACAACCGGTTAGCTTTTTCCTCTAGAGCCTTAGCCCTTCAAGCAACGCATTTACATCTTAGTTCTAATCTATGCGAGACCTGCAATGGACGTTGGGCCATGTCGCTCGTACGGTAGAATTTGACGGGCTCAAAACCGAGGTAATGCGAAAGAAAGCGTTAGCTCAGTTCCGCATGGCACACGAAAACATGGACTTGAACCAAATCTTGAACGAAATGAATCGCGCCGAACAATTATACCTTGCTTTTGCTGGGGAGAAAGGGAAAGGGTTATGAAGATACTAGATCATGCCGCCTTTTTATCGTGATAATCTTATCGCATGTCTTCCTCGAAGTCATAAGAGCCATACCTGTGATATAAGGTAGAATAAGAAGTCATTGAAGCAGCTAAGTCAAGAGGAGGAGCACGATGATGAAACTGATTGTTGTAGGCTCATGTACATTGATTCATTTCATTGTTGTAATAGTTCTCCAGATTTCAACTTCTTTCACACTTCTAACAAAAAAGTTGTTAAAGAATGGGAGCCATAGCGGAGAGGCGAAAAAGGAGGAGCCGCCATCAATGCAGCTGCAATCATAATCATAAGGGCGAAAAATGATCATAATTGTTGAGGATGAGGAGGAGGGGGATCCATTGTTGAACCAAATTAACTCAAGTATGTCCGCCTTCGCACAGGCAGACGGTTCTTTGCACAGAGAGTGTACACAGGGAGAAGTTTACACAAACAACACCAACATTTTGCCCTCCTTAAGCTTATGATAGAAACCAGTAAGATTTCAGGTGAATGATCACGTCACAAAGAAACCAGTAGTTGTAAAAAGTCACAAAGCAACCAGTAACAGAGAAACCAGTAAAAAGTCTTAAACAAGTCGCCTGAAGTCAAAAGTCACAGAGAAACCAGTAAAAAGTCACAGAGAAACCAGTAAAAAGTCACAACAAAACCGGTATAAAAACGAGTCATATCTGAGTTTGCACCTTCTAGAATCCAAGTATTATGCATCTTTGTCCTTCTTCTGCGTATAATGATGATGATTTTCCAGTATGATGATCTGAAATTAACTTACTGAGCTAGGAGTAGGACTAGATGCTTCATCTAGATCTACTATAGACACTAGAGGAGTCTCCTGCTTTGCTGTCATATATTTTGGTACATCGTACGTTTGGCCGTCGTTTCTCTGAGATCGGTTTCTGGCTCTACTCGAGCCTGTTTCGTCCCGGACAACGCGGCATGGCCGTAGAGCCGCGGACCTTTAACCTTGAACCTTGAACCTCGTTTCTCTGAGATGTGCATGTCTTTTAGATTTAGAGTGACACGAACAGTGAACGTCTAGAATAGTATTGAAGTGGGTCATCTTCGTCTTAACGCAGGACAAAGAATACTATTTCTATGAAAAAAATACGCTCGCTCATCCTGTAGCCGGAAGTTCTTGTAGGGTTCTGAGACGGAGAAGACTCGTGGAATGACAATACCAATCTCGAAGAAGCAACGCCTACGATCCGCCTAGTCTCCTGAAGACTAGGAGGATGTTGAGCGATGAACACCACAGGGTCTCCTGAAGGCTAGTAGGATGAACACAGGCGTTTTTCTGGTACAGTGTAACACTGTCTTATGCGTCAACATTGAAGACGGACGCATCATCTTTCAGAACAAATGTTCCACCAGCGAGTCTGAAATTCACACGATAACAGTACAAAAAGTCTTTTCATTCCAATGCACAACTCTTCAACGAAGACTTCTATGCCATCTTCAACATTTCTCAGTTTCGAAAGGAAAGCCTGAGCTTTTTCGTATCTATATGGAATTTTTATGTAAGATTCAGATTGATTTTTGATGACAAGTTTTTTTTTGACACGCGAGCTGCGAAATAAACACGACTACAGATTGTTGACTGTTAAGTTTGATCTTGATCGGTTAACCTAAGACTATACTAGATTTTTTCGTCGAAGATTAAAAAAAGATGGACTTCAAACAACAAGTGGAGGACATCTGCAGCCAGCTCATTGCTGGCCCTTTTTCTGGTTATCATATCTTCGAGCGAAGATTGAACCCTGACGAAGAGAAGAGGGTGGCTATCGATGTAGTCAAAGAAAAAGCCTCTGCTGGTGGTGACATTAAGAGTAAGTTAAAGGTGCTTTTCTTACCGCTTTTTATGCCTCTGTCCCTTAGGATGAGAAAGGCATAAAAAGCGGGGTAAGCGAGCACCAAAAACCTACCTCTAATGACATCAAAGTTTCTTCAAGAGGAGCGCAAGCTATCAAACTATTCTACTCCGAAAGCAATCAGGAAGGTTACTTCGGCATTTTCAGGTCGCAGGTAGCCGCCCAAGAGTTTAGACAGATGGGGAGTAGGAGTAGAGCTGGAACGACGATTACAACTCGTGGAGGAGGCTTTGTGGAGCCGGAACTAGAGCCTCCATCAGACGACTTGGTGGAGCAAGTTTCGATGGGGCCTGTCTCAACTGCGTCATCGTCCACAAAAAATGATGTGAAAGTGACTCCTGCAGCTGGAGGAGGTCGTGGTATTAACACCACTACAAGAACAGGGTCTACTGCAGAGAACATCACCACTGCCATGCCTACAGGTTGTGGCAATTACAGCACTACTGCTACTTCTACTACTGCTGCTGCAGGGAACAACGTGGCGAGCAATGATCCATCTGAATCCTCTCGTGGGAACACGAATAGAGGACAACATCAACAACATAATACTTCTAGATCGTTTCAGCAACAGACTTTCTGGCGTTACTCCAGTGGTGCCGCGATACAAATACTTGAAGCTTCTAAAGATTCTACGGAACTAGGTGGTGCTTCTCTGTCTGTTGGAGGCGTTGTAGCACCAGGAGGAGCATCGTCATCGTCGTCATCATCTAGCAGTCGTATCGCAGACGACCTCTCAGGCCGGTTTCTTTACGCCAATGGAAACCGTTGCTTTGTCGATTATCCTTATCGGTTACAGGCGCGGTTTGCGAACGAGGCAGAAATTATAGAAAGATCAGGTTTACATTTACAACATGGAGACTTGAATAAAGCACAGGAACCTTACCTACTCTGGGAGTTATTCCGCGACACTGTTGTGGTCACCGGGAGTAGTAAAGCAGTTTCAAGCACGAGCAATCCGAGTGCAGCAGCTGCGTCAAGCACGAGTTCTAGTTCTAGTGGGCAAGCTGCTTCATCAAGTAGCTCTGCACCAAATCCAAGACGTGATGTTCCTGCGTGGTATCGACCTAACGTAAAAACAAGTGAGCGCTTAGTTCTGCGAAGTCCTTTGGTGAAGGAAAGTGAGGCTTTCATATACCGGGATGGCAGGAAAGTGTACCTTCCAAATTCTGAAGGTGCTGCTGTGGCATGTTATGATTTAGTCTTTTTAGTCCTAAGCGTGTAGCGCAATGGGTTAGTTGTACAACGAAGTAGGATAATGAAATCCAGAGCCAAACTTATCCAAAGCATAAACTTTGAATCCCACTAAGAATCAGCATGTTAGACGAGAAGATTAACAAGACTACTGAGTGGCTTTTCTCAGAGAACATTCGTCAGAAAACTGGCGTTATGTTGAATAAATGCCAATATAGACTAGCAGTTGCATCTAGTTCTTAGCACGGCGCTAATCCTAGCAAGTCTTCGAAGAAGACGCCGATGAAAAAGGATTTCCAACAACGAGTGGAGGCTTGAAGATGCGAATGACATTTACGTCTCTCTTGGATGGCGGGAGAGGAAGCACCGTGCCTCAAGGACGTGCAGAAATTGTCAGTAGGGAATTGACGTCTACGCTACGCCACACGGCTCACGTGCAAGGCCTGCACATGGCAGCGGATGGGTACGTCACCGTAGGCACCATCCTTTCGCTCGACCTCTACGCTGGGCTGAAACTTCCAAGAAGCACTGCGGAACAAGATGTTGATGCTCTAAAGGCGAAGCTGCTTGCGCTGGGCCAAAATGAAATAGAGGTACAGCACAATGGTCGGTTTGGCGGCACAATGTGCATCGAGACTGGTTTAACCTTTGAGGAGCTTTTTTGGGTATGTGTGCACAACGACAAGCGTCGGTTTCAAATGGTGTTTCAACCGGAAAAATCCGAAAAGAACTCGGACTCAGCCTCAGTCTCAACAATCTCAACCTCACCAGTGTCAGCGTCCCCAGTCTCAGCGTCAACAGTCCCAGACAAGGACAAAGGCAAGGATAAGGATCTTACTACAGATGCCAAGAATTATCATACCAGCACAGATGCAAGTACAATTTCAGTTTTACCCTCGTGGCACATACGTGCAGTCCAAGGCCACACATCACATGTGGACGAATCCCTTTTGCTGACCCCAGTCTTCACCGCAGAGTCGGACGCAGCACCAGATGGTCTACTGTATCATGGAACCTACAAGGCGGTGTTACCAGATATCCTCGCTTCTGGTGGCTTGTCCAGGATGACGCGACAACACATCCACTTCACCGGAATTAGCCCTATTTTGAGCAGTTCAGCACCTACTTCAGCATCGTCTACTTCAGCACAAAGAGGAGCAGTAGAGAAGACCTGCCTCCAAGAAGCTTCTACTAGTATCAGTGGAGTGCGTGGTGATACGGACGCAGTTGTGATTGTGAATTTAGGTGCTGCTCTATCTGCGGGTTTACGCTTCTTCGTTTCGCAAAATGGCGTAGTACTGACTCCGGGCAATAACAATGGGTTGCTTTCTACCTCATTTTTCGCGCGAATCGTAGATAGAATGACAGGCGAGGAAATCTTCACAGCAAGCGGAGAAGTAGACCGGACTATTTCCGATCAGGTCGACCGTTTTATGCAGAGGTCTGAAGAGGTTGCGCATGTCCAGACAGACGCACCGGCCTCCTCAACCACGTTTCATCCGCAGAGCCGAGTGGTGGAAGTGCAGCCTCTTCAGGGTGGACACAAGAAGAACGTAGACGAAGAACTACCGCAACAGCACATCAAGAGGACACCAGAAGAACTGCCGCAACTAAAACTTCTGCAAGAGGAAGAACTATGGCGCGCGCATATCCCTATGATCAGTTGGGTATGCACGCCTCTAGGGGTCGAGAGCATGGTTGCAGTTCTGGAGAGGAAGGGCATCATCGGAGTCGACGTTGAGGGGGTGCAATTAGGTAAAGATGGCAGTGTATGCCTATTGCAGATCATGGCTGAGTTGGAGGTGGGAGATGAGCACGATATTAAAGCACGATATCAAGAACAACATGAGCACGATATTAAAGCACGATATCAAGAACAACATGTACCACCTGTTGAGGCGTGCCTAGACGAGAGCGACCGCGAATCTAACCGAGAAGTATACGAGTCGATTGAGAAATACAATTCTACTCCAAAAAAGTTCGGGACGACGTGTCGAAAAGTCGTTTTTCTGGTGGACATGATGTCTTTGGGTGCTGAGGCATTTGATGTTCCCGGGGACGCGTCATCATCAAAGGAAGTTGGAAAGCCTTCATCAACTACAAGTAGATTAAGGGGTATTTTCGAATCCGAGAGAATTCAAAAAGTGCTGTTCGACTGTCGACAAGATGTAGAGGCTTTGTTTTTTCATTTCGGAGTGTTACCTCGAAACGTCTACGATTTGCAAATATCGTATTTGCTATCGGACAAACAAAACGGAACGCGTCATCTCAAGGGGTTGCCTAAAGCCTTGCAGCACTTTTTTGAACATCAGGCCTGTGCGGGGGAAGGAAATGGTCAGACAAGTGGTGGAGAAGAGCAACGACTTGGAGACGTGTTTGCCTCTCTGAAAGTCCAAGGCAAGGCACTGTACGAACCCCGCATGCTAAGGCTTGAGATGCATGCTTGTTCACAACGAACGATTTAAGTTAGATCGTTATTCTTATTCTCTATCGCTAAACCAAGCAGGCATCACGAACGCTACTCTACATTCTCAGTCAATTACTTTTTGATCTTCGTAGTTCACCACAAATAGCTCAAGAAGAGCAGGGCTAGTATTGGCTGTTGTACCATCTACTTCACTAGATCTTCACTCACAATCTTAACCGCAACGCGCCTTATCATAGAAGGCTCTAATCAATGGCGGTAGATATGAGGTGTGGGGCGAACGACCGATGCAGAGTCTGCTGATCGCTTACGCGGCTGTCGATGTGTCGTATCTGATTCCTATGAAACGTCATTTTGAACAGTTGTACCAAGGAAAGCAAGCTGGAGTCTCAAAAGCACTGGCAGCCTTTTTTGAGCAACCTAAGAGTCGTGAGGAAGCCGTACAGGAAGACGCTAGGGAATTCGCGTTATCCGGTAAGAGTCGTGAGGAAGCCGTACAGGAAGACGCTAGGGAACTCGCGTTATCCGGTAAGAGTCGTGAGGAAGCCGTACAGGAAGACGCTAGGGAATTCGCGTTATCCGGTAAGAGTCGTGAGGAAGCCGTACAGGAAGACGCGGCTAGGGAATTCGCGTTATCCGGTAAGAGTCGTGAGCAAGCTGTACAGGGAGACGCTGGGGACAAGCTGAAAGTCGAAAAAAAATTTGGACAATTAGCGCACCCAGAAAATTCGTTTTTCTCTGGTGCCATAGTAAGGCGTAGTGAAGAACGAATGTATGCTAAACTAGTGGCCCCTGAAGCAGACTACGGGTCGAAGATCGACTTCGCTTTGCTACCAGGACCAGGAGTGGAAGACTATGGTCGGAAATTTGCTTGATAAAAACCGAAGTCTCCATGCGGTTGAGCTGCATGAGATTCATAATGCCAACATAGTATGAAACAAGTGACTCAGAAGTCTAGTACGGATATGTAATATTATAGTCTCATTTTTGTGATATTAACTTACTTAGCTTCTAAGGTGCAGCTTGCCTCCGGATTCTCGGATTTCCGGATCTTGTTGTTCTTCGGCAAGCTCTCGTCGAAGCGTATAGAGGTGGTTCGATCGAGTTAGGGACGCAGGAGACGCTTCGAGGACGTCGTTCATCTGCTAGTAGTACTAGTTGTACATTAATATCGACAGAACAAGAAATGTTGAGGTCGTTGACCTCCCACCTCCAGACGCCAGCAGAACAGCAGTCGTTGAGAAGTTTTGTCAACGACGTACTGAGCCAAGAAGACCTAGGCGTCGATGTATACGGTAACCACGATGACAATCAGGAAAACGAAATAAACGCAGACAACAACGACCTCGGCATCAACCCTGACGAACTCCTCCAGCGTCTTTGGGCTTATTCTTTCAATCATGTGAGACCTTGGGACCTCAACCAGCGTTGTTTCGAGCATTTAGAAGACACCTTCGACGGGCATGGGCCTGAAGCGTTGGACGAAAGCCTGCAATGGCTTACCAGGACCTTCGAAAAATACAAGCATCAAGTTCAGAATGTTATGGGACCATTAACTTTTCTTCAACTTCTGATGTTATGGTACTAAGAGTAGGGAGAACATGGAACTAATTACAAAATGTTATGCTCGTAAACTCGTCAGGTGTCCTTATCTAAGTAAGTTTAAACTGTTCCCATGTACGGTCTATGCTTTTCAAAAACATGGTAGATGGTTGCCTCTGCTAGTAATTGTACTCCTACTACTAGTTACTTAACCCAACAAGAAATGGTCATCATCTCTAACGTTTAGCGTAGCTTCTGGTGCGAACGGATTCTGCGAAACAAGCTGACTAAGTTCGACCATGCAAAAGCCGAAAAGGAAGGACACAATCAGTGCTAGGCAGAAAACGAAGATTATTGGATCATGAAGTGAAAATGCTACTACGGTACTATTTCCTTACCCTTTCGAGGTTGGATCATGAAGTGAAAATGCTACTACGGTACTACTTTTAAGGCTCAGCTTTCACTGGTCATTGGGGTTGGTCACTGAGATCGAAGAAGCGACCCCTTTAGAGAACAGGGGAAAAGGAAGGTAAAGGGGAGAGCTTTGAAGGGGGTCTCTTCCGTTCAGCATCAGTGGCCACTGAGTGCTGAGCTTTAATATTTCCTTGCCCTTTCAGTTGGAGCTGGAGGAGCAAGTCGGTCGAGGTTCCAATCGCTTCAGGAACTGTTTTCTCTTATACCGAGGATGGTAAAGAATAGAGTGGGAGGACGAGGAGCATCTGGCTGAGTGTAGTCTTTTCTGTTGAGTTCAAATACTTCTTCTTCATTTAAAAATGATAGCGGTTAAAAATTTTCTTTTTCCCTGCTCATACCCTTCGTTTACCCTTGGTTTGTGTTTATCCCTCCATCACGCTTTTGATGAATTTAATAACGCACCAGTGGAGTTAGAGATGATAAACTTTTGAATAGCTGCCCTCAGTCGTCCGAACAGTACACAACAAGAAACGCTGTCACCATTTGATAAACTTCAATCTACTACGCTGACCTTGTTGTAGTCGGCTGCCATTTTGTCTCTACGGTGGTTACGAAGGGCCAGATGCGGGCCACTCACATGACATGATACATACGATATCCCACCGCTCAGCCATGACTTTTTCTCCAGCTGAGCTTTTCCCTGTGAAGAATCTCAACAGGACCTTCAACAGGATACATCGAATTTCCAGAAGAGCTGTCGCTCTACTTGGCTTGAAACTAACTCAGCTGCAGATGTTGCGACTTCTTGTTTTTGCAGTTAGACTTCTTTATACCCTATAATATGCTTGCTGAAGTTCTTGGGTTCAGCAGTTTTTGCAAGATCGAGAGAGAGAGAGAGAGATATGAAAGCCTTCAAGTCCTACTGAGCAGAGAGATGAAGAGAGGAGACGCAATAGGACGAGCTGGTCTGAATTGTAGATCAAGTATAATGTACTTAGATCAGCATCAGTTTTACTAGGAGGACTAGGTACAACGGACAATGGCACTAGGACGATGGTAACGTTGAATATCGGATGGAAGCACGATGCTAGAGTTGAGAAGGAAGGAGTCAGTTTCCAATCATGAGGAATTAGTTTCCAATACTACAAGTGCGAAGCACGAGATGGGGCGGCGTTCACTACGATGTAGTAGTAGACCACTTGGACGAGGACATGGGAGGTGGCTCACCAGTTGGCTTTTGTCCGCTGTCTTTCATTAAGGCGAGCTTATTACTTAGTTGCTGAACAGGAGATAAGAAAGGTTTTGATTACGTGTTACTTCGTTTTGACATCAAAAAATTGCATGCTGAGACTTACCACAATTTACTAAGTAACCCTACTAGCCTCGGCTTTTTTTTACAAGAAGTTTCTTCTTGTGCGAAGTCCCCCCGGTGGATGCGCCCTATCCTATCCCATCCTATGTATCCTATCTTATCCTATCCTATCCTATCCTATCCTATGTATCTTCCTAGTATCTTATCCCACCCTATGTATCCTACCCCATCCTATGTATCCTATCCTATCCCATCCTCTGTATCCTCTCTCATCCTATGTACGTATCTTATCCTATCCTATCCCATCCTATGTATCCTAGCTTATCCTATCCTATCCTATGTATCTTCCTAGTATCTTATCCTATCCTGCTATCCTATCCCATCCTATGTATCCTATCCTATCCTATGTGTCTTATCCTATCCTATCCTATGTATCCTATTCTATCCCATCCTATGTAGCCTATCTTATCCTATCCTGTCCTATCCTATGTTTCCTATCTTATCCTATCCTATCCTATCCTATCCTATCTTATGTATCCTAGTATCTTATCCTATCTTATCCTATCCCATCCTATTTTATCCTATCCTATCTTATGTATCCTAGTATCTTATCCTATCCTATCCTAGGTATCCTATCTTATGCTATCCTATCCGATCCTATCCTATCCTATGTATCCTATCTTATGCTATCCTATCCTATCCTATGTATTCTATTCTATCCCATCCTATGTAGCCTATCTTATCCTATCCTGCCCTATCCTATGTGTCCTATCTTATCCTATTTTTTTAAGAAGGTCACCTTTACCCCAAAGAAGTATTCCTTCATCGATCTTGCTTCATGTTCCTGTGGCTCGAACAACCTTCGCGGACCGAGTCCAAGAAAAAGTAGAAGACAATGTGCCAAGGAATCTGACTACAGCATGCGCTGACAGCGAAGATGAAAACTGTCATAATCATTCGGGTGGACTCGGACAGAGCGCAGATATGAGCTTCCTTGAGGAGCAAGCCAGTCGATGGACCCATGGGCGGGCTTCCTTTCATTAAGGTCATCAATAGTTATCTCCTGTGATAAGTATCCATCCCGGCAGTTGAATACTCGTAGCTGCTACGTGGTTCGAATGAATGAGTGAATGAATCCTAGTTACATTATCCACCATGTCGATAGGTATCTTGCTTCCATTACTCTTTATCATCTAGATCACCGCATGTTGATCAAGCGCCCTCTTTTTTTGAGGTTGAGAACCTCCAACGCGTAGTACAGGGCCGCGAAACAGCAAGGAGAAGGAGGGCACTATCATAATCATGAGCACTTATAATGAATCATTGCGACCACATCTGGTATAATATGATAGACCAAAATTATAATTTTTCAAATGTTAGGATTGATAGCGTTTAGACAGTAGGATAGCAAAAAAAGACCAGTGGCGACGTGACATGACGACACCTAAAGAAAGAGAAAGTTCTAATTCAAGACGAGTCCTTCTGCTCTTGGTCACCTGGATTCTAGAAACCCTTTGGCTGGTCAGAGAGTAGGAGATCCGCATTTTCAGAATCTGGACCTTGTATGGATGATGTTTTTTCTCCCATTTAATATATGTTAGGTATACAAAAAAAAACACAACACAAAAAAATGGAAGACGCGCAAATATCGGGTCGTTTGAAAACTCAAACTTTTTCACAATAGCAGAGTGCTATCTGAGAAAATTACTCTCTGGGATACTCGGTCACTTGAGTTTATTTTAAGGTGCTGCATCTTTTCCCCTTGTTGAAACTTCTGTACTATAGGTAGAGATCATTAAGTAGGGGAGGCGTCATGGTCCGCCTCTACTACGTACGGGGGGTTGTGCAAGACCATGTTGTGGCATTCATACTTTGGGACAAAAGGCGGCATGGTCACAATCTCGGGTGCCACAATAGAAGGAGAGCAACTGATAGAGTGCTTTCGACAGCCTCCGTTTGAAAGCTATTTTTCCGTCGAATCACCTGGACGACAGGTTGTAGGGGCGAGCATTATTATGGATGATGGTTTTCCTCATATCTTTAACGGATTATCGAGACCGCTGCCCCTTCTCGTCCTGTGAAAAGTGTATTATAGGTAAAAGGAGGGCCTCGATGATCTTCTGCTTATAGATGGAAAACACAAAACGCCATTCTTCATAACAATGAGTGATAGAGTGGCGAAACGACAAATCGAAAAAGGTCGGAATTATTTCGTCCTGGGAATGCTGGCGTGCGCACAGAGTTAAGACTTCTGTAGTTACTCTTCAGCATTTGTGCGTTGTTGTGTAGTTTACTCTTCATGGTTTTCACTGCGCAGTTGGTTCAGTGGTTTAGGCGGTGGCCTGTTCAGTTATGACTCTTACTAACCAACTAGCGAGGACCGGTCTTTGCCGCTTGTTAGTCATATCATGGATCAATCGAAACCAATGCATGTACGTAGTTGCAGTTCATCTAAAGGATTGATGGACGATATGCTTAATACAGGTATTCTATGTATTGATCAGTAGACGTAGATACACTTATTTGCTCAGGTTCATCTATGCACTGTTCTTTCTGCTTGAAAGCGTATTGATGCACGTTTCAGATCATGATGAGTCGAGGAGTAGATTCTAAGAAGAAGGAAATTTTGGAAATATTATTTATATGGATTGAGTGAGAAAAAGAATGAGTGTCACCTTCTGTCCTGCAAATTCTGACTGAGGTAAGCACTCAACTTATATAAAGAGGAAAGGCAGCCCGTGACGAGTCTTCTGAGTCGCTTAAAGATACTAAGCAACTAAAAACAAACAATTAGACATCTGATAATAATGAAGTAGCCTCCTCCTTTAGCAGGCATTTTGTACATTTTCCCTGTCTCTCTGAGGTGTGCTGCAAATCTTGACTGGCTTCTCCCTTTCTATAAGGTTGGGGCTTAGGTCCAGCGGCGCTCAAAGCACTAAATAAAACAGCCGGTTCGTTTTTACCTCTAGCGTGTAGCCCTTTCAGCATTATACTGCTGTGGGTTATACTCTGTCTAAAAAATATTCGGCGGAGAAGAGGAAACGTTGGATGTTGCAGACAGTTTTAAGGCGATATCAACTCACTTTTCCCCTCATCAGAGGAATAGCGACGAGATCTTCATCAATGTTGGAGACAACCTCTCTAGTACTACGTTCAGTAGCCAACCATATCCTCTGTTTATGAGCTAGGAAGACCCCCAGAAGCGAACCTAACCTACTACTTCTGAAGGGAGTAGAGCTTCATCTCCTACGTACAAGAACTATTTCTAAAGGGACGAGTAGGACCTCTACTCCTATGTCCAACTAAGTACGCATATTTAGATGCTTAATCTATAAAAAAGTATCTAAATTTTGATTTTCTAATAGGTGGATCGAGAGCATTCTGGACCTGAAGTTAAGGCATTCACAGAGAATTTTGACTGACAAGATCAAAGAAGGGATGGTCATGACAAGATCAAAGAAGGGATGGTCATGACAAGATCAAAGAAGAGACGCTTTATAAGGTATTAAAAGCTACTTACGTTTTTTAGAAGTAACTAGAAGGCAAAACTGCGAGTTACGTTGACATCAAGAACGAAGCGAAAGCCAAGAACAAGTTTATACCATTAACTAGTCCCTCTCTGAGCTCTAGTGTCTAGTACGGCTAGTAACAGGAAAGAGAGCAATGGTGATGCATGCACGTAGGGAAATGAGGGGCGTTATCTTGGAACAACGTGTGGAAATCTAGGGTGAATCCTGGGCCCCTTGTCCCTTCTAATCTAGCGCCATGCTTCGAGTAAGGAATTGGCTACGAAGATATGCAGTGACACATTTAAGAGAATTTTGGTCGGCGGCGTCAGCGAAGTCACCAAGGATGTCTTCGAACATCTTTCTTAAGACCAGTGAATGTCTTCGAAGCTGTTTCTTTTCGAGTTGTTTTCGCCCTATTGGTCGCAGGTGAACGTCGAACCAATATTTTCATTATTGTAAAAAATATTGGTTGACAAAGACATGGAGATGGAATTGTGGTTGTGCTTGTGTAGTAAAATCAAGTTCAAGTAGTACCTCCTTAATAAATAAGAAAGAAGTCAATTCACTGAAAAAGAACATAATTCTCTTGATTATTTCAACCTTTAGTTGAGGTCTAATACGTGAATGAGCGAATCAAGGTGCCTGAATTCGAACGTGTGACATGGATGCGAAAACTGCCTTACCTCCAGAATTATGGCTCTCACGCGCTTACAAAAATACTAGAACACCCCAAGGGATTTTCGAGAGGTGAGCCCCGGGAGACTGATAGGAAGCAAGAACAACGACCGGCCGGGGGAGGCGGAGGCGCGCGCGCCATCGGGCTCCCCCAAGGAAGCGGGGGGAACGAACCCTGCGCGGCAAGGAGTGGCCGCGGGCGTCGGTTCGCTGGTGGCTTTTTTCTGTCGGGTGTTCTCCCTCTGTTGTTGTTTTTTTCGGTCCTCTATTCCAATGCGCCACCCGCTCGCAAGGGGTCCCGCGCGCCAGCGTTGAGCGGCCGGCGCGCGTGTCCT